ACACAGGGCCTTTTCCGCTTTTCCCCTCTCTCTTTCTCTTGGGGGGCTGGTTAATTAATATTTGCCCAGCCGGCTAGAAAAAGTCAATAAGAACGTCCTTCCACCCGCAAAGTAGGCAACAGAAGCCTTCGCTCGACAGCGGACAACGCTGCGTATGATTTATGCAGCGTTTCCAGGAGCTGTTGCATATGCATGAGTAGCATTTGTGTAGCAGCAAAAAAAATGGGAGGAAAAAAAAATATACAGCGGCAAGAACGAAGTGAGAGCACAAATAGCCAAGCATAACAATGCGAAATGGCGAAAGGCAAACAAACACTAAATTGAATAGCCAACTAGAAGGAAGAAAATCGAGTGGCCAACAACGGCATCGGAGTGCCCTCAAAAACTTGCCACACGAAAGGGGATCCTTTAAAGGCTTAGCCACCGTTTGTACAGGGTATTTAAATGGCAGCAGTGCACGAGCAACAGTCATTGGAATCCTGCCAAAACGCTCGAATCCTGTGTGGGTGGGTTGTACAAAAAAAAAAAAAAAAAAAAAATATAGAGGAGGGAAACAGCAACCACCTGGACAATGACAAGGCTGATAATAAGCTGGCGACATGGCAGACCACTTCATTTATCACAATTTATGACTCTACTGAATGTCGACGTGGTAATTTGCGGCAGCAACTGCAGTTGCAACACGGCCACTGCAGCTGTTTCTCTGGCCAACTCCCGCCGATTGATAGTTTTTTCTTAATATTTTCTTTTTTTTTGGTTGGTGGCAAAGCCTTGGACTTTTTGCTTAGAGGTCAGAAATTGAATTGAATCTTTTGGCAGCGATTGTCACTGACAGCGAAAGGATTCCTCGTTCCAAAGCAGGGCTAAGGTCAAGCTCATTACAGCTGACTCAGGAGGAAGGAGACTATATATCCTCGTGGACATCTTTATAGTATAGTTACAGCTGGGCAGCCAAAGGCTGCTGTCAGTCGGATTTGATGGCAAGTCGGATTAAATCTCAATGGGGGATAAATTCTGCTCAGTGGCTGGCGGCCAAATGAAAGAGGATTTAAAGATCAGATGGAATAAGAGCAATCGTAAGCTCTTCAATGCATCAAATGGTAGCTGAAACTGTAAACAAAATGCATACATATTTACAAGTTTTAGTTTAAATAAGAGAAAGTTGTTAAAGCGATATTAACCACAACTTTGTAGTTTGAACTTTACTATCGGAAAAGTTTTAAAGCTATTTTTCTTGGTAGAACTTACGATTTTTCTTTCCAGCTTCTTCTTCGTCGATTTCATGCCCTATTAAGCACTTAAGTGGCTAAACCAAGTCTTCCAAATTCCCTTCCGTTTTCCCTTTCCTAATCCACTTTGCATCCTTTTTCTCTTCACGCTCTGATTTATGCAGAAACCAAAAATCCCATAAAGAAATATGCGGGATACTTTTTATATAGATACGTTTATTCTAACAATAAAAATCTTTAATGCATATGCCGCGGCATTCCGCCAAAGCCCGGCTAAGGACTCCATAAAACCCTTTTTTAGCCACACAGCCACCGAATGTCTGCATTTACGACGGCGGATTCCAGCGCCAAGAACCCACTGCTCACGTGGAATTTATGGGCTGGCCACGCCCCCAATCGCTGGGGCACCTCCTTTTCGTCCTTCTTGAGGCTGAGGAATGATGAAGGACGGGGCAAATGAAATGAATGCCAAGGAATGGCCCTCCTCTTGGCCCTCCTTCCAGCGAAAATCGTTCCCTTTTTCTGCATCCCGTATTCAATTGAAAGTCACGTAAATAAAAGTCCGACTTTGGGGTGCATGAAATGTAGTTCTCATAAAACTGGGTATTCTCGCGAATAAATGAGCACGGAATTTTCCAGCCAAGTAAAACGAACTCTTGCAGAATGCATTTAAAGGTTTCTAAAACAAAGTAAACTTAAATTTCTTGCAATAACAAAAATAAATTATAACCTGAATAGAGCTCTAAAAATTGTTTATGATTTTTTTATGTGTACGGAGCTTCCTTAAGAGAAGTTTTCTTTTCAGCGATTAACCCAAAAACTTGAAGGCTCCGATGAGTTCTAAGTCAAGTAGGAAAGCGTCTTGAAATTGCTCCCAAAATTGTGTCATGCTAAAATAAGCTGGAAAAGTTCTTAGTTGCCTGAGAAAATCCATAAGCCAAGAAGAGGCTTTCACCGGCAACGATGCTCATAATTTATTTAATTATTTACGCTTTTTCCATTTTGTGTGCAATGCAAATGCAATAAGGAAAACGGTGCAGAAAGCCGAAACGAAATTGAGTTTTCAAGCTGCAACCCTCCTCCACACAAGGATACCATATACCATATAGCCGGGTTTAGCTATATACACCAGGCATATTGGAGATGAATGCGAAGCTGTTAGGATGAAAAATCGCTGACAGTGGAAACGATGGCGCCGCTGTTAAGAGCTTTCCACTCGCTTTTCCCCCCGCCTCCGATTTTCCGGGAAATGTGTCTCACAATTTGTTGGTTTTGCGCCAAAGTTTCGACATTCATCACTTCGCTGGTGATAAGCCATTCTAATGAGCCGGGCCAAAAGGACCAAGGACATCGGAATTAGTTTCCAGCCGAAAAGGGCAGGGTCCGTTTCTTGTGGGAATAATTGATTTGTTGTAGTCGTTAAGCGAGATTAATGGTTTTTTCAGCCAATCTCAAACAAATAAATACTTCACTGGGCCCCTAAAACAGATTCATATTTATTTTGATAGCTAAAGAAATCGATGAAGGACATCGTTTGGACACTCAAACCCCGGCAAAATAATCACAAACCACATCCTTCTCCCTTTCCACCTCTAATTGCTTTTTGTGGCTTTGGTGGCTTCCAATACAGTTGGCCAATAAAAAAAACTAGTCGCAAATTACTGCGGAAATTGACAAATTTCAAAAACAAGCGCATAAATAATGGCCATAATTAGCAGTAGTTGACCAACTCGAAAGAACCACACAACGTGTTAAGGGGGGAGAAGTGGGTGTTTTTGGCCTGTCAAGGCCATTGGCACCATTTATATTTTGCCATAAAAATTTCCAATTTATGAAGCCAGGTCAAACAAACAAAAAACGAAAAAAAAGAGTGTGGGTGATAAATTGACAATACAAGTAAACTCTGAAAAAAAGCTTAAAACTGAACACAAAATTCTGTATCTATCTTTTAAAAAAGTAAATTTAAAATAACTTCTATGGGACACTTTTCAAGATATTTTTTTAGTTTAACAGCATAGTGATAAATAGCTTTTTTCAATGACAAGGTAAATCAAATTGTGTTGTTAATAAATATTTCTAAGCCTGTTGATTGATTTGGGTGATTTATGTCGAGATAGTTTTTTTCTTCCCAGAATAAAAGAACAGATTCCAGCTCCAACCAATTTTGCATAATAAATTTCTCAATTTTTGATTTTTATTGTTCGGGGGCTGTAATTTTTCGGGGCCCAAAATATGTGTCAACGGCAGCACCATAAATTCCACGCACTCCCTTTATTCTGGGTCTTGATTTCAGCTCCTCTTCATATGAATAATGACAGTAAAAATTAGTTTGGGATTTCGTTTTGTCTGCCAACAATGAAACGCAGTTGATTTGAGTGACAAGTAACGTGGTCGTTTCATATCAGCGATCATAACCGAAAAAGGCTTTAGACAAAATGCCATTTTATGAAGTAATTTATGGCCTACACATACGTGAGGCAAAAGGTGACACCAAAGACGATTGCAAAATGTTTCTCCAGTTCAGTTTGCGAAGAGCAGCCAGTCGAAGGAGTGCAGAATGTGTCAGAAGGCAGTGCAGAAGGCCTGGGAAATGGGCCAATTCAAGCTGGAAATGGACTTTGAGCCAACTGTTCTCGACTGCGAGCGAACCAATACGAAGCGCACCAAATTGGCCACCCTGATGCACTGGCTCAAGAAGCTCAACGAGTGCCCCCCGGAGCCCATCCACTGCGACTACATGAGTGAGTGCCCCCCGAGTGCGAGTACACTCACTCGGATAAATATTCGGCTTGCCCCCCATTTGCCATTTGCCATGTGGCATGTGGCATGTGCCGCCTCTAAGTGCAAACCGATTTCGTATAATTTGTGAAAATACTGTTTGCTTCTCGCATTTTGTGCGTGCCCTTGGCCATTCTGGCATCCTGGGGTTCGGAAAAAGGAGGAAAAGGGGAGTAGCATTCACGAAATATAGTCGCCTGTTTGTTATGGGAGGTTATGGCCACTTGTGTCAGCATACCCATTATGGCTGGGAATTATTTATACATCAGCATTTCGGCATTTCGGCTCTTGCCAATGGCTAACAAGTTTTTATGCGCCACAAACTTCATGTGTGTGCACCGTAATTGCATATTTGGGCCACTTTATTGTGGTCGGGTCTTATGCAAATAGCAAGTGTCCTGGCTAAATTGGGGAAAATTACCCAAGGAAGTGGTGCTGTCGAAAATGAATAATGATCCCATGAGTTCGTTAGCTCAATAGATGGTTAATATTAAATTAATTGGGTGCATTTGGATGCTGCACACTTTGAGTGTGGCTAATGGGCAGAAAATCTTAAGCAAACTAGCCTTGTGTAAATAATTGATTATGTTTGTGTAGAAATTTTACCAAGAAAGGTGCAAGGAGATGGAAAATTATAAATATTTTGGTATTTGCAAGTAATTTAATGCTTTTCTAACTGTTATGAATAATACTATTTAACAATCCCTCTATTGTATCTAAGTAAAATTATCTTCCAACAAGTAAAATATATATTCTCTATTTGATTTTTGAAATGCCTTTTTTATAGCCCAAAAATAAATAAGTATTTGAAACTTTGTTTACCATAAAAGTTTGCAGCACGTCCGAATGCGAGAATAATCAGCAACTGTCGCCATAAACCTCAATGCAGTTTCTCCTCCTCCTTCTTTTTCTTCTTCTTTAGCACACAAACATGTCCAAAACACACACACACACAGACACAGAGACTCGCAAACGGGGAGGAAAACCACACACAAACAGACGCATAAACAGTTTCCGGCCACAACATTTACGCGCATTTTCATTGCGATTTCGCTGCTGGTTTTGGCTGCTGTTTGGTATTTACACGTAATTTGCACAGCATTTTTCAATTTTATGGGCTCGGAAATGGTATGACGTCGTTATTTATGTTGTGCCTTTGTGCAGGGCATTTCCCTTCGTTTTTTCCCGCCTCGGGTGTTGGCCATAAAGTGACGAAAACAGCTGCGAAAATTGAAACTGATGCAGGCAGAGCTAAAATGCTGACACAGATTTACTTGCAATTTGCTTTGTTCCCTTTCCACAATTATTTTCCTGTGTTTTTGTTTTTTTCTGGTGACTGGCGTTAATGGAATTTTAAATTCCATATTGTAAATGGGCCACCGTAATCTTTCATTGCCCAACGACTGACATCGGGGATACCCCGGAATCCCATCGGTATTTACTGACTGATAGGTGGGTCTAATCCACTCCCCATTCCACCACCAATCGCTCCTAGTTTCCCCGTCCATCAATTGGCTATCTTCGACGGCCCCTTATCAAAATCAAAACAGAAAGCAAAAAGTATTTTTTTTTTATCATCTCCCTGGATTGACAGCTTGGACACCTGATGGTCGGGTGTTGGACGAAAAATCGGGATCTTCAAAAGTTGTCATGTGAGTCTTAGTCATTGAAATGATTCATTGGAATAGTATTGGAAGTCTTTAAACTTCATTTTGGCCTTGGAAAAATTCCTGAAGTGCATTGTATGAAAGTACAAATAGCAACTCATTTATAAAGTTAAGTTATTTATTTATAAATATTTGCTAAAAATCAAACAGACTTGGGTTTTCAAATTAATATATTTATATTTTTAACATTTACAAATTTACTTAACCCCATATATAGTTGGAAATTTGGTAAGGCGTTACATCATAAAAATTGAAAAAAAAAATCGGCGAAAAAAGAAAAAATTACCTAATGATGCAGTTGGTTAGAGAACTGAAATACAAACATTTAGAGATATCCCACTTTTAAATCGGACAAAAACTAGAAAATGTATGGCCTAAGAAGTGCAGAATTTTTCGAAAATTTTTCCATACCAAATTCAACCAATTTCATCACAACCCATGTTACCCTGTTAACATTTCCTCCTCAGCTGACAGAGTCATGTTTTGGCTGTCATCACGGGCAAATTTAATAAGCAAACTAGACATTGTCTAAATGAATACCATAAATTAGGAACTACGCTTCCACTGCTAGTTAAATGAGGGGTGAATCAGGAAGCCAAACTGTATAACAAAACAATCAAGATGACATTTGCCTTGTTAAGCCAACTCAGCCCAATAAAAACAGAATTAAAGTGGAAGACAACTATCAGACTGCCGATGGGAATTTTAGTTGGGGAAATAGCTAAACACAATCACGTGCCAAGCACCAACTTCCTGGGGAACAACAAGAAGTTACGACCCGCTCAAACGCACAGCAGAATAAAACTAAAAGGGGAGAAGCTACCAGTAAATTTATGCACACGTTAAGCAGCTCATAACGGGCAACTTAAAAGCCGGCTAAAGATTCAGATTGGCTGAAGAAGACGACACTTTCTCCCAGGAGGAGCACTCGAGTGGGTCATGAAAGCGGAATTCATTTAAATTTATGAAGCATAGAAAAATTTATTTAGATCATGGTCTTAGGTCCTCGCCACTTGGCCAAATTGTTTATGGGCTCATGGCGGATCTCCCGCTTCGATGAAGCACTAAATCAAATCCGCGGGGAATAATCTAGAAAGCCATCAAGCTGGAGACAAAATATAACCGCAGCGAATCATTAAAAGTAAGCAAAAAGAAAAAGAGCAAAATGAGTAGCTGGAATAAATAATTAATTTTGAGTTTCTTAATAAGTTTTCATCATTATTTCGCTGAATCAATTATAACCATTATAAAAGTATAAATAATTAATTTAAGTAGCTTAAAAGTCATTTATTTTTTTTCTCAGTGCAACATTGTGGTATTTCTTTGGCTGATTAACTTTGTTGTTGCCAAGCACTTTGTGGCAAGTTGCGTGTTTGTTTGCCGCAGTCCGAAATGCAAGAATGTTGCATGCAACCAGAAGCGAAGTGGAGCAAAGGAAACGAGACAGTTGGGTCCTTGCTAGGGTCATCTCACATAGCTAAGCTCCACTGCATGACAGTTGCGGTGAACGGGGGCTTAAGGGGAAAATGGAGGCGGCTTAGACACATGTAAATCACATTGGCTCCCTCGAGTCCTCCTGCCAGTTAAAGCCACAAAAATGAAAGGCTTTCAAATGCGGATGCACCTGAGTTGGGGATTTGGCCAGCTGCATGGGAAATGCCAACCAAATAGCTTATTTTCTGCCATGTTGCGGCAAATTAAACCGAAATAGGTAATAAATATTCAGGAATTATTTCTTAGAAAAGGGCTAATGGCAGAAACTGAAATGCCTTGAAATAATCTTTTGAATAATTGATTACAATAAATAACAAACCACAAATTACCTACCAAATGCCAAGTGATTAAGTGATGTTTATAAATTTTGATTGACTTAACCAAAGGATTACCAAATATGCGGCAAAGTTTAAACTTTATCCGTTCAATCAATCAATCAAGTAAACAGGTAACTAGTTACAAACTTTAGCGCTTTTTTAAGCAATTAGTGAAAAGCAGCAGAACAAAAAGCAAAAAGCGAATGACTTCCGGATGCCAAAGTCAAACTTTTCCCAGAGAGAACTTTTAGGGCTGAGGGCAGGCAAACTGACAGTGAGGGGAATTCCAAGAACAGGAACAACACATAATCAATAAAAAGGCGAACAGAGAACACAACACGCAGTACAAAAAAAGAAAAAAGGACTCACTGTATACGAAATCTATGAAAGGTACAAAAAGAGAAATATAGTTTATTTTATTGATTGGGCGACTACTTACCCTACAGAAAATAATTAAGTAAACAAACACATAATAAAGAGCATCTGTTGAAGATGGTTCTTCCAATTTACGAGCCGTCATTAATATATTTAATTTATCTTTAGACATTTGATTAAGTAGAAGATACATTCAAATAGAAACCTTCCCTCAATAAAACCAATATGCTCTGCGGATCCTGACATTTTATAGGAAAACCCATAAAAATGAACCACTCAGACAGTGGCTTTTTATTTGTTGGTTGCTGCCCCATGTTTTCGTTGCCTTTTTTTTACCTCAGAAACATTTTCGATTTCATTTTCACTTGCCATTAATTGCTCGAGCCGCAAGGAACTTTCAGCAGGGAATTGGACGGAAAAAAGCCTTCTCTCACACATGAAATAAATACAATGCGATAAATATTTTATTAATCAACAACAACAACGACAATAAAAGAGACGGATCTGTCATTGAGTGTCCGTCCCACACGGCGTATACGCAACAAGTGACGAGCACGAGCTTTTCACAGTGCTGCGATGGCTCTTGCTGTTGAATTTTATAAGTTGAACAAAGTTAATGAAAAATGCTCGCCCAGCGAACGATGAGCGATCTGACATCGACCACATCGTCTTGTCAGCAGTCGCGTCGGCGGAAAAGCGGAAAAGCTCTCCAAGTGCCAGTTGATTTCTTACCGCGTCGCAGGCCAAACGTTTTCCTTTTTCGTATGATTTTCATATTTTTTCGAGGGGCACCGTAGAAGCGTGTGAATATTGGAAAAAAATATTAATGGCTCTCGCATTATCGATAAGGTCTATTATTAAACACTAGGTGACGCATTAATCTACCCAAAATTCGTTTAAATGTCGTGCCGTTGGCCATCCTAAGTGAAATTAAACTAATTAGCGTGCCAGTCAGGTTGAAACAATATATTACGCATACGCCCCGCAAACAAACACAAATTCGCTAAAGCGACAAAGGTGTCACTGTGTCCTGTGTGCGTTCGTGTGTTATAGCTTTTGGCCACCTGAAACCAGTCGAAACTGGTTGGTCAATCGGCCAAGAGCCGTAAATGTGGGCCAAATAAAAATGCAAAATAAAATGCCATCTATATGCCATTTATATCTTGTTAAATGAACATTTGGAGAAAAAATTCCTCTGTTCAAAGTGTTAATCTATTCAATTCTATCTATTCAAATTGTGTGAATAGTTTAGAAAACTATTTAAGTCTCATAAAAAAGAATTTATTTACAATATAAAAAGTGTGCAAAAAAGTGCTTCGGCTAAAAAACAAATCTGTTAAAATATGTTGTAAAATATATAAAAATGTGCAACTCTAGTTATATATATAAACGAAAATCGGAAACAAATTGAATAACCATTTCAGCGTTTATCTTGCTTATCTTTAGAAAACAAGGCTCATGTATCTATATGTATGTATCGGCCGAACTCAAATCCTGCACGAAACCCGAATCATTCATGAAAATAAAACGACAAATTAGTACACAAAACACTATGCATTTTTAGAGTAGAAATATAGCCAAGGTCAAGGGCCCCAAATCCCTTGACCTAGTAGAAAAAAAAGAAATAAAACCAAAAAAGAAAAAAATGAACCCAGCACGCGCAGCTCCTCTTCATGAAAATCTAATTTTATACTTTACGTGGCTCTTCCTCTTGTTTGCTTTTTATTTTGGCAAAGCACAGAACGCAAAATTTTATGTCATTAGCTTTGTTTATTTTTGGCCAGAAAACGAACAGAAATTTTCTTTTTGGTCGGGTTATTATCTCTCACACTTTTCTTGGCTTCTTGATTGTTTCGCTGCTGCTTATTTTGTTATAAGTGTATTCCTGTGGTCCTCGTTTAATGATGGACATTATTGCTGTAACCGGGCTCGTTAAAACAATTAATTATAGTTGGCCCAGCCACTTGAAAGTGTTGTAAAAATGTTTACGAGCCATTCCGTTGTTGTTATCCGTTCTGATTCTCGCTTTAGTTGATGGCTTGCGTGATTGGCGCGGTTAATGGATTTGGTAAGGGGGATTCGGATGGCGGGAATCGGGTGTCGAAGGCAATGCCCAAGTGGCTGCGAAAGGAATTATGCCTAAGTAATGCGTTTTGGCAGTTCAGCCAATTGCGCCACGGGGCGTATGGGTGATCTGATGATTGGATTGGGGAAAATCGTTTCGCCAAGACGCTTTTCCTATAACTTTATGGGCTCATTATTTTTTTGATATATTGCTAGCTATTCTTATATAGAATTTGAATTCATTCTGGCATACCATTCGGATTAATTTATACAATTTTGAGTAATGCATGTGATTTTTATTAGCTGTCGGAGAAAGGGAAGAAATTGGTAATGGTATATTGGTATTATGGAATTTAATTGGGTAATCACTTTTTGTTTTGCTGAAAGCTGTTCGTAATTTCCTTTTAATTATAAGATTAATCTTGCATAAAGTTTGTTTTGGAAATAACAAAATTTGCTTCGATTTCCTTTGCTGACTTTTCAAAATTTCAATTGAGTTTTCCCCGTTTAATGCTTTATTTAGGCAAGCTGTTTACAAATGGCCCGGCATATTGTTAGCTAAGCACTTTTCAATTTCTGCCCGCCCACGTAGCTGCCACGCCCCTTCGCAGTTCCGCTGAACAGCTGTCTAAATTTATCGCACCAAGGCAATCAATAGGCGACCATAAAACTAATTGCTCCGTGTCTTGAACTAATTAAACTCGCACAAACACACAGTAGTAATTGCCGAGCATTTGGAATTTTATTTTCCCCTTTTTTCCCTCATTTTTTTTGCGTTCCTTACGTGTTGGGAGGAAACTTGAGCCCGAGTTCGCGTATCCTGCAAGTGAGTTCGGTTCGGTTGAGCTAAGTAATTTTGAGCCGGAAACTGGCAATTTCCGCTTGCCGTTGCCACACTCGCGCCCACTTGCACACACTTTTCTGTACTTGTGTACGTTCACTTAGCCCCAAAAGCATTTGCTGCCATTTTCGTTGGCCGAATGTGCAAGTCAACGAACTTGGAGGGTTAAAGAAATAAGTAGTCGCGTGTTCGCGTTAAGCTATAAAGCTAACGGCAGAGACAAAAGGCCATAATCAACTCAACGATATTAGTTAAAGAAACTCTGATTTTTATTTAATAATAATACACTTTATAAACCAAATAAACAAATTATAAACTAATAAGCAATAATTACTTGCCACCTCTTAACTTTTTAGTTCATTGATTTAAGTTCTCTTTAAAACCGAATAAAATATTATTCTAATATATTTAAGTTAAATACAATACCTTAAATTTTAAAACATTTAAAATAACCATAAAAATAACCATCAACAAAAGCAGCGATAAGTAAAAATTAATTATGACGATTATCTTTTTTGTGATTTTGGTAAATGCAAACAAATGTTGGGTCCTCTTAAATAGAATCTAAACATAGTATAGGCCAAAATAAAAAGCAAGCTAAAAACATTCGGCAAAAACGGAAAGTTATCCAAATGAAACCACAGTTACGTTTAATCAGATAACAAAGAGCGCAGGCACACGCAACGCAACACACAGACAATCACAGACAAACACAACAAATCCCGAGAGCGGTCAACAATTAGAGAAGCGCACAACAAACAAGCCAACAAACAAGCAACCAACCACCAGCACCACCACCATCAACAAGTTCACCCACCGGTCGCATTTGAACCACCGAACTCATCATGAATTTAATGTTTCGCAAGAATTTCCGCGAGGGGGCGAGCAAATCAGGCGGCGGCGGGGGAAAGCTGCAGTCCAAGGCGAACAGGACGAAGCGTTCCCGGGACATGGGACTCGTCCAGCAGCCGGAGGAGATTCACTACAGGACCCACCTCTTCTTCTCGCCCAACAGACCCGGCTACGATGTGGGCGAAGGTAAATTTGTCGTTCGCCTTGCAAAAGCAGCCACAGCAGCAGCAACAACACAGCCACAGCAACCACAGTAGACCGTCGAAAGAGTGAACAAATGAAAAAAAAGAAAAGGGATAATTTTAAAATCAAATGTTGCACATCTTTAAAGTTTCGCCTCTCCAATAAGTTTATTTATTCTTCCAGGTTTAACTTTGATTAAAAACTATATATGCAATATATATATTTTTTAATTTTTATTTTTTACTGTTTATGATAAGCGATATAAATGAAATGTACAGTAATTAAATTCTAATATCCCTGTTCACTCTTTTGATTGTATACTGTGTATACATTTAAGCCTAGCGTCCATTTCAATCATTCCCAAACATGGCACACTCTCCGTCTCACTCTCTCTCTCTCTCTCTCTCTACCTCTCTCTGTCCCCCTCGATTACTTTGGTTCCTTTGTAGTCGCTTGAGCCTGCCCTCGGTTACTTGTGCTCCATTAACCTGACATTTGCATTTCAGCCATTTGCAGGGCATTCAATTGAAATGTTTCCATCAGTTTTACAAACATCCAACTGGCAGGTGGGGCCATTATGGCGGCCTAATTGAGGGTTAGTTTAATAGAGGCTTTATTATTTATGATCGACACTTGTTTAATACACGTGGAGTGTAACTGTAATTGAACACTCGAGGGCTGGTTTAATTGAGTTTTACATTTTACATTATGAAAGAGTTCTGCAATAGGGGATTTTATTTTTGGAACAAAAGAGTAAAAAGAAAAAAATGTTGTGCCTGAGCTTGGACTTGAAACCTGAACCCTTTGATTAGAAGTCCAAGGCTCTACCACCCGAGTTACCCGGACACTTAACTAATTGCGAATTTTTTATTAATCTTGAACTTTAAAACCCAACAAAAACTATAATTAGCTGATAGTAAAGCTTTCCATTACTTAATTCGATCCAGTGATAAGGTATTAATCAGATTCAGCAATTAAGAAAGCGTAAAAATATTATTTTTTGCTTTAATTTATAGTATACATTTAGGGATATATGGTTTTTAGCAGTCCACCTTTCATGCATTACTAACCTTAGTAAGGAGCTCACCTTTTCGTGGATATTTAGTTGCTACCGAGGCATCGCTTCCGCCTTCTAAGCTGTGCTCCTGTTCGTGCGACTGTGCGTGTGTGTGTATGTGAAAGTGTGTGTGCAGAGGTGAGTGGGTGAGTGCCAGCATCAGCTAATCTTCCAGTTTCCAGTTGGCTTGGCTTAAGGGGCACAGAGCGCAGAAAGAAAGCAAAAGCGAGAGCGTATGTAAGTTACTATTTGATTTCCCTTTCAACTATATATTTTCACACATTCCGCCTGTGGCAATGGCCTTCAATCTAAGCCAAAATCCAAGGTCCAAGGAGTTTTTCCAGCAGCATCAGCATCTGCAGAGCAGAGCCTACTAACCCACGAAACTGATGAATGTGTCTAGTTTTGGTCCCCATTGTTAATAAACTCAGCAACCAAAAGGAACTTTGACCCAGTCCCTTAGTCCTCGCACTTTACACTTCATTATAGTAGCACTTTAATGGGTAGATTTCTTTGTGTTTTTAAAGTAAATGAAAATTTTCAAGGCTCAAACCATGACAGTATTGAATTATTTATAGGGTTTCTCTATCTTTTACAAATAAATCCACCCATTTTATCCAGCTAGCAAGAAGCACAACCCCATTGACCCCCTGAAATTCGTTTTGTTGTTATGTTTGCTGTGTGCGTGTGTGTTGTGTTGTGTTTTGTGTGTGCATATAAAGTATCGAGAGCCTCCAATTTTCAGAACGATGTAGCGCCCTGTCAGGCATCCCGAGCACCCCGCTGTCGAGCACCGCCCCCTCGCTGGCACTCCCCGGCAATCTGCCGTACGAGCTGGACATTCCGCAGCCGCTGGTCGACCGCCGGCCGTCCGTCTCCCTGATGCGCTGGAGCAGCAGCGGACCGGGTACGGAGAGCAGCAACAACAACAGCGCTAGTAACAGTCTGATCCGCCTGCAGCAGCAGCAGCAGCAGCAGCAACTCCAGCAGCAAATGCAGCAACAAATGCAGCAGCAGCAGCATCTATTGGCAACAGCAACAGCAACAACACTGGGGTACGCTGATGCAACGGTGGCCACGGCAACAACAACATTGCTAGCGGCCGCAGCTGCAGCCACGCGGCAAGGTTTGAGTCCCCCCCTACAACAAAAAAAAAAATAAATATAATATCTCAATCGATCTGATTGAGATCTCAACTATAGTTGTTGTTGTTGCTGCCCAAAACTCGATCAACACTAATTGTCTCATTTGCCAGCCAGCTCATCCAAAAAACCAACACTGATACACTCAAACAAATTCCTATCTTTTGCACCCCCTTCCAAAACCGAAAAAACACTCTAATCCCCCTCTTAAGTTCCACAATTAATGTTTGTTGCACGTTGTACGTAGCTAACCCCAAAGTTCTTCTACAATACTTCAATCTGACTGTTGCAAGTTCTGTCTTGTTTCCGTTTCCGTTTCCTTTTCTGTTTAAAAATGTGATTGTTGGTGAAAACTAGTGAAAATACTGAAAGCTAGACATGTTCTCGGAGACGCCACAACGCTTTGCCTCGCTTTCAGTATTTTGCGGCAAGCTTCAGGGGAATCACACGAGCTCTGGGATCGATCTCCTATAACTCAAGCCAAATCTATTAATCTATTAATCGCAGCTTAAAGAGGATCTTAAGGCGAAGCTTTGAAGCAATCATCATTGGCTTGCCAGGAGCTAATATTATTTGATGTATTTCTATAACTAAATGGCTAACTTTAATGGGTCTTACTTATCTGGAGCGTACGATTATAATATTTTACTGTACCTTACAGTGAACTTCGGTGGTGGCGCCAACTCGGGAGTCACACGAGCGGAACCCATTTCACTGGCCACTCTGGATCGCGACTGCTTCATCATTCCCGTGCACAGTGTGGATCGATTCCTGCCAGCCGGAATTCCAGTAAGTCAAATATAATATTAAATGTATTTATTAAGAATAAAGAACACCTAATTTACTAATTAATATATATTGAGAAGTCTTATTAATAAAGCAATTCATATATTTAGAATAGTTCTAATACAGTAAATCAAAGGACTTACTTAACTTGAATTCCCCTTTCCAGCTGCCTGCTTTAAATGCCGAGGGTAAGGCCACGAGTCCTTTAAGCGTACTGGAAGTCTCAGATCCCAAGCTCTGCATCCTGGTGCACTTGATGAGTCCCCTGGAGGCCATAGATCCGGTGATGGAATCGCCGCTTTCGCATCCGCTGCTCAAACAGCGTTCCATTGCCTCCGAACTGGTGACTGAAGTGCAGCAGGCCAACACGGCTGTGGGTGGAATGCTGCTGGCCAACATGGAAAAGAACTGTAAGAACTGTAATATATATACCTAAGATATATCTAATAAATAACATCCCCTGGCCAGCCGAGTTCCCCTTCATCTCGTACTATCTGATCAACACACTGCAAACGGATCCTTCCAGTTTTTATGCCGGACTGCGCGTCTCCTCGCTGTCCAAATTCGAACCAAAGGCCCTCAAGTGAGTGCTCCAATCAGAGCGCCAAATTGCCCATTTATATTTCAATCTCAATTCGAATTTGAAATCCATTGCCAGATACACTGCCGCCCACACTTTGGATCTGTACAGCGAGGTGGCTGCCATTTGCCGGCCGCCTTTGGTTTTGCCCTCGAACGAGGCCGGCAGCTTCAAGAAATCGCAGACCGCGGCCACCGGCTACATTATTAGCGTGTTCAAGGTGGGCGGAGCAAGTGGGCTTGGATTGGCGATTTTCATGAAAAATTCAATTTTAATTCCGCAGGTCTTCGAGGGCGACGATGGCGAGCGATTCGAAAAGAATTGGCTCTACTGGACTGGCGCCCGAATGTTGTACAGGTACACTTCAATAAATATGAATATATTTATGGGGATAATTTTAGAAACCTATTCATCCGGATTAAACTGTTTTATATATTCCTTTCTGTTTTATAAATCAAAATACGTTATGTTTAATCAAAACTTATTTTACCTGCTTTAAAACTTTAAGTGTACGCTGTTCCTTTTTCTGTTTCAAGACGTTGTTTTTTGCCGGTATCCATGGTTTTCTGTTTACATATTTTCTATGCTGTTTTAAGTGCATAATACAGTAGACTCCAAGATGGTAGCTCCCTTGTAACCTTTTGTATTTTCCCTCCCTTTTTGCAGATACCTGCCACGTGCCGCCGGCCTGAGGCGCATCGCCCTGCACAAGAGCACCTCGCAGAAGGGCGACAAGATGTACCTGCTGGTGTGCGAGTGCGCCGATCTGCTCAAGGACATTTCGCTGGCGGCCTTCCTGATTCCGGCACTGAGAGCCAGACTCTGCGGATACACGGGACTCTATCGACCAATACAGGCCTTCTAACTCCTTTTCTAACTCCTGTATATAGTGGATCTAGGGCTAGATCTAGGGCTAATGCGAAACAAACACTGCAATGTGAAAGAAACTGCACCTGTTACGTGATTCTAATTCGATATTTACTAGGCCTAAACAAATTTTTAAACTCTCTCCAGTCAAACTCAGCTCTGAAGAAGGGAAAGCGAGGGAAATGTGCTAGTTAGCCCTCACAATTAGGCATCTAACTTAAGTAGTAGACAATATACTCAAGGTAACTCCATATCGTGTGCTAGATTTTTCTATAAATCATATAGAGGCAAGCCCAAATAATAGGACCATATCTAGTGTGAGTTGATAGCGAAGAAAACTTCCATTTTAGCCACAACAAATATAGATTCAGTGGGAACTATATACATATATATCATAGTTTTAGTCCCAGTAGTTAATCACAAATATAAACGCTGAATTTTTGCGCTGAAAAGTAGGCTATGAAATCTGCAAACCAAGAGTCAATTCTTAGCGTAAAACATTAACTAAAATAGATTGTGAAGCTGGGGAAAAGTATGAAATTGAATGGGTTTCAAATAGAGGGATGGGGGATCTAGCTAACTTTGCCCAAATCTAACAGAAATCTGCCAAAGACACAAGCAAAACTAATCTTAATTTGATTCGAGTAATTGTTTTGAATTCAACATTTTTTAAACTTAAGCAAATGTGTAAGCCAAATAAGATTTTCAATCAAAAAATTGACTAAATAATGCTTGGCTATAGCTTGCCACTTACACATTAGGAAATATACCGTACATATAAACAATTGTAAATAATTTGACGAACTTTTAAGGCACTTGCTCCGACGAACTCACAAAAACCGCCGGGTTCCTGGCTTGAATTTGAGAAATATATAATTTTGCACAATAAAAACAGAATCAAAAAGTGCTGTGATAACTAAACTAAAGCAGAGCAGAGCCACAAAAGCAAAAGAGAATAAAATCAACAAAATAAGGATAATCCCAACCATAGAACTTCATTTCACCCAGTCAAAGACAATATCATTTAGCTGCCATTACAAAACCACAGGTCTCTGGCTTATTTTTTTCCAAAATTATCCAATTAAATAGATAACCTAATAACAGACAACTTTCAATGCTTATGCTAAGCCTAAAGCCTAAGGAAATAATAATTACCAAATGTTTGAAACTTTTTTGTCACATCTTAAGCTACAAGCTTGGAGCAAACAAACGTTTGGCGCGTTTTAGCATTAATAATAAAGCGTAAATTTAAAATACACTAAACGAGACTTTTAGCCAAAGATATTGTCGAACATGTATCCGCCCCGTGGTCTCTTGAAATCAGCCTCGCGTTTTCGATGCAGAACGTAGGCCTCGAACTTTTGGGTTTGCAGGGGACCCCAATTGGCAGTGGGCTGCATGGCCATTCTTATTTTCTGTTCAACAAAGGGTAACAATTATTATTTACTATTTTAGACAAATATTTTCTGTTTACTTACACTGCCAAAAGTTTTGCCGGGCTGCTGGAAAATCGTGACCAAAGCCCAGAAGGGCAATTGCAGCACTCCCAATCCCCAAATAAGCCAACCAGCCATGTAGTAAGCAGGTGGATACTGAACTCCCCGATACGTAAGAGGTTCGTAGCTAAAAAGCATGTAGGCCAGGACCAAAAACATCAGGCCAGGTGCCACAATGGCCCAGCAAATGCGCCAGTAGAAGCTGGTCTTCACATTCAACATGAACTCAATGTCGCTGCAGATGCGCTTCACGCCATAAATCCAACTGAATGCCAATAACTCTGCGATGGCCAAGACCAAGGCTATAAAGGTGCAGCCATAGAAATCCACGAGATTCAGTATAAACTGTCCACCCGGAGTCATGTAAACCAGTCCGCAAAGGAAGCCAATCACCGAGGCTCCGACAGCTAACAACCAATGTGGCAAGTGGGTGAATCGATCCTTGACCACATTCACCACAGCACTCGCCATTCCGATATTCGATCCTATTCCCAAGACCAGGAGCATGAAGAAGAACAGCACGGCAAACAGTTGGGGAAGGTACTTGAACTTGGCAATGGCCTCCGGATAGGAAATGAAGGCAAGACCAGCTCCACCTTTGACCACCTGCGAAATATCCGAGGTGTTTGTCTCATAAGCAAGATTGCCTAGAATTCCGAAGATAATGCAACCAGCCAGAATGGAAGTTAGTGAATCTATGGTGGTGATTATAATCACATCTCTGGAAAGCAATGGTTGTTGTTAAATAAAGTTCAAGTGATAGAATTACAACTTACTTGTGCACATTCTTGTGGAAATCGTTGAAGGAAGCGTACATAATCAGAGTGCCAAAGCAAATGGCCAGAGAGAAAAACATTTGCGTAATGGCCGCATACCAAACGTGGGGATTCAGCAACTGTGACCATTGTGGCTTCAAAAAGTACACAATACCCTGCCAAGCTCCTGGCAAAGTGACTGCCCTGATCAGCAGTACGAACATAATCACATAGGGAAAGAGGGCCAGGAAGTAGGAAGCCTTCCCTGAACTCCTTATTCCCTTGGATAAAACAGTGCCAATAATCACCCAGGTGGCTAGGAGGCATAACACCAAATCCCAGCTGGGAGTTCCCAAACCATTATCCTCCAAAGTTTCGGGTTCCCTGAGAACCGTTTGTCTGTAAAGGATAAGTGATTATATTAGAGTTATTAATGGGAACCTTTCTTAAACTTACGTAAAGAATAACTCCGCGGAGGAGACGCCCTGGGAAATAGATGTATCGTTGGCGGCAGAGGCTCCTGTGGCCACACAACTGCTGCCCCATTCCACCAGACAATAAGTCCATGGCAGGACCTCACTGAAACTGGCCACCAAATATCTGATGGTCAATGCCATAATGCAGGCGTAGTAAGTTGTAGCCAATGCGGTGGAGTACACCTGCCCATAGGCAATACCTGTATAAATTTAATTATATAATTGCAGGAATCAAATTAAAGAAAGTTAAGGTACTAACCTTTCATAATAGGCGCCATATCAAAAGCCTTAATGCAACCACGACTTGAAAACTGTCCCACAATCACTTCCAGATAGTAAACAGGTCTTCCAATTAGAAGCAAAACTATCACATAGGGGATCAAAAAGGCTCCTCCTCCGTTTTCCAATGCAATAAAGGGAAACCGCCAGACATTTCCAAGACCCACGGATAAAGCGATGCAAGAGAAGAGGAACTCCACACCCTTGCTCCACTGATCTCGGCTAGAGGATTCGGATTGCACCTCCACCTCGCAGTTTATGGTGAGCTATTAAATCAGAGGTTTTACTAAATGATATGTATTTTAAAAGGAAGACTCACTTCCTCTCCTTCCGCGGTGTAGACAACTGTAGAGCAAATGTCATTGCTCGATCCTGGTTGTCCTTGCCTAGATCCTTGACCTTCCTCCATGTTTCTGCGAAGTCTCTGGTATTCTGTAGCATCATCCATAGTTGAGGATTAGGGCTAATTTAGGGTACAAAACAATAGATGAAATGCGAGCAGCGGACAACACAAAAGCTCAGGTGCATCAAGATGGACAGCTTAACAATAAGTGCCTGAAAGATAATATCTCATATTATTCAGGTCAGTTTCCCAAGATGAAGGGTAAATGGAATTGACGTAGGACCTCTAAATATATTCTACTAATCATACCATTTCAAAGCTTCTAGCTTACATTTCTCCAAAACTAATCGGCTTAAAATATAAAACAGGTGACAATTTTTGACGTCATTCGATTTTTGGCTAATTCGGTAGTTTATGAATTTGTTTACTTTGATTTTTATGGCTCTCGATCGTTTTGCTCGCTTAAAAATAGAAACTCGAACTAAATCCCTGTTAATGTTGACCGATCAGAGATTTGCATATCTAAATAGTCATTCAAACAAAGCCGAGCCCCTCTTTCTGGTTTCCATTGTATGCAATTTCACGGCTTTATAATTTTTGAGTTTTTAATTCACAGCTGGTTATTGGGTTATTAATTTATTCGCAATGAAGTTCGCTAATCTGTTTTCGGGAATTAATTGCAATTATCTCAAGAAGTAATTTATGACTCTTGCTGCAGTTGACTGATAGACAAAATTGCAATCTTTGAGGGTTCATCGCAACCATTAATCTCCGAACTTGAAATGTTTACCATGCTCTGCAGTTCTTGAACCAAGGTATGCTCAACAATTTTTGGAATCCGAAGAATTGTCAGAAGATTCCCTTATCTGAACGCTTGCCTGTCTGCTGCAAAGTGTTAGATGCTAATGCTAACACTGTTCGTCAAACCCAATTTAAATCTAACAGCTAGACAAAAGTTGTGGACATTGGCTTGAAGAAGATTTGGAGGTTCCAATTGGCGGTTGCCTGCCAGATTTAATCTTATCTTATGCTGGGATCATGCTATAAACCAAAGGTTTGTGGGACCAATTTCTTTTGGTTATCTCTATTAAAAACGCACTATTTATTCTGCAACCAGCACCACACACTTTTTATTTTGAATTGTGAGTAATTCTTGAACATACACTTGCTGGTTTTTAGAGGACCGAATTGTCAACCGTTCTTAACAAGCTGCTTGATGCGACTAACTGGCATTCATCAGATAATCTGCTAGGAAACCTATGGAACACATGAGGCAGCGACGTTTGAAAATTGCCGAGATGAGCGTCGATTGCTCTCTCGCAATTTTAAAGCATATTTCCTGGAGATCTACTACGTGAAATAAGCTCATACTTATAAAGAAAATATAGCATAAAAAATGCTTAATATAGTCTGCAAATATCGGGAATGTATAATCCAACTTATGGCGGCGACCCTGCCCTCAAAATGCAAATCATTTCAATTAGTTGTGCCCGATTTAGAGTACTACGCCAATCGAAGCTAATCGATTCATCAAGCCGCCGCTATAAACAAGAATTCGCCAGATTTGACAATTATTTATTATTTACGAGTACAAAAAAAGATGCCGTTGCTCAACGATTACAATAAATTTTGTTTAGTTATCTTAAGAATTTCCTTGCCTTGCGTTTTTGTCCTGGGAGTCTATAATTGTCTTAATTAATTTTGCTGGTTTTTTTCATTGTTTTGGGGAGAGAGTCCAAGTCGGTTTGCGGTTTTCAATGGTGTTTGCAAGAAGGTTGAGTGCTCGAGCGATGTGGTTGTTCGGAGGAACTTCGATGGGAGCCGAGGGAGCGCAGTTGGTGATGCAGTGGCTCGAAGAATCTACCATGCGGTGGAGACATTCCCCGCCTGGGAGGTTCCGACTGCTGCTGGGTTCGCAGACGCTTCGGTGGAAACCCGGAGGAAATGTCGTCGCTAATGGGAGTATCTACTCGATCTTGGTCGCCACTGCAACCGTCACCTTGTCTAACTTCGACAGCTGGCACAACTTCAAAAAAGTGTCTACCATTATTGCCAATGATTATTTTGGAATAATCGCGACTGCAAAAATTTAAAAGAAATTAATAATGAAAGCTAGATTAAAAGTTCGCTGCCTTGCCCTTACTTACACAAAAAGTTTGGAAATTGGCCAGTTGAAATGAGGTCTTCAATTTAAGTGTACGATGATCTCCGATTGCAATAAATTGTGCTCAAAAACGTTTCAATATCTGCCGAAGGTTTTATAAGTAATGGCAAGCTAGCGAACTGTTTTGTGTTAAATAATTATTTAAATCAACTTACAGGGTGTGTTTCAGGTGTTTAATCTCCTCCTGCATAAGGACATTCCGCTCATCCTGCTTAGCTCGATTATTGTTCAACCGTTCGTTTTGATCCTTCAGCAACTGGATGATGTGCTCCTGCCGCTTAACCTCCGTTTGCTTGTGCTTTAGGGTTCCGAAGAGGTTGTGGGACTCCTCCTCCTTCGAGGCCAGCTCGTTGTTTACCTGCGAGGGAAAAAGGGATAAGCATAAGCAGGGACATCAACGGCTTTCGCGCGGACCTGATTGATCATCGTGTCCTTCTCGCTAACTTCAAAGTACATTTGTTCTAGTTTTAAGCGGTTCTCGTGCTCCAACTTCTGCAGGCGATTGATCAAATCGCTGCGAGCGGTTAGCATCTGCTGATCCAGTTCGATCTGATCGCGCATCTTGGCCACCTCCTTGCGCAGCTCCTCTTCTGCCTTGGCATGGATCTCGGCCTCTTTGGATGTGCTCTTCAATGCGTTCGAGAGTTCTCTGGTTTTGAAAACAGAAACTTTTGTTATAAGTACCTCCCAAAGTGTTCCCAAACTCACTTAATCTGCTCTAAAGCTTGCTTGTGTTTCTCATTCAGACTGTCCAAGTCGGCGTGCCTCTTCAAAGTGGTATTAACCTGCTTGTTGAGCATGTTCTTGTGCTGCTCGAGATTCTGCAACTGAAGCCTCAGATCGCTGATGATCACGTCCTTCTCCCTAACGCCCTTGTCAATGGTATCCGGACGCTTCTGGAGATTCACAATGAGCTCGCGAGCCTCCTTGAGCTCGCCCTCCAAATAGGCGATCTTTGCCAAATGTTTATCAACGGATTTCTGGGCCCGTTCCATGCCAACAGTTGTTTCTTCCAGGCGCTGAATCATCCGCTGGTTGCTATATGTATATAGTAAAAAGTAATATATTAGAACAAGGTAGAGATTATATATTTCAGATAAAGCTTAAATCTGTTTCTTCATCTATCAGCTATACTGATACTTACCTAGCCTTGAGCTTGTCGAGTTCAGCTCGTAGTTCCTCGATGGTGGTATCCTCGCTCAACCGGGTTGCATTCCTCTCTGCCAATCGAATCGACTGCTCGGCCACAAGTTCCTCGGCTCGCTTCAGGCTCTTCCTCAACTCCGTGATGGTCTGATCCCGACTGGCCAACTGGGATGCCAGCTTTGCCTCGTAGTCGATTTGCAGTTGATTCAACTCCTCGCAGTGCTCCTTCTTCACTTCGAAGTAACGACTCTCGGCGTGTTGCTTTTGCAAACGCAGATCCGCCATTTCGCGGTAAAGACTGCTGTTGGCCGCCTCCACATTTTTGGCCTGTGAACCGCACAGTTGATCGATCTCCTCGGCAATGCCTATCATTTTGTGATCCTATTGTACAATGCAAATAGTTTTGAATTAAATTTTGAATACTTGTATGTGATTTATGCACTTACTAATAGATTTTGTAACTTGAACCGTATATCCTCGCGCTTGTTTCGAGCTTCGCACTCATTACTTGCCCGTTGAATATGCGGCAAGTATTCGTACAACATCATCAAACCCAAATCGATTACGGTTCGACAGCGATCTTTCAAGTCATTTATGCTATCAAGGGCTACAACAAATAGAAAAAGTTTTTAATGGAATAGTTGCTTACTTTTAGGCACTTTTATTATTTTCTGAAAGACTATATATAAACTTACGCAGATTCTTGGGCAATCGCAGCAGGTCATCCTCGTGGACCACCACCTTGCACTCGTCGTTGAGGACAACGGATATGAACTTGAAGGTACCTTCGATTTTTATCCCTTGGGGACCGAGAGATCGGAGCTTGTGCATGAAATCCGACTGCATGTTCTCGAGTTTCTTTTTCTGCACCTCGATGGCTCGAACTTTGTTCGTCTCGATCACTTTTCGGTGTGCGTTTTCCGCCTTCACGATTGATTGACATCCTATACCTAAGAGAGAAGTTCTTAAATTTCCATATCATGAACTAGGGGTTACCAACTACCATCGCCAGCTTTCCTTATGGCCATGTGTCGTTGTCGTGCCAGGATATTCAATTGTGGTTGCTTTGAAGTAAGAGTTTGCTTGGGGGTCACCCTATCCGGTTCAGTTTTGCGATCGGAATCCACCTCGGAGGCAGGTCGGATGGACGTGAATGACGCACTGGGACTGGTGTGGCCCTCCGAAGGAATCGACCGAATCGGGGAAGTGCTTCGAGTTTGAAGAGCCAAAATACGTCGAATTGGGATGCGACTAACCGCCAGACTTTGACTTCGATTAGCGGGCATTGGCGTAGGTTTTACGATGGGAGCAGGAATGCCAAAAGTGGCACATCTTGAGGTGGCAAGAGCCTGGGTAAATCAGTTGTATGCTGAATATCCAGAAAATGATACTCTTTAAGTCTCACTCACCCAAGCGCCAACTAAGTCAGCGGGCCTTTCCGTTTTTCCCACTGCCCTCAGCCGAGATGCTTTATTATCTAACGCAAGAATCAAGTGTTATCACATTTCAGTAAATCTTATTTAATTTTGGTTCTAAACTTACCGCGAACAGGAGTCGACATATTGCTGTATAAGTAGTGCAACTAAACGCGCTTTTTGAAACAGAATATTTTGATTAAGAACAGGAAAGAATATACAAAATTTCGTCTAAAAATTACAACCGTGCGATATCAAATGTAAATTGTATAAAAATGCTCTGTTGCTTACGTGTTTGACTTTGGAAGTATACTGAATTCTAGGGCACAGCCCACTCTACAGGAAAAAGTTTCGTTCGAATATGTCAGTTCCACTGTAGCCGGTGTTTTTTTTTCCTGGGGATCTTTGTTTAGAATTGGCGTATGAAAACAAATGAGCTCCATCAACAAATGCGAAACTTTGGATGAAACGGAAGCCACGTTAAATGAGGGAACCAAAGTGGAACGTTGGGTTTCTCTCTCCGAGGTTTTGATTCTCCACAATCCATTCGTCGGAACCGAAATGATGCACATCGTCTGTCCAATAATCAGCTCGGGGAAATTTGCATTCAGTTGCTGTTCGTCCGCCTTCCGAGTAAGTTCTAAATTCGAATTTCCCTCTGGCAAATGGATCTAGATATTGTTTAATAAGTGATATACTAGAATCAGTGCAAGTACCAAAAAACTATCTCAAGAATCATAAAAGCTGTGTTTCTTTTATCTTAAACTAAAAGTTCAAGTGAACAACGTGGTATTAATCAATAGGTTTTTCTTTAAAAGACAGAAGTGAAAAGAAGCCCTAAAAGTGCTTTTAATCATTGAATCTGGTGGAATTGTTTTTGTCACCCTCGTGGGCCTGTTATTTGCTTACTTTTGCTTTAGACAGTCGGCGCATTTTTCAATTGAATTTAATCAGTGACGTAGACGGTCTATATAGTACACATATGTATACGCAACGCGATCCGATTTTCAAGGGGTAAACAACCAAGCCGCCTAGTTCAAGTTCCGCATGGCAATTGATCCGCTGCAGCTTTAATCCCAAAGGAAATGGAAAGTGTGTGCGGAGAAAGAAATATGCATTTCAATAAAGTTATCCAATTGAAGGCCGTTTCTACGAATTCAAGTTCAATTCAAAACTGGACTGCCATTGACACTCGATACGAATGCGGATAATTAAGACAATTAATGATGACCAGAAATAGTTTTTCCCATTAAATGAATCTCATGTGTAATTTCGCATTTCAGCACTTTGCAATGAAAACTGCGGAATACTTTATATTGCTGCTGAGTTTGGCGAGAGTTTTGCCGCAAATCGAGGGCTGCAATAGGGTTCCGCTGGGAACCACGGCAGCCAAGTCACCGGTGGATGATAACTATGTGCTCTCCGTGAACGGAAATGCTCAGAGTTATGTGCCCGGTCAGAGGTATAATGGTGAGAAATGATGTTATAATTTTTTAAAGTACCCAATCATGTATTTAATCAAATTATTATACCCCATTCTTAACTCTCTTTTCATTTTTCTAGTAAGCCTGAGTGCATTTTCTGGCTTGTCCTTCATCAGCTTTATGCTTTCCCTGGATCTGGAAACCGGCGAAGATGAAGGTGACCCCAATGCCCTGGGAACCTGGGAGATTGCCGATCTCACAGAGACGCGTTTCAGTCCTCGCTGTGCAAATCTGGTGGAGAACACCAACACGAATGTGAAGACCCGCGTGGACGTGGTCTGGGTGGCTCCTTCTACTCCAGGACATGGTTGCATCCTGCTGAGGGCGACGGTGATGCAGCACCGCGATGTGTGGTTCATGGACGATGGCTTCCTCACCAAAAGAATGTGCGAGGAGGAGGTGGACGACATTGACACGCAGCCGAGTATTGTGGATCCTTGTTGTGCCTGTGATGAGGCTAAATATGAAGTGGGTTGTCTTTTAAAAAAGATTTATTTAGATATAATATAATCCTTACATTATAGCTCACCTTCGAGGGAAAGTGGTCACGGCACACGCATCCCAAGGACTTTCCTGCCAACAGTTGGCGCACCAGATTCAGCGATATAATTGGTGCTTCGCACACCTTGGATTATCGCTTTTGGCAATATGGAGAGTTGGCCAGCGAGGGACTTCGCGAGGTGGCGGAACATGGTTCCACGAGGACATTGGAGAGCGAACTGAAGGACCAGAGCGAGCACATTCGTACCATAATCAAGGCAAGAGGCATTGCCTATCCGAATGTCACGGGCAAAACTTTCGCCGTTTTCCGGGTAGACTCCCATCACCATTTGATTTCCTTGGTTTCCATGGTGGATCCCTCGCCGGATTGGATCGTTGGTGTTTCTGGTTTGGAGCTTTGTCTGCCCAACTGTTCCTGGGTGGAGAACAAGGTGCACAACCTGTATCCCTGGGATGCGGGAACAGACAGTGGTCCTTCTTATATGGTGAGATATATTCTCTAGCTTTAATATTTTATATGCTAACCTTTGCAATCGTTATTTTAGTCTGCTGACCAACCGCAAGTTCCACCAGATGTGGTCCGTCGCATCAAGTCCAACTTCCCCAACGATCCTCGCTCGCCATTTTATGATCCCACTGGTGCCGAGATGAAGCCACTGGCCACCTTGCACATAAATCGACGACGTCTCTATGAGAAGAATTGCGAGTCCAACGATTGTAAGTGATTATTTAAGCTATAAGAATTACCAAACTTTGAACTTTTAATCGTTAATCCTCACATTTAATCTTAAAGCGGAACAAGTGCCTCCCGAGTGTGCCACACATGCCTGGTCGAGATGGGATGAGTGCACCACAAAGTGTGGACCTGGCAAGCAGTACAGGATCCGTGAGTTCAAGAATCCCACACTGGCTTCGGTAAGGAATTGAGAATTATAAGCACGCTAAGTAATAATATGTATTTCCCTCTTGAAGCGCCATCGTTGCAACAACGCGTTGAGGGAGGAGAAGAACTGCGAGGGACGCAAGTGCGCCAGCTTTAATGAGGAGGCAGCCGAGGGAGTCCAGCCGGAGGCAGTGCCTGCTCCTGGCAGCCAGGACGATCCCCAGTGCGGGCTGTCCGAGTGGTCGGAGTGGTCCTCCTGTACGGTGACCTGCGGCACCGGCGAGATGACCCGATCCCGGCACTACCTGAACAAGAAGGCCAAGAAGAAGTGCCAGAAGGCGAGCAAGGCGCGACTGCACGAAACGAAGATCTGCGAGGCCATGGATTGTGGTGGCGACATCGAGAACGGAGGAGATGCAGGCGAACCGGAGGAGGAGCAGGCGGGTGGCGATGAGGGTGGTTCCGCCGAGAAGCGCTCCCTCTTCCGGAACTTTGAGAGCTACAGTCAGCATCGGGAGGAGGACTACATACCCCCAGTTTGCGGGGTGACTCCCTGGTCGGACTTCTCGCCCTGCATGGGTCCCTGCGGAGGTCATGGAAAGCGTCAGCGGATCCGCAAGGTGTGGAACAACAACGAGGTGTACGGGGTGGTCGATCCCAACGACGATGGACAGGATCCCTGCCGGCACATCAAGCTGCACGAGGAGGTGAACTGCACGATTCCCAGCTGCGATACGATTGTGCCCGGCTTTTGCTACGATCAGCTGACGGAGAGTCCTTGTCGCGACAGTGATGTGACGAACTTCTGGTACTACGACCACGTGAGCGACCAGTGTGCCATCTACTGGTCGGACCGGTGCGACAAGAACCGCAACAAGTTCAAGTCGAAGGAGGAGTGCGAGGACACCTGCCGCCTGCCGCGCCACAAACAGGAGCTGCAGCACGACGGGATTCCGCCCATCGATTGCCTGGTCTCCGACTGGGTGTCCCACAGCTGCAACGCCTCCTGCGGCGATGGCTTCCAGTTGCGCACACGTCGCGTGGTAAGGACTCCCAAGTACGGCGGCAAGCCGTGTCCCAAGCACCTGGTTCGCCTGGACCGCTGCTACCAACGGTGCTCGGAGGTCTACTCGATCAGCGGCCGGGGATTCGGCGAGCGGCGACATGTGGCGAAGTCACCGCCGCCGGAGCCGCGCGACGAGTGCCGCTACTCGGAGTGGTCCGCCTGGACTCCCTGCACCGCCAGCTGCGGCGACAACGCGGTGCGCCAGAGGACCCGCACCCTGCTAAACACCGACATGAGCTTCAAGTGCAAGGACCGCGTCCGCATGGAGAAGTGCGTCATGATGCCCTGCCTCCTGAGCAGCAACGATGAGCCGGAGCGGTGGTGAGGTGGCCAAAGCTTTCATCTCCTGACAAGTATTAGTTAAACTCCGAATATGTAATCGCTGTCCAGGAAATAGTATCCTAAACATTCCAGTCTCTGGGCAAGCTTAATTAATTTTCAAAAAATAAAAAGCCTCAAATAACCCAAGTCCTTCGGTGTTTTAATAAATACTATACTGTTTAACGCTGTCTTAAAAAAAATTTTTCTAATGATTCAGTTGGTTAGACAATTGAAATGCAAACATTTAGAGGTATGCCAATTCGAAATGTGATTAAAATTAGAAAAAGTTATGGGCTTAGAAGTAGTGAATTCTGGTCAATTTGGAAAAGGAGGCTGGGTGCATCATAAAAATGATAAGTTATAAGGACTTATGAAAAGACGTTAAAAATAGATTTTTTTCGCGACAGTCACTCAACCCAATGCGTTGTAATTTTCATTCACATCAGTTTGTCCTTGGCCCAGATATATTGAGTGACTGTGAGCAGTTTCCGAGTGATTTTCGCCGGGCTCCAAGTTCAAAGAACTCGAGTTGGAAGCGTTAATTGAGAGCGTGCCACAAAGTGAACCATTCCTAATTGATGGCGACTCAATCAAGATGGCACAAGCTGTCAACGCGACAGCGCCGTTCAAGGGGATAATTGATAAATTGAAATGCTCATCGATTAATAGAGAAGGCGACGACTCACTCAATTTCGGCACTGCATTTGCCAGTTGGTTGGTCAGTCGTCGTTGAGCTTTGGACAAGTATGGATATCCAGAAACGAGAGGAAATGATACGTATTTTATTGCTCCTAAATTTGCTGGTTTTTGAGGTAAGAGGAGCCTGCAATCGGATTCCCCAAGGAGCCTCTGGAGAACGATCGGCTGTGGATGATAACTTCAAGATCTTGATCGATGGAAATCCATCGACTTATGTGCCAGATCATCAGTACAATGGTGAGAGATAGAAAACAAAACTCTTAAGAAATAATTAAATTATTTTTCGTCAATAGTTTCGCTTTCCTGTCCAATCAGCATGAAGTTCATAAGTTTCACATTGGTCATCGAAGCCGAGGATCCTGCTTTTAGTGGTCCGGAAATGATTGGACATCTGGAGCTTCTGGGCAGCACAGATACCAGATTTAGTACCAGTTGCGAGAACATGGTGGAGAGCACAAATACCAACGCCAAAGTGTACATCGCGGTCTCCTGGATTGCACCTCGTCATCCGGACAGCGGTTGTGTGCTGATAAAAGCGGGAGTTGTACAACATCGGGATGCGTGGTTTCTGGACGATGGTTTCCTCACCAAGCGGATTTGTCCCGAGGAAATCGACGAGCTAAACATTTTGACGCCGCCCTTGGAAAATTGCTGTGCCTGCGATGAGGCCAAATATGAGGTGCTTAGACCTATAGAAACCTTTGATGATCTTTAATGGATTGCGTTTCTCTTGTAGATTGTTTTGGAGCGAAAGTGGGCGAGGAATACCCATGCTAAAGACTTTCCCACAGAGGCCTGGCGCACTCGTTTTGGGGAGGTCATTGGAGCTTCCCACACCCACAGCTATCGATATTGGGCCTACGGAGGTAGAGCCAGCCAGGGAATGAAGGAGATGGCTGAGCATGGAGCCACAACAACCTTGGAGAACGAGATCAAGGAGAACACTCAAGTGGGTTTCCGGCTATCCTGCATCCTTTGAAGTAACTTTATTCCGATTTATTACAATAGAACGGAGAGGTGCGGACTATAATAAGAGCTCCTGGCATTCCATACCGCCTGAATACCTTTGGGATCACACTGGCCAATGCCCGTGTGGATCCTGTTCACCATCAGATTTCGCTGGCAACCAAGATATTCCCCTCCCCCGATTGGATTTTGGGCGTGGCAGGTTTAGAGCTCTGCCTGAGCAACTGCACCTGGCTGGAGAGGAAGGTATTGAACCTGTATCCCTGGGACGTTGGCACCGATTCGGGTCCCTCTTATATGGTAGGTAAAATATTTATCAATTTAGATTTGTTACATACCCCAATCAGTCCTCAGATGAGCCACAGGTGCCACCGGATGTGGTGCGTCGAATTACATCCTCGTATCCCAGTGACTATCGTTCGCCATTTTACGATGACACCGGTGCCTCGATGAAACCTATGGCGACACTTTATTTGACAAGGAAGAAGCTCTACGTCCGCGAGTGCGAAGAGGGTAAGTTAATCAGTTAAGCAGGGAAAAGTTTTTAAGCCTACAGATTTAATAACTAACCTTTGGCTTGTTGTAACGTCAGTTTTCCAGGAAGGACCTCTGGAGTGCGCGGTTCATCCGTGGAACGAGTGGACCAACTGCAGCACGCGTTGTGGTCAGGGTTACTCGCGACGTGAGCGCAGCTACAAGAATCCCAGCCTGGCGATGAACTTCAACTGCAATGCTCGCTTGGAGGAGATTCGTGAGTGTCAGGGCAACCAGTGTGGAGCAGCAGAGCCGGAACCGGAGGGCGAGGAGCCGGGATCGGAAATGGAAAGCCCACCAAGTGGTGGATCGATGGCCGAGTGCCAACTGACCAACTGGAGCGAGTGGTCGCCGTGTTCGAAGACCTGCGGACGAGGATCCTCCACTCGCACAAGGGATTTCTACAATCCGCAGGCCAGGCAGCGATGTATGTCCGTCATGCGGCTTCCGTTGGAGGAAACTAGACAGTGCACGGGATCGGATTGCGGAGGCACAATTCCAGACAATGGAGAGCTCGACGGATTGCCGGAACCGGATTTGTTCGGGGAGTCTGAACAGGATAGTAGAAGACCCTCTTGGGGCAGCAAGCAGAACGTAATTAATACTGGTTCAAACAATCAGGCGTGGAACAGAAAGATTAATAATTCGGGAAATGATAGGAATTCTTACAATCCCATGGATAATTCACAGGAGTCACGAAATCCTCCGTTTAATCAGATAAACAACCCGTTTAACAAACCTTCCAATAACATCGGTGGTTATGACAAAGGATTTTCCCCTGCAAACAGCTATACAAATGATAAGCTGGTGGGCAGTAGACCTGGTTATAGTGACTTCAATCAGGGCTATAACAATAGGAACAACTACAATGATTACACTACTCCCAGCTTCAGCAGACCTGGCTTCACCACACGTTCTCCTTACGGATCTCGCTTTCCCAGTCGTCAAGAGGATGTGGAGGACACCACCGGAAACAGCAATGGCAATGGCTACAATGTGGTCCAAAATTACTGCTTCGAGAAGCCCTATGCCTCCACTCGCCCCTGTTTGGCCAATCCGGTGGTGGTGAGTAACTACTGGTTCTACGACCACGAAGACCACGAGTGTAAGATCTTTACCACGGATAATTGCGATGAGAACGGCAACCGCTTTCGAACTTTGATGGCCTGCGAGGGCACCTGTCTGCAGCCACAGATGAACTTGGAGCAAACCGAAAACGAGGCTATGGATCTGTATGGAGGTGGCTCCTATGACCGATCCCAAACAGGAGGAAGATCCTATGATCAAACGGGAGGAAGGTCTTACAATCAAAGAGGAAGGGGATCCTATCAAGATCAGGGTAGTTCCTATGGACAAACCAGTTCGAGATTATATGGAAAACAAGGAGGAAGCTCATACGATCAAATGGGAGGTAGCTCTTTTGACCAAACAGAGGATAGATCCTTTGACCTTACAAGAAGTAAGTTCTATACCCAAGCTGGAGTTGGATCCTATGATCAAGGGGCTGGAGGAGACTCTCAATTTGAAGGAGCAACTGGAGAAATTGGAGATTCCATGTCGCAAACTAGAAACAGATATGAAACACCAAGACGTGGACGTTATGGTGGCTAAAAGTTGTTTAAACTATGCATCAAAAGTAGAGTATCAAATAAATAAACCATAGTTTTGAAATAAGTTTTCGAGTTGTAGATGTAAGTTCTCTTATTGATTTTTGATTTACCAAGAGATCTACTTCTCTCTTTAAAGTCTTTAAGAGTTACTTTTCCGGCTTTCCGACAGAGTCGACTGATAACAGCTCCGAGACACTCTATTTGTATCAGTGGGTCAGAAAAATAAGACGCTCCGGGCTTATCGAAGAGGCTTAGTCAGCTCCCGAGACTCTCTTCTCGGCTTTTGGCAAAACAATTCTTCGAGATCTCCCCACAGTTTGCAACGGTCGCTCGCCTTGAATGGTTCTGTACAATTATTGAGCTCCCGAAAAACAAAAAACATGTGGTGGTCAAGTGGTGCTCCACTCGTAGAGATTCTTCTGGCGGCTCTACTGATCGAACGAGCCAGCTCTTTGATTTGCACGCGAAGACCGTCCAATACGGGCTCGCCCAAATCTCCGGTGGACGAAAACTTTGTGATAAGCGTGTCGGGCAATCCGGAAACGTATATTCTCGGCCAGGAATACAACGGTGAGAACGAGTTCATCGGCCTTCCGCTTGAACTTCGGGTGAGATTGCCACGGGAAACGGTTTTACGGAGTAAGCCAAGGCTTCTCGTGTAGATTTCGCAATGGTTTTTGTTTAGTAAACAAAAGTGCTGCTTATCGGGAAACTTTCGCGAATTGGTCGGAATTCAAGGTCGATGATAAGGGCTTGACTTGTTAGAAAGCGCGCTATATTTCTGGAACTGAGATTGCTTCTCTTTCAGTGTCGTTGAATGCATTCAATGGGCATCGCTTCATCAGCTTTATCATGGTTCTGGAGAACGAGAATGGCGACTTTAACTACGCGGACGACTTGGGTCGCTTTGAGGTAACCGATCCTGTGGATACGCGCTACAATCCCACCTGCGCCAATATGGTGGAGAATACGAACACGAACTCCAAGACGCACGTTCACTTCACCTGGGTGGCTCCCAGTGAGCCGGATAAGGGTTGCATCCTGATTCGAGCCACGGTTCAGCAGCATCGCGAGGTGTGGCACATGGACGACGGAGGATTGACGAAGCGCATCTGCGAGGAGGTCACCGATGACGTGGAGAGCCAGCCAACCAGCAGTGCAGTGGACTCTCCATGCTGTGCCTGCGATGAGGCACGTTATGAGGTGGGGAACCCCTAGACTTACCAAAGTCCCAGTTACCTTCTTCCATTTCCTTACCACAGCTCACGTTTGAGGGCGTCTGGTCCAGGAACTTGCATCCCAGGGACTTTCCTGCTCGCAACTGGGAGACCCGATTCTGTGAGCTTCTGGGAGCTGCCCACAGCCCGGATTATCGTTTCTGGGAACCGGGAGCACTGGCCAGCTTGGCCATGAAGCAATATGCCGAGCACTGCAGTTCGCGTTTACTGGAGCGAGAATTCAGCATTAACTTTCGGGTGATACTGCAATACCAACCCAATAATCCAAAGTAATCTGAATGAGATTTCTTACAGGAACAAAAAATTCGCACTATAATAAAGGCCAGAGGTCCTGCTTATCCCAATATGAGCACCAAGACGATGGCTTCGGTTCGAGTAGATCCCATACACCATATGGTGTCCTTCGCCTCTAAAATCGAACCTTCACCGGATTGGATTGTGGGCGTGACTGGACTCGAATTGTGCCTCCGCAACTGCACGTGGATAGATGAGAAGGTTATTAATTTGTATCCCTGGGATGTGGGCACAGATGCAGGTCCCAGCTATGCGGTAAATGGGATTTGGATTTAGTTCCAGATAGAAAATTAATATAATCTTATAATTTGACAGTCGGCCGATCAACCTCAGGTTCCGCCAGATGTGATAAGACGCATGCGTTCAGACTTTCCCAACGATCCGCGTTCACCTTTCTACGATAAATCGGGAGAGCCAATGAAACCCATGGCCATTCTTACTGTGAAACGACAGCGAATCTATGAGAGAAGGTGTGCAGATGAGGACTGTAAGTGAAGTTCAAAATTGAGAATATAAAAAATAACTCTACTGTACTCCCAGCCAACAATGACCCCGATGTCCCCAGGGAGTGCCTCACCCACCCTTGGTCCAGTTGGAGCAACTGCTCCTCAAAATGTGGCGATGGCATGCAGTACAGAAGGCGTGTTTACAAGCAACCCGAGTTGGCCCGGGTCTATAATTGCAATGTACTTCAATATGAAGAGCGGGAATGCCAGGGCGAGATGTGCGGTCAAAATGCTCCCATGCGAGTCCCCGACGAGTTTGAGGAATTGGAGCCGAGGATACCAGGCGGAAATTGGTATCAATCAAACCAACAGGGACGAGCCGAGTGCCAACTGAGTCTCTGGGGCAGTTGGGGCCCGTGCAGCGTCACCTGCGGTGATGGCTACGCGATGCGCCAGCGGCAGTACCTTAATCCTCAGGCGGAACCGAAGTGCCAGAGTGTCCATCGCATGGAGTTGCAGCAAACACGAAAATGCTCCGGCAGAGCTTGTCTTGGCAATTTACCGGGATCCGACAATGCGGATTTAGATTCTCCTTATGCAGAGCCTTCTCCTGGACGAACAGGAGGTACTATGGATGAACCATTCCCTGGCCGAATGGGAGGTTCTATGTATGAATCACCACAAGAACCGGCGGCAGAGAACTTTGGTGATTACGATGATTCCCAAAATGCAGGAGTTGCTGGTTTTGAAGTGGCGAATCTTCAGGGAAGCTGGGAACCAAGTACTCAGTCGGAGCGTCAAATGAATTCAGCAAGAGATCCTCTACCATTAAGGCAGTCCAGAAAGGGAGAAACATACACTCAACCAATCAGAGCAGAAAGGCTCATAATGGAACGTCAACCGCCGTCGAGTGATGCCCGTTTAAGAAATGTGGAACCGGCTGCCTGGCGGCGCCAGCGGATATCCAACAAAGCCCTGGTAGAGAATTCGCCAAGGGAGCAATGGCAAAGACCGAACCACTATGGCAACCAGGAGATGCATGCGCCTGGAGGAGCTGTAAACTCTTCGCTGGCCAATCAGTGTTTCAAAATGCTGCGAACGGTGCGGCCACGTTGTACGGATCAAACGGTTACTGGTAACTTTTGGTTCTATAACTATTGTGCCGACGAGTGTATGCTATTTGCTTCGGATGTGTGTGACCGGAACCCGAACAAGTTTAGTCGATTGGAGGACTGCGAGAAGTGCCGCCAGCCGGAAATGGCCGCGCTGAAGCTTCGGTACACCAATTCGCTGCAGTGCCAAACTCTTCGGGAGTATATGTGGACAGAGAAAATAGAAGAGGAGGAAAGGAGGAAGCGCGAATACAAAGGCTATATGGAACGCCCGAAAAAAAATTAATCCAACTTTTTTTTTTGGCAATACTTTACTTACAAACAAATAAATATTTTTCCGCCTAATTTTCAAACTTCAATAGTCGCGAGCAAGGCAATAGAAATATATCGATAACTTCAGCCACTCTGTGCCACCTCCATTTTTGTGTCAGCTGATTTGAACATTGCAAAACAGCTGTCAAACAAGTGCAAAAATAATGGACACCAAAAAAATATAATAAAAATTTAAAGTTTCAAGTTACGCTTCATTTATTATACAATCAATTTAAGTTGTTAATCGTAATATTCTAATTCTAATGATATGTACTGATATTGGCTCGACTTCACATAACTTGGCAACTCTTCGGCGAAAAACAATTGCACAAGCAAAAGAAAAACAAAAAATTCCGACGTGAAAGCGATATAAATTAAAGAACAAACATGCAACGCTTGAGATTTTTAATGCAACATGCTGCAACATCAATGACGCAGCAACAAAATCTGCGTCCTTTGTCAATACACTGGAATTTGGCCCAAAACCAAAAGCCGGCTGGTGGAAATGTCGGAGTTCCCAAAACCAAAGACACCCGGAATCCCAAGGCACCGACACAGAAGATAACCCTCATTCAGCAAAACCAATCCATGAGCATAACCACCTTAGAGGAGGCCCAGAAGTTGGCAAAAAGGAGGGAACTGCACCTGTTGCGTTTGGAACAAAGCGACGCCAAAACCGGAAGACCCATGTTTAAGTAAGTAACCCATTCACAGGTCTAAATCACAATGACCAAGGTTACATTTCTTGCAGACTTGTAACCTCCGCAGAAATGTTGTCGGATGATTCGGATCAATCAAAGTCCTCCAACGAAAAGGGCAAGGAGAAGAAGTCAGAGAAATCCCTAACCATTGGCGCACGAATCACGGAACATGACCTTTCCTCTAGGCTCAAGAACATTTCCAAGTGGCTGGCCAAGCGACACGAAGTGCGCATTCTAATCCAGGGAAATGCCAGCGGATCGGACGAAAGCAGTGCCGAGCGCATAGTAAAGGCAATCGAACTGGCCATTAAAGAGCCCCAAGTAATTGGAAGAATAGTGCAGAAGCGCAGTAAAGGGGCATTCGTCAAGTTTAGCATTCTGCCAGTGACTCCGAACCCAACGACTACAGCTAGTCCCAATACAACTCAGTCGTGACAACTACCGCCATTGCCTCGGATGCGCCAATATACGGTAATGGCTCACCCACATAATTTCGTATATAGCATGACTTCCCGCCATTTTTCTTCGAGGAACAAAAACGAAATTGAAGAAACCGTTCATTTGGACATAGCATCCGCTTTCACCTGTGTGGCGCTGTTCCTCTTATTTCTCTTCAAATATTTCTACTGGCATCAGCATTTGATAAAACTTTTGGAGGAGCAGGAAAAAGCTGACCACCATGATAATAAGAAGCACAAAAAACACGATTAGTGATTATTTATCCTCTTTCAACTGTTGTTATTTAGCTTCAGTGTTTAAAATCTATGTACATAAATAACACACAATTAAAATACATATTAATTGGCATTTTTCAATTTAGGTGAGATTAAAACTCAGGGTTCTTGTTCGGATCATGATTTATTTCGTATATATGAACGGACTTGTATGGTGCTATGTTTCTTTTTGTATTTCATTTTAAGATATTTTTATTAATATTTGTATACATACTTTAAGCACACGCAGACAATAAATTATTACACATTTTTCGGTTTATTATTTAAACCTAATTTAAGTTAATTTTAAAAAGCAGATCATAAGTTCTAACTCAAGTTACGTGTTAACTACAGGATCAAGTAAAGCTGTTTTTGGTATTAATTACAGCAACTATACAGTATTGCATTTAGATAAAAACCAAGCATGGATGTGTGGAACAAATTATATTTAAGATTAACCGATATCAGAAGCGTTTCTAAAAACATACAAATAGGGCGGTGAATTCGTTGATTGTGCATAATAAAATTCAGACGATGAGTAACGTTAAGTTAAAGTAATAAATAATAAAAGCAATGTATTAAAAATACGGCACAAGGAACATTTTGTGTCACAGATTACAAAAGAAAATACAATAATTGTTTAATAATTTAGTCTTCAACTAAAATACAAACACTTTGTGCTTACACTGTTTTGGAGAGTTGAACAAATTAATAATTAGGAAAAGCAATTAAATATCAATGCTAAGAGCCGATAACAAATCAGTTAAAAAGAAATCATGCTATATCGTAACAACTGATAAGCCTCATTTTTAGGGTGGTTCGCCTCGACACAAAAGGCAAAGACTTGGGTGAACCGATAAATAGAAATAGGTTTCTTCACAAAGACTTTTGGAATGAATAAATTAACTACAATAAATGCCAAAGCGTGAGAGCTACGGTTTCGCTGCTGTTTTGGTTTGGTGTCCACATACTGACCTAGACGCGCTGAATCTCAAAGAGCTTCACCTCCGTGTCGTACCATATGGCCGGCTCCACGTTGCGGAGGTAGATGACTCCCCAAATGTAGGTGCGGAACCAGGCCGTCGTTCCTGCGTTGGCCTGGTACTTTCGGATGAGAATGGGGTGAGGCACCGGCAGCAAACCCACCAACGTTCCGTGCTGCAAAAACTTGAGGATCTCCGACTCATCAGTCAGTCCTTTGTCGATGCAGATCTTCTCAACCTGCGGCACGAGGACTTGCAACAATCGCATGATTGTCTGCAGCGGCAACTTTGACCTCCAGGAGACGATCCATTCGGGCGTCGGTGCCCACCGATCGCCCTCGCCGGGCACCATGCGAATGCTTCCTCTGTGTGCCACTGACAAACGGGACAGCTCTGTGGGGGAAGTGGACTTCAGCTCGCCTGTTGGTGTCGAAGCGGCCGACCTGTCGAAGGGCACAATATCTGTGGAGTCCTCAGCGTGCGGTTTGTCATTCGGATGTGCCTGCTCGCGCTCCGTCATCTGACTAATGCCTGGTGTGTCCAGCAAAGAGGTTTTAAGGGTTCCCGGCTCAGCCGGTTGGGCCGTAAGAACGTCCGGCTGCTGCTCTCCCGACTGAGATCGCTCATGAGACTCCGTCTCCGACTCGAGGTCCTCTTCAGCCTTGGGCTCCTCCATAATTACCTCCTCGTCCTCTTCATCATCTTCGTCCTCTTCGTTGTATTCCTCAGGCACATGGGCCGAGGGCAGTTCCTGCGAAACAGCTGCCGTTCTGCGTTGCGGAACCCTCGGCAAATTAAACTTTCCGCCTGTCTTACGGCCACTCAGGCACTTGGCTATTCCAGCCATATCGGTCGGGAGATTCGCCATGGCATGGAACACATGACGTTTTCGAATAATGGTATAGACTAGATTCGAGTTTCCATCAAACTGGTACTGTATAATGTTGTTGAAGATCTCCAGCAGGAAAAACACCAAGTGATGGTTGCTAGGCGCCGATAGTAAAAACCACGGTGTGCTGAAGGCCTCAAGCAGATGCAAAAGCTTCACACTGGCCACCATCGAAAGGGTTTTAAGATAGGGCGAAACATTGACCAGAATAGTCAGTAGGCAGTCAAAAAGGGGCTGCAGTCGCTGGTGGCCAGTGGCTATGATTTTGTGAAACACCGTGATTAATAGGTCGGCATGGGTTCCAGTAAACACAGGTATGTCCATGGGCACTGTAGCAGAGTACGCTTTGTTTAGGCGAACCCCGAAGTTCCGCTCGCCTGATGAATTTAAAATTTAGAAAACGAAATAATCTCAAGCGGCGCAAATAAGACTTACCCGATAGCAGCAGCAGTATGAACACTCCAATGTGCATTAGGCCTACTCGTGATTGATCCGCTCGGGAATAGTTAAGGTGATACAAAATGGGAATAAGGATATCCAGAACATCTGAGCTCTTCAGCACAAAGTATAAAAACTTCTTATTGTAGTCACATATTTTCCAGAACAAAATAAGCAGCTCCTGGTGGCAGTGCAGCCGCTTTGTTGAGTTGGGCAAGTAGTTCTGGACCAGGGGATTGTTCAGCAGCCGTGTAATGCCCTTAAGCACAAAGTGAAAGTCCTCATCTCGGTGTACTCGCGATAGATAGTTGATGAACAAGTTGTCGCCGCAGTTGCCCTCGTCGTAGGAAGCCTGCCCGGGTTGAGTTAGCTGCTGCTGCACCACCATGTCATGGTCCAAGGTAACAATAAGCAACTGCAGACAAGCTTCCACGAGTGGCTCCGTGGTGTCCGCAAACAGCAGGTGATTGTACGGCACACCAAATCCTACCGGGTCGTAGGAGCACACTGTGTTCAGAAATGAGGTGAACAACGGCAGTGCGTGCCGATTGTCGGCGGACGTGAAGTAAGCTATCCACTTGTTGGGCTCCTCAGACTGTTGCGGGGATCGGTACATGGGCTCCGAGAAGCAAGTGAGCAATAGCTTCAACAGCTCCGTGCGCCTGCGCTCCATGTGGGCGTTATGGGGTGGTGATTGGGCGAAACCTACGCCCGCCTCCCAAATGTATTCGCAGCTGTCGATGTTGGCCAGCTCCTCAGCCTTCTCTGGACCCGTGCGTCGCGTAGCAGTGACCGTAAAATCTGGACAGAAGAGCAAATCACAGGTGGCGTTCAGCAGCGACTGGGCCAACGGCATGGTCTTTTCCTGCGAAGGCAGGCTGCTCCAAAAGAAGTCACGCCACTTGTCATCTTCAAAGATGTACGGCAGGCATCTGACGAGCAGGCGGACACAATTAAGGACGCACTGCTGCTCCGCCTGCGTCCGGCAGCTGCTGTCAACCGCCTGAGCCAACTTTTCCACCGCCTTGTAGCATAAGGTGGCCAAGTTTGCTGGATTCTCGTTCCGGATCTGGCGAATCTCATTCGACGTGACCAGCGCAAAAACATCCTCTAGCGTCGTTTGGTGGCCCTGCCAGAACTGCTCCCAAAACTGATCGTCACTGGGATCGATCTTCTTCTGCGTCAGCTGCACAATCGCCTTGCGGAAATTTAACTTGGAGTCCGTGTTTCCCATATTGTTCGGGTTTGTGACCTGTTGTGGTGTCGCTGAGTCCCTGAAATCCGCCTGCCCCGTGCTCAATCACCTCAGTGCAAGTATCCGCAGTGCTCTGAAACAGAAGCTTTCATCTTTTTACAAATTTTGTTTAGAAAATTGGAAAATTAGAAATTCGCCTACGCACTAGTAGCCAATCGCAATCTAGAGGTGAGTCAACCACTAACGGTTAGAGATGAGGGCGTGCCTTTTTTTTTGTGATGTCACGAAAAATTTTAAATAGAAATATGTTTTAAAAACTATAACTTACTAATCTCTTTTCAAATTTAATAGCTTAATTTTCTAGATAAAAAATATAAATTTAAAAGGTACTATCGCTAAGTACTTCCAATTACCCTATCAAGTTGGCATTGCCGCCAGTGCCAGTGCTGCGAAGCGAGCGACTGCTGCGCCGGTGTTGGAAGACGTTAGTGCAAAATATTCAGGCTGCACACAAGAACATAAACGACACGTAAACGTCACCAAAAATTAGCAGCTAACAAGTCTGTTTAAGCAAGATTAGTGAGACATGCGAAACTAGAAAGTGTTCCGAATTACTTCCGAGGCTGCGAGTGAGTGAAAGTGGGCAAGTGGCGCGTACGGAAACATATGCGAAGGTCGTCTGCGAGGAGGAGCTGCCCTGCCCCACAAGAATCAAAATTTTTTGCACCAGCACAGGAAGCCAACTAGCTGCTGTCGAAGATCCGTAGAAGAGCACCCGGAGACAATGGCGCTTCCGGGCAATGGCATCTACGTGGTGCGGGGCGAAATGGCCACCCTGATGACGGCCATGCGACGTGGAACGCGTTGGAATGCCACCGCCTACGTGGTAACTAATGTGGTTCTAATACTTCCCAGGTTACCGAAAGTAACGAACTTTTTTTCACCCACAGGATGATGAAAAGGACTCATTGTTAAAGCTCTTCATTGACCTCAAGCAGGAACTGCATCGCATTGAGGACCTGCGCCTGATCGAGCCACAGGTTTTCCTGGCTCCGTTTCTGGAGGTGATTCGCACGGCCGACACCACAGGTCCACTGACTAGTCTGGCACTGGCCTCAGTTAATAAATTCTTGTCATACGGTCTGATAGGTAGGATACGTTTGGTTAATTTCTTATACATTTTTAATTCATAACCATTTTACAGATCCCACATCTCCGAATCTGGCCGATATTGTGGAGCGGATTGCCGATGCCGTGACACATGCCCGCTTTATGGGCACCGATCAATCCTCTGATAGCGTCACTTTCATGCGCGTAATCGAGGTGCTGCACACACTCATTCGAAGTCCCGAAGGAGCCGCCGTCAGCAACGAGTCTATGTGTGAGGTGATGCTCAGTTGCTTCAAGATCTGTTTCGAGCCCCGGCTGAGTGAGCTGTTACGTCGTTCAGCGGAACAATCGCTTAAGGACATGGTTCTTCTGTTCTTCATGCGCCTTCCACAATTCGCCGAGGAGCGTAGTGACACCATGCTTCAGAAACGATTTACCATTGGCGATGCTGCCAGCGGTGCTACTCAAGAAAAGCTCAAGCGAAAGGCTGTGGCGCCTGCCCCAAGAAAATCCTCAACGGTAGAGGAACCTCCACAAACCCCGCAATCTGCCAACCTGGCAGTTCCGGGCCATCTAAAGGCACCAATACTAGCCACTACGCCCGCCAGTCCAGCGGGGAACATTCTGGATATGCAGGGCAAGATTGCGCAGACACCAACCACAACAGCTAGTTTGGGGCCAGAAGAAACGGCTGCGCCAGATGCACCATCTATTCAAGTGGAGGCAGCCGATTCAGAACCTCTTTTGGATAGCGAAGCTAATGAGGGATCCAGCACATTGGCCGAGGCAAACAGCAGCGAATACATCAACTCGGTGGGCGTACGTTTCACCCAACAATCCACCGATCAAGACGCCGCTTCCCTCTCGCCCTACGGCCTGCCCTTCATCCAAGAGCTCTTTCGCTTCCTCATCATACTTTGCAATCCCCTTGACAAGCAGAACTCGGACAGCATGATGCACACGGGCCTCAGCCTGCTCACAGTTGCCTTCGAAGTGGCTGCCGATAATATAGGAAAGTATGAGGGCTTGCTGGAGTTAGTGAAAGACGATCTGTGCAGGAATTTGATATCGGTAAGAGACTTCCCCTCCTATACTGAGTATTTTTGCAATAACATAAACTTTTTCAACCAGCTCCTCAGTTCGGAACGCCTCAGCATATTTGCTGCCGATCTACAGCTCTGCTTTTTGCTCTTTGAGTCTCTGCGTGGACATTTGAAGTTCCAGTTAGAGGGCTACCTCAAAAAACTAAGTGAAATCATTGCGAGCGACAATCCCAAGACACCGTACGAGATGCGCGAACTAGCTTTGGACAACCTGCTACAGTTGTGGCGCATTCCAGGCTTTGTTACGGAGTTGTACATCAACTACGATTGCGACCTATACTGTACGGATATGTTTGAGAGTCTGACCAACTTGTTGAGCAAGTACACGTTGTCAGCCACCAATGCGGTTTACAGCACCCACATCATCTCGATGGATACGCTTATTAGTGTTATTGACAGCATCGAGCGGAATTGTGCAGCGGCCAAGAACAGCAACAACAGGGAATCTTTGCCGGAAGTTGCCCCAGCGACATGCGGAAGTCGCCATTCGCGACACAACAGCGGGTTGGAGGGAATCGTAATTGATTCTGGCAATAACACATCTGCCGAGGAACCAGTGGAAAACATAGCCAGCTTTATAAATACTAGCTCACAAAGATTGCGACTGCAATCCGGAGATGGGGTAGGCATAACCACTGAACAACTAGCCAATGTGAAACAGAAAAAGCGTCTGCTGTCCCAAGGCACTGAACGCTTTAATCAGCGCCCGGAGAAGGGCATCCAATACCTGCAGGAGCACGGCATTCTGAATGCAGAACTAGATCCTATGCAGGTGGCCCTTTTCCTTCGCGAAAATCCTGGTCTGGATAAAAAGATGATCGGCGAGTACATCTCGAAAAAGAAAAACGTGGACTCAAAGATCCTCATTAACTTTGTAGACTCGTTCGATTTTACTGGTCTTCGAGTTGATCAAGCACTGCGCCTTTATCTTGAGACTTTTAGGTTACCGGGAGAGGCTCCATTGATCTTCCTGGTGCTGGAACACTTCTCCGATCACTGGCATGTAAGTAATTGCTTCTAAATGATAATATTTTGAAACAAGTAATTAGATAAATATTATCCGCATTTCAGACACAAAACCAAGAACCATTTGCTAATGTAGACGCAGCCTTCCGTTTGGCCTATGCCATCATCATGTTAAACATGGATCAGCACAATTCCAATGCAAAGCGCCTGAATGTTCCAATGACGCTGGAGGATTTCACCAAAAACTTGCGTGGTCTGAATGGCGGCGAAGATTTTGATCAGGAAATGTTGGCTCAGGTCTTCAATGCTATTAAGTATGCTTTACCACATATTCCTTTAATGAATTATCTGATTCCAATCAACAATTTATTCTAGAAACGAAGAGATCGTTATGCCAGCAGAGCAAACGGGCCTGGTACGTGAGAACTATCAATGGAAAGTACTGCTTCGTCGCGGCGACACACACGATGGCCATTTCCATTACGTTCACGATGCGTCCTACGACGTCGAGATCTTTAATATTGTGTGGGGTGCTTCTCTTAGCGCTCTTAGCTTTATGTTCGATAAGAGCACTGAGTCGGGCTACCAAAAAACGCTAGCAGGTGGGTAATATTTAATGTAATCACCAATGCATTTACTTAAGAAATGTATTGCAGGTTTCAGCAAATCAGCCGCTATATCGGCACACTATAATCTGCATTCGGACTTCGATGCCCTCGTTTTGACTCTTTGCAAATTCACAACGCTGTTGAGCAGCGTAGAACAGCATGAGTCCACTCCGGCAAACAATGAAATTCTGCAAGCTGTAAACTTTGGACTGAATGGCAAAGCTCAAGCGGCTATGAGAACGGTGTTTTTGTTGGTTCACGACTATGGCGACTGCTTGAGAGAGAGTTGGAAGCACATTCTGGACCTATATCTGCAACTTTTCCGACTTAAATTACTGCCGAAATCTCTGATCGAAGTCGAGGACTTCTGCGAGGCAAACGGAAAGGCCTTGCTAATCCTGGAAAAGCCTCGCGAGAAACAGGAATCGGGTTTGTTCTCCAGTCTCTACTCATTTATCAGCTCAGAGGGTCAGCGAGAGCCGACGTACGAGGAGCAGGACTTTATAAAGCTTGGACGCAAGTGCATCAAGGAGTGTCAGTTGGATCAAATGCTCCAGGAATCAAAGTTTGTGCAATTGGAGTCGCTGCAAGAGTTGCTTAAATGTGTTCTGGGTCTGCTAAAGGCACCCCAGGGCCACAAATCCATTGGTCTGCCTTACGCCGAAGATCAAACTGTTTTTTGGATGGAGTTTCTGGTGAAGATTGTGGTTCACAACCGGGATCGTATGATCCCGCTGTGGCCAGCGGTTCGAGACCAGATGTACCTGCTTTTAATGGGAAGTGCCTCCTGCGGCTACGACTACCTGCTCAACCGCTGCATTGTGGCGGTCCTTAAGCTGGCCATATATTTGATGCGAAACGAGGAATTGTGTCCAATCGTCCTGCAGTCCCTCAAGATGCTACTGATGCTAAAGCCTGCGCTGCTCTTGCGCATCTCGAAACAGATTTCCATTGGCATCTATGAGCTGCTCAAAACCTCGGCTCAAAATATTCATTCCGAGCAGGATTGGCAAATCATCTTCAATCTGCTTGAGTGCGTTGGAGCAGGAGCTGTTCCGCCCAATTACGATGATGCCCAGCTGCCTTTACCTCCTAATGGAAGTGCTAAGTCTGATGGCGCTTTGAGTGGCGAGGAGGATGCATCGACTGCTCCCGAGCGTGGCTACACCTCGGATTCTGAGCTCACCAAGGCGTCTGCAGCACCGGCTGCCTCAAGTCCAAGTGCCGAGAATTGGATTCTGGTCAACAATAAGGATAGCGAACTTACTACGGCCTCCAGGTAAATTTTTATTATCTGAAAAAAATGAAAGATTAAAACCAACGCTGATTTCCCAGGCCCCAGTCTCCACCAAGTTCAAGTTCTCCTCCGGTTAATACGCTTGTCTACAGTTGCCAACTACTGGACCATGCGCCATTTGCACTGTTCAAGTGCTGGGATTCGTTGGCCTTTATTGTGAGAAGTGTGGCCCACATCACACCCTACAATTTTGAGGCTTGCGTCCGCTGCATCCGTATATTCGTGGAAGCTTGTCGGGATGGAGGGATTCGTCAGCGACGGAAGCTGGAGACGGTGGCCAAACAGCGAAGCTCGAAGAAGCGCAGCGATCGCAAGCCGGGCATGGCCTCCTCTGCCTCGAGCAGTAATCTTACCCTGCTAACAACCGACCCAACCGAGAGTCAAGGAAACGGAAATGCGGCAGAGCAGGAGGACCTGGCCCAGCGCTACGAGCAGTTGTCCATTCAACTGTTAGACCTGATGTATACGTTGTACACGCGGACTGCGCAGATCTTCCGCTGGTGGGCGGAGGAGGGATGTACAGTGCCGCAGTCGGCGGCTTTGTGGTCACCGGGTTGGTGTCCATTGCTGCAGGGCATAGCCAGGCTGGCCATGGACCGGCGACGGGAGGTGCGCACCCATGCCATCTCGTGCCTGCAGCAGCGGGCATTGCTGGTGCACGACCTGCAGACGTTGTCCGGCACGGAATGGTGCTCCTGCTTCCACCAGGTGCTGTTTCCCCTGCTGAACGAACTGCTGCCGGAGAGCAGTACAGCTGGCCAACTAGACGCTTCTCTGCTCGAGGAGTCCCGCATTCGGACAGCGACCATTATGTCCAAGGTGTTCCTGCAACACCTGACTACACTGATCGAACTCGGCAGTGCCTTTAACGAGCTGTGGCTGGATATATTGGACTACATTGAACGCTTCATGAAGGTCGGATCGGATACGTTGTCGGAGCAAATGCAGGAAATACTGAAGAACATGCTGCTGGTTATGCACTCGGTGCGAGTTTTCCACAATCAGGATGGCAGCCTACAGCAGGCTCTTTGGGAGCTCACCTGGCGGCGAATCGGTGAATTCCTGCCCAACCTCAAGGAGGAACTGTTCCACGACGAAGGTTTGTAGCATGGCTATAGATGTATCGGCTTAACTATCTGTCCCTATCAGCAGATTTAGTTTCCACAGCGATCTCGCTGGACTTTACGCAGATTAGATTTGCCCCATCCCTTGGTACAATTGAGCAGTCCTTAACCCTTCCGCTTTATGGCCATAGTCTCAAGATTTCCCCCACAAACACGGCCAGAAGTGAGACCCTTCCAGCCAAGCAGCGCAAGAAACCTTGGGCCAAGTTTAGATCTAAGCTGAAGGTTCTCAAGAAACTTGGCAAAAAGGATTGAATAGTTGTCGATTTCATCTGAACTTCTTAATATTTATTTCTGTCTTTATATTTTTATAACATTAAAAAGTTATAACCGTGTATTCGCTTAATATTGCAGGAAAGCGAGCTCAGACCCTCACGAACCCAGCTCCTGTGGCAGTTGTGGCTCCCATTCCGCAGCAGCAGATACCAGCGGTGGCCATTTTGCCCAGCCAAACGCCAACCTCATCCAACGAGTTAAACGTGGGTGCACCCTATCCGGTGCCAGTTGCTCCGATTGTGCTTAACCAAGTGGAAGTGTTGTCCAACGACTTAATACCGAGTGCTCCTACCCCGGTGGCAGTAACGCCCAATCTGGTGTCTCCCGTGGAATCGCCGAGACGGAGTATTATACTGCAGCCGCCCTTGGCAGATGCACTGCAGCAACCACCCAGTTTTGTCTTCGCCCAGGTAAATAAAAAATAAAATAATTAAATAAAACCTTAAGTGTAATAATTTCCTGTTTGTTTGGCAGCCCCTCATTGTTCCACCCCAGCAGCCGGCAGCAACGGACTCGCAATCCAGCACCTTGCTCCCGGATCTGGTGAATGAGGCAACGGCCGCTGCCGTTCAAGCCACGCCCTCACCGCCCATACACAGCCCACAGGAGGAGGTCCAAGCCGCACCGATCGTGCACCAAACGAACATCGTTACCACCAACAACACGTTCAATAGTTACGCTATTGGCATGGAATCGGAAAGCGTTGCGGAACAGATGGAGCATCAGCAGCAGCAACTGCTCTACCAACAGTACTACCAGCAATATCAGGCCCAGCAGCAGCAATTGCAACAACAACAACAACAACAGTTGCCGGCTCAAACCAGCGATCCTGCCATCAATGTGCCAATAAGTCATCTGCTGGCCGGAAACGCTTACCCTTCGCTACCCAAAATGCCGCAGTCGTCCATTGTACACAGCTTTGCACCCGTTTACGAAGCTCAGGCGGCAACCAGTGGGGCTGGGCCAGCAGCGGATATCTATCAAGAATATGTTCAAAACCCCTATAATCTAACGTTGCAGCAGAATTCCCAACACCAACACCACCAACAGCAGCAGCAACAACACCAGCAGGCTCCAGGACTAGCCGCCGCATTCCCCGCCGTGGCAACGCCAGCGAACTACTTTAATGTGAACGTGGATCCCAGTAGCATACCACCCGGATCGGAGCTGCTCTACGGCCAGCAGTGAGAAGGAATGTTGAATAAGAGTTTCAAGCCACCTGACCGTTTTATTTTGTATCCTGTGTTGTAGAGAAGGGCGCTAGCTTCGTAGTAAATAATATAAATTTGTGTCAATTTGTTTCTTGTTATTTATGTCTCCTGCAATTAAAGTGGAAACACATTCCGCTCTGGCGCGCGTTTATTATGGTAACCGAAGAACAACACTAAATCACATGCAATTTCCAGCAGAAACCCCATAAGCTTTAGTAATGCAAATAGTTTAATTTATAATAATTAATTAATTATATCTTCTGTATGTTATGCGAAGAGGCGAACTGTAAATAATCAAAATTAAAAATATATAAAACAAATAAAAGATGTATCTTAAAGTGGTCGAATATTTTGTACCAAAATTGCGGAAAACATTAATAACATAATTTTTATAGAATTTATTATTTTTATAGAATTATTTGGAAAAAAAAATCAGCCGACTCCGTGACAATGCATATTGCAGCATTGCCGTGACCAGGATTCGAACCTGGGTTACCACGGCCACAACGTGGGGTCCTAACCACTAGACGATCACGGCTACGCCGGCTTGTTGAACGAGGCTTTCCAAAATGCAACCAGGTCACCTAATGGTCAAAATAACTAACAACGGTAATTAAAAGTATTTGCAAGATCCGCACTAAATTACTTTCTTTTTTAAAACTTAACGAAAAACATTTCATTATGTCTTACTGCTGATTAAGCAGAAATAACTTTAATTGCAAAAATAGACTTAATATATTAAAAAAAACGTTTATAAAAACAAAAAAAATAAAAAAAAAAAACCCGACTCCGTGACAATGTTTGTTTCAACATTGCCGTGACCAGGATTCGAACCTGGGTTACCACGGCCACAACGTGGGGTCCTAACCACTAGACGATCACGGCTACATCGGGTGTTGTGGGGCGGCTGCCAAATGACCTTTAAGCGAAACCAGTTCCAGCTTTAAGCCCAAAATCTATTGAAGATTGTAACAAAAGACATGTTTAATTTATTAGTTCTTTTAATTATTTTGACAATTCAACAAATAAACAATTAGAGCAAACTTTACTTCTTTGCGATTTAACAATAATGGTCAATCGTTAATCATGAGAGAAGGCCATGACTCACATGCCTTTCACCAGCCATATTTCTGCCTTTCACTTTTTGAAATCAATTTTGACTTTGGTATCTCATATTTCTAAGCCCCAACAGTTAATAATTTTACACACTATGGTAAATGCTTTCTTATTTATTGTTTTAGTAAATATGTTTTAACAGGATATATAACACCAGGCCACATCTTTCCTGTTTACTATTTTACAAATCTTTTAAAAACTTTTTAAGTTTTATTTTTCGTATCTACATTTGGTTGTACAGAGAACATTTATAATAAGCTATTAAAATTTGACCGTTTGTGAATTCATAATTCAGCTATTGTGCTTTTTGGTTATAATTGTTTAAGGTATAAAAGAAAAAAAATTAAATATTTCTAAAAAATATGATGCCCGTCTCCGTGACAATGTTTATTTCAACATTGCCGTGACCAGGATTCGAACCTGGGTTACCACGGCCACAACGTGGGGTCCTAACCACTAGACGATCACGGCTACAACAGGCAGTTGGAAATCGGCGGCCAGAATTGAAATGTATGCTACAGTTTTGGCGAGTTGCACAGAAACTTATTTTTATAATTTACAAAAAACTGAAATTAACAAAAACTCTATTTTTAAAGTGAAACAAATCATATTGCACATAAAATCTAACAATTTCAGTAGATAAAATGACGCCATTTTTGGTCCTACAAACTGAACACCAGATGGCGCCACCTTACTTTTAAGTTACCCAACACTTTTAGTCGTTATAGAGCACTGCAGTTTCGCAGCTGATTGAGAAAAAGAGAACAAACAAACAATGAGCCACTATAAAGCTATAGAAATTCCAGATTCCGAGGAGGAATCGTCGAGCGAAGTTGACGAGACAATGGGCCCGAAACGGTGCGAGACACCACCTAGAAACGCCGGCGCAAAAGCTAAGATAAACCATGAACTCACCCCTAAAACAGCCAAGGTCGCCCGAACGGAACAAGATGCTTCAGCCGGCAGTACAAAAATCTCAAATTTGCTTGCCGTTTCGGCGTCACCATCCTCTTCGGATAAGACGAACACATCGCCCAGCTCAACGGCAGACGCATCCACTAAGCCTGGACGACACAGGGCAAGGAAGAGTCAGCATGGATCGCGTCGCATAAGTTCTGACCTCCAGTTCGAGTCGGTTTCTCTGGAAGGCGGCAAAGGTGATGAGGCCAAGGGCTCTAAGCAATCGAAACTGGAAAAGGCCTCCGCGGATACGCAGCTTGATGTTAACGCCGCCATTGAAAATTTAATGAAAACCAAGGAGATGCAGGAGCTTGTCAAGCAGATTGCCAACGAGCGGGTTCGCTGCAACTTCCTTCTGGCCACCTACCACTTGCCGGACATGAACTTCGCGCTTAACACGCCTATTGATACGCTTCGCGGTCAGTTCCGGGAACGCCTTAAGCAGCGAAGGGATCGAAACAACGCCACTTCATCCTCCAAAGGTGTCGTGAAACCAAAGCAATCACAGCCTTAAGTAATCCAGTATGTATAGGTGTTAGTCCTTTGTTTTCAAAAATAGACTTGATTATTTTAAGACACTATCTTAATTCATTAAATAAAATTACAAATAGTTTTTAAAAACAATTTTTAAACTCTACATAATATGAAAGGAAACAAAACTCACTTTGAGCGACTAGAACGTAGGTAAACATTGTGAAACAACCAATAAAAATATATTTTGTGTTACTAACAAAAGACAGTACAAGCTCAACAAGTTTTTGACATTATTTTACGAGGTACGGTTTGTTATATTATAAAAAAGTTAATATTGAGCAGATTTTGTATTGTTTATAAACATTTTTTTTGTTCTTAACTTTGTAAATTCAGTATGCGCGAACATTTAACTGCAGTGATTTTCAGCTCATGGCAGTAAAAACAGTCATTTGGCGGGCGATGTACAACGCCCGACGTAGCCGTGATCGTCTAGTGGTTAGGACCCCACGTTGTGGCCGTGGTAACCCAGGTTCGAATCCTGGTCACGGCAATGTTGAAATAAGCATTGTCACGGAGTTGGGTATTTTTTTGTTTTTCATTTTTAAAAATGAAAAATAAATATTAAGCACAATTTGGTTTGTGGCGTATTAACAGATGGGATATTAAGTAAGTTTGTTTAAGTTTATACATAAAGTAAATGCTTAGATCGGGACTCTCCAAATTATAGATCCTTTTTTGTTTTTTTAAGCTTTATTGTTAAGAGGCAAAATATTGCTTAAAGAAGACAAAAGAAATTTCTATAACATCAGTTTAAGCTCAAAATTTATATTAGCTTTTATTGCAATCTTACAAATACATACGTAATTATTAATTACCTTGACCGTTAGGTGACGTGGTTGCATTTTGGAAAGCCTCGCCCAACAAGCCGACGTAGCCGTGATCGTCTAGTGGTTAGGACCCCACGTTGTGGCCGTGGTAACCCAGGTTCGAATCCTGGTCACGGCAATGTTGAAATAAACATTGTCACGGAGTCGGGAAAATTTTTTTTCATTTCTTTAAAATATATTTATCATTTTATAAGTTTTCAAATCAAGAAGTCATGGGGTTTTAAGCCAATCAATACACCACACTTTCTTAAAAATTTCTGGATACATGTACATTTGTCTGACGTATTGAATAATGGATTTCGCAAAAACTTCTAGCGTTGAGGAAACCGAAAACACAGAAAATATTACACATTCCAAAAACTTGCACGAAAATGTGACAAAATTTTTTGACACCATAGGAAATATTTCACGAAATATGCGCAAGGATGATTGGACATACTTACAAAGCCATCCGGAGATAAGAGCTATAATTCGGGTTATTACGACCGAGGCGATCAAAGCCAAGCCTTCTAATATATATCACTTTGCGGCTAGTCTATTTGACTGCGACAAGGACCAGGAGTTGGTGGAAAAGGTATTATTTGTTCTACAACAAAGGCTACAACTAACGCAATGATTTTCCAGATAAATAAGCAACTTAAGTGGGTCAACGAGCAGTTAAAAGGAGGCACTTGGAATCCTGCAGATGGAAATATGTTTTTTTCCTCATCCAGCGAAAACCCTTCTGAAAACGATCGTAAATGCCAAAATAACTTCAACTCTACCGAAAAACTGGAAGTGTCTGAAAAACTAGTTTGTCCGGAAAACTATAAGCCCAACTGTAAAAAATGTTAGGAAATGAGGTTTTGAAAATTCAAAAAATTTAATAAATACGGCTATTTGATATTGCCCCAAAACTGATGCTTGTCAACTATGCCGAAATAAAATATTAAGAGAAACTTTGAATCAGTAATAAATAAAACAATTTAAAACAACTTAACTTTCTTAAATATTATTTAAGCAGAGTTTCCAGATTATGCTAGCTATTTGTTAATTGTACATTTTAAACAACTAAGCAAACTTATCAAAAAACATCGGCAAATTGGTTGATGCCGGCCCTAAGTCGAGCAGTCTGGCAGCCCTATAGCGAAAAATAGAGACAAAGAAGACGGGGCAATTATAATTCGAGCGTAAAAAGGTTTCCGAGTGTTGTACAACTTGACTATTATTGAAAATATCAGTTCAAGAATTCAAGTTATTTGCTACCAAACAGCCAAATAAATGATAGTACGCGAGGAGTGTAGGAAACAAGGACAAATTCCGAGGTCGCGAAACCGAAGAGAAGCCATTTTGCGAGGTGAGTACATTGAGCGCCTCTCCCGCCCCCCGTCTATGCCATTCTCCCCTCAACCGCAATCACCACCCGGCTCTTCTCGTCGTTGTTCTGTTGTGCTACGCATATTCGCCGCCATCGACAATAACTAATTCGTTCTTTGGCAATAACAGGTCCTCCAAATGTTTATTTTTGTTTAAATTAATAATGCACTTGACAAGCGAGTGTTGCAAAACCTCATTTGCCGGCCGGCAAACGAAAGTGAATGCAAAAGAAAAACGAAAACGTCATTCGTGCTTTGACTTTAAAACGCTAGAGTTGTATTACTCCTTATTCTCGGAAAAAAAGTTATTTTCAGCCGAGTTTTTTGCGCAGTAAATTCGGAAAAATGCTGCCCCAAGATAGGAAAATTCTGAGGTGACAGTCAGGCATTTGGAAATACACAATTCAAGTCGTTATTATAGGAATTTAATTAGTTCTAACTTCATTTTCATTGTTTTCCAGGCAACATACACGCCAGAACCAAAACCAAAACCCGAATTCCCGGCGCCCAAGGTTTAACAATAACAACCACCCGAAAATGGGCAGCAACTCCAAGGCGGATCCCATCTCGCTGACCTTCCACGACTCCTGTCTGCGGATGTCCGACGTCCAGCTGCTCCACGGGCCCCATTGGCTAAACGACCAGATCCTAAGTTTCTACTACGAGTACCTGTCGCATATGAAGTACAAGACGAACGCGGACCTGCACTTCATCGCTCCGGAGGTGACGCAGTGCATGAAATATATGGACGACCAGGAACTGGATCAGCTCCTACGCCAGAGCAACACGATTGGCAAACCCTTCATCTTCTTCGCCCTGAACGATAACGAAAGCACCGAGGCTGGAGGCACCCACTGGTCATTGCTGGTCTTTTCGCGCCCGGAGAAGACGTTCTATCACTTTGATTCGTATGGAAACAACAATACCAGCAACTCCGTCGAGCTGATGAACAAGGTTAAGGAGCTATTAGGCGCCCGCCTGGCCAAATTTCGGCCAATGCGGTGCCTCCAGCAAGCCAATGGCTACGACTGCGGCATCCACGTCATCTGCATGACCGATCACATTGCCGACTACCTGAACAGGTACGAGACGATCGACGGACTGCCCTCCTTGCACATCGACACCGTGAAGGCCAAGCGCACCGAGCTGCTCAAGCTCATCCTCTCGCTGGGCGGCAAGGGTTAGAGGCTTCCTGCACGTATTATTTTTAAGTGACGAAATTAAGATTGTTACTCTTTGGCAAAGAGGGAGAGTTGTTGCCACCGGAACCATGTAAATACGATATCCTTGATATTGCTAATTTTAATTTGTTTAGTTTCCCTTGCCGAACACCGAGTGTTTATTTAAAAAACAGTGCCAGACACTAAAAAAAACAATGCACATATGCACGAAATGGAGGTAGTGCGTCGGCAATTCTTTAAGTATGATCTTTTAAATAAAGATTTGTTTACCCGCAAAACGCGTTGAATTCGAGTTCAGCATTCGGGTTTCCTCGATTTGTTTGTTCAAGAGGCGGCTGTCTGCGAGGAGCTAATATTTAAAATTAAAACAACAAACACTCTTAGGTTGCAGTTATTTAATATAAATGCAAAACGGGAACGAATCCGCACGGATCGCTGATTAATTTACGTTTAAAAACACATATAAAATAGATAATTCCACCTCGAAAATTGATATTAAAAAGAGGCACTGGAGTACATACAAGGAATACCTTTTATCGCCAGGCGAATACACGGGTGGGTGGGTTTCTGCACGGGAGTAGGTTAAAGGCAAAGTCCACAAGGTTACCCTAACCACTACTATCTAACAGCTAGCTAAGCTGCATACGCGCCTACGTATGCAAATAGTTGAGACTGGCCTCATAGCCGAACTTCGGGTCTGGCCCATCCACCGAAGGCTCGCTCCAGCTCCTCGGCGACGGCCAAACACAGCCGATCCTGATTAAAGTTGGCAATGACTTGGACGCCGAGGGGCAGACCCTCGCTTCCTAGTTTGCCCAGTGGAACAGCGGTGGCCGGGAAGCCAAGCACATTTACAATACCCGTGTAGGCAAAGTTAATCGGTCGCGTTATGGGTTCATTGTGGTATGGGGCCACTGTCGGGTGCGTGGGGTAGATCAGCACTCCATTGTCGCCTAGGAGGCGCTGTAGCTCTGCCCTTAGTTCATTGCGCTTGCGCACCAGATGATCGTACTTGGGTGATCCATGCTTGCACTGGGCACTATCCATGATGGCCGTTGACAAGCCAATGAACGTGTGCTTTGAGGCACCGAAGAACCACTTGAAGAGCTCTAGGTACGTGTTAATGTCGTGGTCCAGGTTGCCCAGCTGATAAGCGAATCCGTGGCCACTGTCGTCACGCATATTGGCGAACCAGATGGCGGCCGACTGGCGGAACTGCGGCAGCTGAATGCGCTCCACCTTTTGATTGCCGAACTTCTCGCTCAGATGCTGCACCACTCGGTTCATGGCCTGTCACAGAAAAAATAGATTAAAGCTCATAATAATTAGAAAACTGTGATAGTGTACCTGTCTCAAGTCAGGATCAACGGCGGAAATCAAACGACCGCCGCCATCGGACTCTTGGTAGAAAAACTTTAATTTGGTAAGGTCCACATCCTCATCCAGATTAAGGAGGGCAGCCTTTTCGCCTGACATAATCCTCAACATGGGACGCAAGTCCTCGGCGAATCGTGACATCGGTCCCAGGCCCAGGAAGGAGTTCTGTTCGGCACTGAACGGCGCCGGAAACTGGCCCACATTGGACACCACCAACTTGCTGGGCTTGTGGCCAAAGATGCCATTAAAGAAGGCCGGCATGCGAATGGAACCGCCGATGTCGGAGCCCAGACCAAAAGCAGAGGCAGCCGCCGACTGGATACAGCCTTCGCCTCCACTCGATCCTCCCACAATTCGATTCGTGTCATAGGCGTTCCGTGTCCTGCCGTGCACCGTGTTGTTGCTCTCCCACCACATGCACACCTCAGAGACATTTGTGAGGGCGAGCGGAATTGCTCCTGCCTTGCGCATCAGGGCCATGGCATCCGCATCCTTTGCACCACGCACGTCACGACGTTCATACAGACCCGCTGTGTGCAGCATGCCTAAGAAATAGAGTAAATTCAGCGTTTATAACCCTTCCAAGAAGCTAAGGAGAGCTACGAACCCTTTACGGAAATGCAATCCTTGGTTGTGATGGGCACACCCAGGAAGGGTTTCTGCTTGGCCAGCTCCTCTACGCTAAGTTTGCCAGATTTAATAAGAGCATCCGCTTCGGCTGCTTCTTTTAATGCTTGATCATAGCGCTCATCCACCACGCAATTAAGAATGGGGTTTACCTCCTTGATACGCCTTATGAAGGATTCTAGGACCTGAACGCTGCTTAGCTGGAAAAACGAAATCCATTATTTCTGGCTTGAATGAGATGTAGCTAATAAACGTACCTCCTGGTTGCGGATCTTCCTAGCAAGCGACGTGGCTGACTCCAGCAGAATGGGATCTGTGATCGGGGGAACACTCTCTCCTTTGGAGCCATAGATTAGCCGGAAAACAAAACGAATGCAGGCCTGGAGCAGACCAAAGATGTACCCGCCAATGGCACGAGCAATTGGAACGCTCTGCGCCATTTCAATGAACGAATGTTTTCAACTTCAGAATCAGAATCGGAATCGTACGTGTGCTCTTTGCTTTGCTCTTTCCCATGTGGGGTTGCTCTGGAAGTATTAATCGACTTTAAAAATGACATGCATACAATAAAAATTCTTGTAAAAAAAAATTGCGTTGCAGTCGCATTTTCCACCGGTTTATCAGCGGGCTTATGTAAATATTTGTAAGGCTGGATCTCGCGATACATGTTATTTCGCAGTTCTGTATAGATATATACATACATGGGTCATATTTATTCTGTATGGCCTTAAAAAATCGAGTGTGGTTTCTAGGATTTATGGTTCACAATTCGGCTATTAAATAGGCAATTACTTTTATGGATGCTCGAATGAGTTTCACACGACAGGTGCAAAAACTTGATGGCACTGCATAATATTGAATCTAAAAATACTCTACGTCACAAAGAAAGACTTTAACCTTCATAAATAAGAAGTTTAAGAATCTATCAACACTCCTATTTAACGCTTTATAGTTATTTGACTGATTAATTTATGCCTGTGCCGTCAAATATTTGTTTTTGGGTATCCACACCTGTGATGGTTGACTCATATATTGCCAATAAACATTAACTACACATGAAAAATTCGAACCGGAGAACTTTGTTCAAATAATGCATGTTCTTAGTAAGAAAACGCCATTATTCCCACAAATAATTGCAAAAATGTTCTTGAAATAAACAAAGGAACTTTTAAGTGCGCCAAAAGTTGCAAATCAGATGAAATACGTTAATAGGGGAAAACGTGTTTCTCTGTACGGCAAGAAAAAGCTTAAGCTAACTTACTACCTCGCCAGGAAAAGGTTGTTTAAACAATCGTCTTTATCATCCGAGTCGTAAACATTTACCTATTTACAAAAAACCAATAACGGAAACTTTTGAGGCGGAAAGATATGCAGCTACAGGCTTGGGGTAAATATATCCAGTTTAAATGGAATTTAATGTTCGAGGACCATATGTTCCGCCAGAATCGGGATTTTCTTTATTATCTTATCATGAGTGCAGTTCAGACAGCTAATTCACTGCTTAAATATGAGAAGATAATGGCAGAAGGCAAGTTCCATGCACAATGGAGAGTGAATAGCCCATACATATGTCAATCCCCATGAACTTGTAAAAACATTCAGAGAGCGCCTGGCAGTAATTTATACCCACTAATTATTCCGAAAGAAAACGCGATGTCTGATAAGTGAAATGAGTCATAGGTCGCTATTGTTTGCTCATGCCAGGCATAAACGATAAAAGCAACTATTAAAACTGTTATTGTACAATCCAAGTTGTGCGCTGTGTGTGATTAGCAACAATTCAAAGTTCCCATTGCTTATCGCTCTGTGCTTATCACAACATGTTGCTTAAATTTTTTTATTTGAGGTTTCTTTCAGCATATCACACTTTTTCAGTTTGCTAATTGGATTGCCAGACATTCGAATGCAGAGTGCATTATAATCAATTTCGCACTTGCAAAGTGCGGGAGGAAGGTGGAGTACGAAGGGTACCTGATAAATTGCGCTTGGGAGCAAGTTTTGGTCAAAGGTCAATGAGCAGTGATGCGAAACGATAATAGCACCTTAATCGGGCGTTTAAGTGGGCTATCCGATTAGATTAGCCATAAATACTTGTAGCTTAGCTTGATTTTGGCATACTGACTAGGCACTTACTGTATAGGCACTGTAAATTGTTTTCAATTGTAAGGACCTGTTGCTTCCAATTGGAAACTAGAGTGAATAAGCAAACACACGTTCTTAATTGCTTGCCATTTCTAATTAGAAAAAGGGGGATGCCCAGGTGATTTCGAAATGGGGAGTAGTAGATTTGTATACATATAAACACAAAAGGTGGAAAAGCAATAACTGCGACCGGCAACTAAGTTTACGGGATGGGGAGGGAAATCCCCGTGGGTGTGACATCATTTTCCTTTTCCATTTCCAATTCCAGCATATGCTTTGTTTGGCTTACTAATTCATCAAGTGTCATTTAGCACTATGTATGTAAGTAAATTGTTGTATATGTATGTATGCAGAATGGTTGTTTGCTTGTTGGCGCGCGTGAATACCGAAAAAAATAAAAAAACAAAGCAAACACACCCAGCCGGCTGACGTCACAAGGCCCCGTAAAAATAGAGAAATATTTTAATTAAAAATTCGGAATTTATGTTTTTCAAGAATCAGGACAATGCGAAAGTTGCACTTTGTTCAAGTTTGGACTGCAGTTAACCGGTTGTCCACACACAATTAGCGAATACGTGTGGGTGTTCTCGCAACCACACAATTACACTTTGTACTGCGTTAAAACAACAGAAAATCCGAGATAAAGAGATATACAATACACACCGAACACTCTAGCACTCCGCAGCAATAATAAACAAAGCACAACTATTTACGAAGTCCGTTCGATCAGATGGGCGAGTTTAAAAATATCGAAAATATATGAAAGTATCGATGACATTTTTTAAAAATATTATTATCGCAATATTTTTTTGGCTAAAATATCGCATATCGGTATTAGGCGAACGGACTGAACTTGAACCCAATCTACTAGCAATTTCTTTCGTCCGCTAGAGGTTACTTTCTGGGCTACATTGGACATCGATGTTTTATTGAAATAAAATACAAAAATATTAAAATTACCATTGAACTTTATTTACGGTATTTTTTAGCCCCTTGTCACGAAAGCGCGAAAATCGGAACATCTGGCAGCGCTGGCCTTTCAAAAATGTCATCCTAAAATTTTGCAGCTAATCTGAAAAGGAACCGAATTGGAAACCGAAGTAGGGTTATTATTGGGCTTTTGAGATGAGCGTGAGAGAGAATCTGGCGCTGCAGCTGGCGGAGTCGCAGCTGGCCAAGCTGACCAGTGACTCGCAGGAGATCCGTATGCGCGCGCTTGAGCAGATTGAGACGCGCTTCATCCGGTGCCTGCAGCTGGGCGAGCGCATTCAGTTCAAGCCGGTGCTGATGCTGAAGCAGCTCATCCGCTGGTTCGGGTACACTCCACTGGTGGCCGCCGACCGTGTACTAGCCATGATCCTAGAGCTGCTGCGATCGGAGTATGGCGAGGTAGTGATCCGCAAGATTCCCTACGATCGCCTGAAAACGGAGCTGGAAAAGGTGCGTCGCGTGGTTCGTAGCTTGGAATCGAGGCAGGTGACGGAACTCTTGGACGACCTGCAAGTGCTGCTTTTGCTGAAGTATAGAATAAAACTGGCGTCGCCTGCGGGCTCTAGTGTCAGTTCGATCAACCTGACCAGTCTGAGCTTGGAATCCGCGCCAAGCGGTATCGAACAGATGCTGGCCAATCTTCCGTCAGAGGAATATGAGCCAGCCTGGACTCGTCCCATACTGGACGACTTGACCAGCATGCAGAGCCTGATTGAAAACACCTCCACTGATGTCATCGAGCTGCAGGTGCAGCTGACCCATCTGACCATTCGTATGGGCGACTACCCGGCCGAGTATCTGCTACAGCCGCCGTTTATATTCCTGCATTTGGTGCAGCTGCAAAACCGTAAGGACGAGAGCATGCTTCACGTAAACCGGGCACTTATCACCTGTCTGAAGCAGTTGCAGCGACGCATACAGATCCGCCGCAACACTTTGAGCTATGCGTCCAGCTTGGATCCTCCGGGTACGCGTCCTAAGCAGCTGAAGGTGGAGAGCGCCTTGGGAGTTTTGTTGGCCAGCTGCACGAAGATTATCACCCCGCTCGTGTTTCAGTCAACAGAGCATAATTGGCATATTTTGGAGCTGTGCGTAGAAACTATCCGGACATATGAAATTTACAACCAGCGCGTTTCCCCTTTGGGAACTGTGCGTTTTGCACACCTAGTTGACAAGCTACTCACGTACTGCAACAGTCTGGATGGCAGTGATATGGTCAAGTTGGTGGACTCCCTGATGATTCCCCGCCTGCAATCCCTGATCTTCAACGGGCTGCTACAGGACACGGTGGCCCTGAATCTCACATACGACAAACACATCGATCGGGGCAATGCCAAATCGCTTATAAAGCCTATCATTTTGGACAGTTCCTACTTGTCTTGCGTGCCGGATCGCATGAAATCGCTGAGTAATCTGATTTCCGCCCTGTCCTCGGAGCCGTCTGCGGAGGAGCAGCAGTTGATCACTTTAAAGCGTGCCTACAGCCTTGCCCTAAACCAATTCCAGCCGAAGACCAGGATGGGTGCCACGCAACTAGTCCAAATGCACAGGCAGGTGTGCCTGGTGGTCAACCAACTGGGTAGTGAGACACTGATCAAGCAACTTTTCAACGCTATTGTGGAGTGTACGCCCCACTACGCCGAAAATGCCGAGTTAAAGAAGGATGCTGAGGCGCTGCTTTACACCCTGATCGATTTGCCTGACCAACACCTTCGCGAAATAGTGTACCGTTTGATGCCACGACCCGTGGTTTCCCACTTCCATGCGTTTATCAACAAGACGGTGTACATGACGGGCTGCAGCAATTTGGAGCTGATCAACCAACGAATTCTTGGACTGCCATTAAATGGACAGCTGTTGCGCAGAATGATCCTTGAAAGCTGGGAGGCTGATGTCCCGGAACAAGTGCGGCAATGGTGCCTGGACTATCCCACAATGCTGCTCAAGCTCCAGTGCTTGATCGGAGTGCAGGAGTTCCAAACGGTGTTCCAACTGGTGCTTCCTGTGCTGCCGCTGCTGATCTGCAGATCGGTCACGCACAAGCAATTGCACAAGGTGGTTTGGCAGATGTTTGATCCAGACACCAGCGTTTTGGAGCCGCCGTTTCTGCTGCGTGGCTACGTATACTACATGTTCCATCCGAATTGTAAGATGAGAAAGGAGGCCACGACCAGGATTGCCTACATTCTGCAATTTCAAGACTACACGCACAAATACAAGTCCACCATGGACCGGGTGCCAATTGACATGCTACCCACTGATCTCTGTCTGATCCAACCGCCGGTCAGCTATAGTAGTATTTTTAATGAGTCAACTGAGGAACCTTTTCAGGGCCAACGCAGCTTGGATGCACTGATCCGACTGCTCAAGACCACGGACTTGAGGCCCTCCATCAGAAAGTCCACCATAACCCAACTGAATGTTTTGCTTCAGAACTGGAAGGCCTGCGAGGATTTCTCCACGAAAGAAGATGGGTATCGATTGGTTTTGGAGTCGCTGCACAACTCTTTGAAAAAGGAGTGTGCCAACGACCCGGCAGAAATTCTGATTCCCACCGTGAGTATCTTGATGAGGCTGTTGTTCCACAGCGCTGGATTCCGTCAAGAGATTTCAAACACCTTTGAAGTTTACGTGTGCCTGCTTCGCGCAGTGTTCCTGCTTCCCCACGAGTCACAGATGCGCCAAGATGTCAGCATTTGCCTGTTCCAGATGCTATTTCAAAACTTCATCACCTCCACTGAGGACAAATTAGTGTTGGACGTAGAACTGGGCGCCATGGTTCTGCCGGTGACATACGAAGTGGAACCCACAGCGACGCATACTGCAGCCTGGGAGGGACTGGCCCTGCAGAAACACCTGCTTGATACCCACTTCGGAAGAGACCAGGTCAACGCTGCCCAGCATTGGCGACTGTATACGGCCCATCGCGTGTGCCAGTGTCCAGCCAGCATCACTTTGGAATCTGTGCAGGGCCTCGACATCAGGGAGTCCCTCAAGATACAGGTGGCTGACCTGGCCTTGGTTCAGGCCTCCCACCCGGACGTACAGTTGGGTCGCCAGCTCACCGCGGCCGAAAACTGCAGCAGCCACGAGGATCTGCAACGAATTGTGAACCTCGTCCAACTATTCCTTGTGCTTATGCGCAACGGGGTTCCGGCAACACTGGGCGAAAGTCTTTGGAATTTGATTCACAAATACATCCGCTTGGCTCCGGGCAACGATGCGGATCGAGAGCTGTACAAGTCCCTGCTGGAATTGTGCCTTACTTGTCTGCGCTTCAACCAGCCCCAGGTGTTGGAAGGACTACGCGAAGCTCTCGAATCGGACCATAATCACAGCTTTCATCTTATGCTGCACGATCGTCTCATTCCTCTGGAGGTTCTTCACCTTATTAGCCAGTGCCTCACACACTTGCTCTCCTCCGATGCCGAAAGGGCTCCGATGAACTGGCACGGAACGCTGTTTATTCAGCTTACTCTTTTGACCAAGACCCACTTCGACTTGCGTCAGCTACAGCACGTGCGATGCATGCTCCGTATTTTGCGGCTTCTTAGCGAGCGGGATCTTAAGCTCAACGATGCTAGAATGACGGTAAGTAAATTGAGTTATTTATTAATATCCGTTACTTACTAAATTATATGCATATTCGACCGCAGCAATATTGCCATCTCTTCATTCAGCTGTCCAGTGATCTTCGGACTTCTACGCAGACTGGAGCCCAGTGGCAGCGGGATTGCCTTCATATCATCTGCCAGCTTCACTTGCATCACACTCATCTCTTACCAAAGAATAGTACATTGCATGAGGTGGGTTTGATGGAGAAGATTTTGCGCTATTTGCTCGGATTATGCGGTCACAGCGATGGAGAAGTTCGTGCCCTGTCCTGGGTTTTGATGGCCAATTGGATCACTAGCGGTGCTCCCAACATGCCGAACATTCTGCCCCGATTGGACTTTCTTCCCGGTGGATTGCCAGCCTGTTGTTTGACCACGCTGTTGGATGTCCACGAACAAATGTTGGTCAGAGTGTTAGCTGGCCGCGTATTTATCTTGCTGATGCCCACCATTGGCGCTGAGGCTAGCATCAAGTTGCTGCGGAATCATGACTTCTTGAGGGACGCCTACAATGCCGTAAAAGGCCTGCACGTTACTCCCTTGCTGGCGAAGGAGCCGGTGGGGGAGCAACACTCGTGTGAGATACTAAGCTGCTACATCGCCATCTGCACCAATATGGTGATCATCAAGCCCGAGTGGTGTGCTACGCTGTGCGGTCACAGCTTTATGAGCGGACTCAGCGATGTGATGAAGACGCCGCCGCCACCGGTGTCCTTCTCGGTATCCTTCCTGGAACTGTGCGCCGGACAGATATGTGAGTTGTACGCCTTGTGCCATCGCGATAACTTCGGGTTCCTTCAAAAAACCATCTGCCGGGATTCCGTTTTGCTGCAGAGCTTTCTGTCGCTGGCAAACGAAGTGCTCGATCTGGAGAGCCCCGAGCGCTTGCTAGTTCAACTATTCAAGATGTTCCTGGTGTTCTGCAAGGATCAAAATTCCTATGCCTTTTTAGTCGAGCAGCTGAAGAGTCAGCCAGCATTGTTTCTGGATTTTTTCCTGTACGGACTGCATTTGCAATACGCAAGCACTCCCTTTCAGCGCTACACCCTCTCAACCTTATCAATGGTGTTTATCAAGTCGCAGTCTGCTCCCGATAAAAACAATTTGCTCAGGGAGTTGGAACTGTATTTGCTGCCATTGAGTGACCTTCTGCCAATTGAAGAAGAGGAGTTGGTGCTATGTGGCAGGAATGAAATAATTACCATGAATAAGCAACTCATATCGATATGCGCAAACACCGATGAGGCTAGCGACCAGAGTCCGAGCTCTGGTGTGAAAACCACCAACGCGGCTGTGCTGATTTATTACCGCCTGGATCGCCTCTTTGATTATTACTATTCTCCTAAGACCTTTAATTTTCTGAAAAGCCCTGGCGTTGGTAGTGTGCAGACTTGCGAGAATCTCGGAGGATTGTTAAAGCTTTCTCCTTGGGCCGTGCATGCGTCTAGGAAACTGAAGTTACTGGATCGAGTGGTTAATCTTCTGGAAACCTTTCTGAACGACGCAAACATCGGTAACGCCAGCGTATATGTGAAGCGAGTGGGAGCCCACAAATCAAAAGATATCCTAAGCAATCTACTTTTGCTGATTAACATGTTGTGCCACTGGCACAGTTCGCATCACGCCGTCATTACAAATCCCGCCATGGCTGTCACAATCGTCCGAATCCTTATCCGCATGTGGCCGTGGTTGTCTCACTCGCCGCACTTGAAGATGGTCACCATTCAGCTAGCCATGTTCTTGACCGAGCACTCCTTTGAGATGTGCAAACAGACGTCGCTGGTGCTTCCCGGGCAATCGCATTCTCTGCTCCAGTTGATGGTTCGAGTGGCTGATTTTGAGACAACCAGAAAGGAGACCCCGACTAAGGAACCCTATAGCTGTGTGCTGCCCGCCCTGAGGGTGATGAGCAACTGCTGCTCCTGTGCCGATGGTCGACTGAGTCTGACCAAAATGCACGTGCTGGATATGTTTGACATAATCCTCCCGGCAAATCATACTTCTACCCAGGCAAACAGAGTGCGGCCAACGGTTCTGAACGCTTGGCTTGGATTCTGGGAGGTGTATTCCCGGTACGATGTGGGCGGCAAAACTTGTCACCTTCAGGCTCTCATCAACGCAGTTCCACGGTCGCCGCCATTGAGCAAAAAGAGGATCCTGTGCCTTCGGATCCTTCGCAACATGTGCTTCTTTAATGGGAATCGCGCCCAGCTGGCGGAACAGGCCGATTTCATCAACATGCTGCGTGATATTCTGGTCCAAACAGTTAAGAAGGGACCAAAACCCACCGAAGACACTTTGAACTCATTCGAGGAGCACCGCTTGGCCGTCCTGATGGTGTGGAAACTCTTCTGCTTCGGGGCCAAGTACAAGGGAATTCTGCGGGGCACCAAGCTGTTAAAAATACTATCCGGTCTCCGCGCGGAGTTCTCAACGACTTCTGCGGAGCAAACCAACGAATTCGCCGACATTCCTTTTGCAGCAGAACTCGCCGAGTTGCTGGAAAATCTAATGGAGTCGATGCGACAATAGACTTAGACAATGGACAAAAACTGACCAAGTACAAATAAATAGGATAGCTATAACAAAATATTTTTTTTTATAATTTGTATTAGTCTTTTGTAATCGGACTTATGATATAATTATGAATCGATGTACTTAAAATAATCGCTTATGTAAAAATGTATACCATCTCACTTGTTGTAAGAAGTCTAAAAGAGTTCTAAGTCTACACGATGTCCTTAAATAAAGAAATTAAATATTTTCGCAGGTTTATAAACTGCAAATTGATCCTCGTATCACAAAACTAATTTAAACCACTCGACTTTATCTTTTTGTGGTCTCAATAGGATGCAGTAATGAAGTAGCCCATTATTATATACTACACAGCAACCGCATATTCCCCAGACATAAAGATTAGTGTTCCTGTTTAAGTGACAGGCAGTTATGGGTAAACAAGCGTGCTGAAAACAATTTCTTTTTTTTTTTAAAGCGATATAAAGATAGGAGACCGTTAATCATCTTTTTAGATACCAAATGGAAAGCAACTGGAAAATAGTCTGGGTTTTTTTCGTCCAACATTTTCGTTAGCATCGATAGCTATATTGCATGCATAAACCGATTTATCTTTATGGGATTCAAAGTGCGAATCACTGCTGATAATATCCGTCCACCTTCAACTTCGTTAGCCAAAAGCCAATGCCTTTTCAGTTCATTCCGGACGGGCAAAGGAACTGTTCGATTTTCGCGGCCATCAAAAAAAATCAATATGAAATCAAAAGAAAACGTGAGGTTTGATTTTAAAAATCAAGATGCAGTGATTAATTAATAAACATTTAAAAGGGCCTCGTGGAGGATAAGTCGGACATGGCTCTGGTCAACGTTTTATCGCACCAGCAAAGACTGATGAAATACAGACTGCCCTGGTATTACGCACCATCATTTCTGCTCCTTTGGGTCGCGCTCTTCTACGCGGTGGTGTATCCCCTCTATCATCGACTTCCGGATAGCGTCTTGATAGCGGATGAGTCCAATAAGCCAGGCCAGTTTGTGGCGGAGAGGGCACAAAGACTGCTCTACAAATACGACCGGATTGGACCCAAGGTGGTGGGCAGTGTGGCAAATGAGGTGACAACGGTGGCCTTTCTCACCGAGGAAGTGGAGAATATCAGGGCAGCGATGCGCACTGATCTTTACGATCTGGAGTTGGATATTCAACAGCCGTCCGGGGCGTACATGCACTGGCAGATGGTCAACATGTACCAGGGTGTCCAGAATGTGGTTGTGAAAATCAGCACCAGGAGCTCCAATAGTTCGTCCTACCTCCTAGTCAACAGTCACTTCGATTCCAAGCCCTCTAGTCCGGGTAAGTTAAATTAAATTCTTGCTTTTAGGGAGTGTGCAATAATTCTTAACATGAAGGTTCCGGCGATGATGGCACTATGGTGGTGGTGATGCTGGAGGTCCTTCGCCAAATAGCGATATCAGATACCCCATTCGAACATCCCATTGTATTTCTTTTCAACGGAGCCGAGGAAAACCCCTTGGAGGCCTCACATGGATTCATTACCTCGCACAAATGGGCGGGCAATTGCAAGTGAGTGGAGATACCAATTTAATGAAATGGAAAACAATAAAAGAATCTTTTTGTAGGGCCCTTATAAATCTGGAAGTGGCCGGCAGCGGAGGTCGAGATCTGTTGTTCCAGAGCGGTCCAAATAATCCCTGGCTCATAAAGGTAATATTGGTGATTCACGTTTGGTAACCAGGAAATTACTTGTTAAGCTCATGGCCTTTTAAGTTTTTATAACTCGCACATTATATTTGTTTATTGAATTTCGGTAATTACTGCAATTCGCTTACTTTTATTGGAGTGACTGGCTCCGATAAATGTTTAACTTTTATATCTACTAATTTCAGTACTACTATCAAAATGCAAAGCATCCGTTTGCCACCACAATGGCCGAGGAAATCTTTCAGTCCGGCATTTTACCATCCGATACAGATTTTCGTATCTTCCGGGACTACGGAGAGCTGCCAGGTGAGTTAGCTGTGTTTTAAGTTAATTAGTTTATGTCCTAAACGTGTTTCTTCAAGGTCTTGATATGGCCCAAATCAGCAATGGTTATGTCTACCACACAATTTTTGATAATGTTCAGGCGGTGCCCATTGATTCCCTTCAAAGTTCGGGAGAAAACGCCTTATCGTTGGTGCGTGCTTTTGCAAATGCCAGTGAAATGAACAATCCGGAGGTGAGTCAGCTATAGTTTTTGGGTACTTCCCAGTTTATTATAATATACCCATCGTATTTAATTTTAGGATCACAGCGAAGGACACGCTGTCTTCTTTGACTATCTAGGCTTATTTTTTGTTTACTACACCGAAACCACTGGAATTGTTCTAAACTGTTGCATTGCCGTAATTAGTTTGGTTCTCGTGGGTTGTTCCCTGTTGAGAATGGCTCGTGAATCGGATGCCACTATTGGTCAAACATCCATTTGGTTCTCCATTATTCTTGGACTTCATTTCTTGGGATTTGTCTGCAGTCTTGGCTTGCCTTTGCTAATGGCTGTTCTTTTTGATGCCGGAAATCGTTCGATGACATATTTTAGTAATAACTGGTTGGTAATTGGCCTCTTCATCGTGCCAGCAATCATTGGACAGGTTCTGCCACTAACGCTTTATTACACTTTGAAGCCGAATGTGAGTTTTATTAGCCATTAATTGAACTTACTATGATTTAGCTTTGAAATAATCTTTTATTTCCAGGAGCACATTAGCCATCCCAATCACATACATATGAGTCTTCATGCGCACTGTGTCCTGTTGTCTTTGGTTGCCATTATCCTTACTGCTATAAGTCTGAGAACCCCTTACTTGTGTATGATGTCCTTGCTTTTTTATGCGGGAGCCCTGCTGATCAACTTGCTAAGTACTCTCCATGATCGTGGTAAGTCCTAGATATAAAATAATTGTTTAAAAATAAATAACAACTAAAAAAACATATATTTTCAGGATACTACTGGGTGTTGATCGTGCAAGTCCTGCAACTAATGCCGTTCCTGTATTTTTGCTACCTTTTCTACACTTTCCTGATGGTTTTCTTTCCTATGTTAGGACGATTTGGACATGGCACAAATCCAGATCTCTTGATTGCTTTGATTTGCGCCGTGGGATGTTTCTTTGCCTTGGGTTTTGTGGTAAGTCTTAAGAAGTTATTTAAGATTATAACTAACTTTTAATTGCCTTAGGCTCCGCTGATAAACATGTTCCGATGGCCGAAGTTGGCTTTGCTCGGCTTGGGAGTAGTCACCTTTATATTCAGCATGATTGCGGTTTCCGATGTGGGTTTTCCATATCGCGCCCAAACCAGTGTGATGAGAATTCACTTCCTGGTAGGTCACATTACTATATAGTACATATATGGATGTATAACCCATTTGACGAATCCAATGTTTCAGCATGTTCGTCGCATCTTTTATGAGTACGATGGCTCGGTGAGTCTCAGCGACTCTGGCTACTACTTTGACTTCCAGGATCGTCGGCTTTATTATCCGTTGGAGGATACCTCGGTCAATCTGACTGGGTTGGTTAGCACCGCAACCGACTGTGACCAGTACCTGATGTGTGGTGTGCCCTGCTTCAACCATCGTTGGTGCCAGACCCGCGCCAAGAGTCATTGGTTGCCTCGGGAACAGGAGGTTACTATTCCGGGCGCCTCATCTCTAAAACTTCTCAGCAAAACCGTCTTGGAGTCCGGAAAAGTGGCACGGTTTGAATTCGAGATGTCTGGGCCGCCACACATGAGTCTTTATATCCAACCCCTTGACGGCGTCGAGGTGGAGGACTGGTCCTTTATTCGAAATCAGCTGGATGAGCCCGGAACTTATTCAGCGCCCTATCAAATATTCTTCGCCTACGGCAATGATAATTCTCCTCTCAAGTTTCACATTGACTTTGCGGTAAGTTTAGGAAGCTCTTCATTTGTTTGTGGCTAAAGTATATTTCTTTATAGAAATCCTCGGGAGAATTTAGCACTCCAACTTTCCAGCTGGGATTCGCTGCAAGTTTTGTGAGCTATGACTACGAACGGGATGCAGCTGGCTTGAAGTTCATATCCGATTTTCCCGACTTTGCTCACGTTATGGAATGGCCAACGTTGTATGAACGTTATATATTTTAAGAGTCTCAATGATTTTGTTTGCACCAAACAACTTTTCTGTTAGCTATTACGGTTGTAAAGTTAAGATTATGTTTTAAACGCACTGCTTTAAGTAATGGAAATTTTCGTAGTTTATCATAATAATGAGTTCACTGGCGTGTGTAGATTGACCGATAAGATTTCATGCAGAGATTGGAACTGACCTGCAAGTGGATTTTTAATTATAAATCTAAATCGTTGCTATCACAGATTGATTGGTTTCCCTTGTGCTTTGTTGTTGCCATTGGCTTTCTATCAAGGCTCTCTGCAGCCTATCTTTATGTGCTGAAGAGTGCTGCTTCGATCCAAACTAATCGTACCACAAACATTCAGTCGTGAGACTGTTGGGCATTAGAAAGGTTCTCAGATTGGCTCTCTCCGCAGAATTTTGCTGGAAATATGGAACTGCAGGCGGACGGCGATAAAGCGAGTACATACTCATAAAATTTTCCTATAATATTATTTATAACAATGCAATCCAGGAGGGCTTCTCCGACACCGTTCTCTACCATGTTTTGGCGAAGGAAAAGGAGCTGAGAAGGAAACTTCCCTGGTACTACGCACCCACTTTCCTTCTCCTCTGGGTGGCTCTATTCTACGCTATCGTACTTCCGCTTTTTTACCGGCTACCAGATCGTATAACCATTGCCGACGAACCACTTAAGCCCGGAGAATTTGTGGCCGAGAGAGCGCAGAAAGTGCTCTACGAGTTCGATCGTATCGGACCCAAAGTGGTTGGAAGTGTTGCGAATGAGGTGACGACTGTTGCATTTCTCTTAAATGAGGTTGAAAAGATTCGTCAAGAAATGCGAACAGATCTCTATGACTTAGAGTTGGATGTCCAGCAGCCGACAGGATCATATGTGGTTGGAACTATGACCAGCATATACCAAGGTATCCAAAATGTTGTTGTAAAGCTGAGCACTTCCAGTTCAAATAGCTCATCTTATCTGCTGATCAACAGTCATTTTGACACGAAGCCGGGAAGTCCTGGTATGTTGACTTTATTCAATATTCTTTAATATACATATTGTAATGGAAATTCATTTTTTAGGGGCTGGAGATGACGGCACAATGGTTGTAGTTATGTTGGAAGTTCTACGTTTAATGTCCATCTCAGAAACCAAATTTACGCATCCAGTAGTCTTCTTATTTAATGGAGCTGAGGAGAATCCTCTACAAGCTTCCCACGGCTTTATTACCCAGCACAAATGGGCGGCTAACTGCAAGTAAGTCTGAGATCTTATGTTATTTAAAGAAGCTATTTAAGTATATTCCTTAGGGCAGTCATAAATTTGGAAGTTGGCGGAAGCGGTGGACGAGACATTCTCTTTCAGAGTGGACCAAATAATCCTTGGTTGGTAAAAGTAGGGAATAATAACTAACTTTAAATTTAGAAAGCAGAAAGTAACATTAAACCTATTTAGTACTATAAAAAATATTCGAAGCACCCGTTTGCCTCAACATTGGCGGAAGAGATATTTCAATTTGGAATACTACCATCCGATACAGATTTTCGAATCTTTCGAGACTATGGAAATATTCCAGGTAAGGCTTAAGATACATACTAGGATATTCTATCAATTAATTTATTTATATTTGCAGGTCTTGACATCGCACAGTTCAGCAACGGATACGTATACCATACAAAATTTGATACTTTTGATGTTGTTCCAGGAAGATCCGTTCAGAGCACAGGAGAAAATATTTTGTCTCTGGTTCGGGCTTTTGCCAATGCCAGTGAACTGTATAACACAACCGTGGGTTTAATTTTTAGGCTACCTTTTATATTTAACTCATTATTTATATAATTTCAGGAGCACAGTGAAGGCCATGCAGTCTTTTTTGACTTCCTGGGGCTTTTCTTTGTGACCTACACGGAGAAGACTGGCATTATATTGAACTGCTGCTTTGCAGTGCTGAGTATTATTCTCATTGGAATTTCCCTGTGGAAAATGGCCAAGGCATCTGAGGTTTCTTTGGGGCGAATATCTGTTGTGTTCGTCATCTTTTTTGGACTACATCTTCTTGGATGCCTTTTGTGTATTACTTTGCCCCTAATAATGGCTCTTTTATACGATGTCGGCGATCGAACTTTGACCTACTACAGTAACAACTGGTTGGTAATTGGACTTTACATCTGTCCTGCGATCATTGGCCTGGTGCTACCTTCAACACTGTATCACTCATTCAAGCCAAACGTAAGCTTTGATTTTATGTCTTTATTATCTACTTATTTTTAAATTACATTTCAGAAAAGTCTAAGCCACTCGTACCAGATCCACATAGGTTTGCATGCACATTGCGTCGTCCTGGCATTCTTGGCCATTATTTTAACTGTAATGGGTCTGCGAATTCCCTATATGTGCATGATATCATTGTTTCTCTATGTCGCCTCTCTGCTGATTAACCTGTTGAGCACTTTACACGATCGAGGTAGGTGAATAAGTAAACAAATTTAAATTTATTACTAATCATTTTTATTCTAAGGTTACAACTGGGTAATAACGGTGCAGTTAATTCAGATCTTTCAATTTGTGTACTTCGGCTATTTATTCTACATATTCCTTGTGATATTCTTTCCCGCAATGGGTCGAAATCGTGATTCCGCAAATCCCGATATGCTAATTGCTCTAATTTGTGCTGTGGGAACTTTCTTCGCGCTGGGTTTTGTGGTAATATTGAAAAGTAAGTTTTTTAACATTATCTTTTCAAGACTTTCCGTTAGGCTCCCCTGATAAACATATTCCGCTGGTCCACCATTTTATTGATTGGTCTGGGGATTGTAACCTTTACATTTAGCATGATTTCCGTTTCGGATGTGGGATTCCCTTATCGTCCCAAGACCAGTGTGATGAGAGTAAACTTTCTCGTAAGTAAATTCATAACTTATTTCGAATTATTAATAATGTTCAATATATTTCATAGGAAACCCGTCGAGTGTTCTACGAATACGATGGTTCAGTAAGTGTCGATGATTCGGGTTACTATTTTGACTATCAGGATAGACGAGCCCTTCGTCCACTCAAAGATTACGACGTAAACTTAACTGGATTGACTTCTGTAGACGCTTTCTGCGATAAGTACGTCATGTGTGGAGTTCCGTGTTTTTGGAGTAGTTGGTGCAGGGGACTTTCAAGTGCTGCTTGGCTGCCCCGCGAAAAGGAAGTTGAAATACCCGGGAAACTGGAATTAAACCTGTTGAATAAAACAATTTCGGAGACAGAAAAATTCATAAGATTCGAATTCGAATTAAGTGGTCCACCTCATATGGGTCTGTATATACAACCTCTGGAAGGAGTATCAGTCAAGGATTGGTCCTTTATAAGGACAATGTTGGATCGACCAGAAAAGTACTCGGCGCCTTATCAAATTTACTTTTCCTATGGCGTAGACAATTCCACGTATAAATTTCACATTGATTTTGAAGTAGGTAAAAGTTGCTATATAAAAAGTAATGTTACTAATAATATATTTATCTCTTAGAAATCCAATGGAGATTTTGATGGACCAATCTTTGAGCTCGGAGTCGTGGGACATTATGTGAGCCAGGATTTTGAAAGGGATGCAACCACCCTTCAGTTTATCGAGGACTTACCAAGTTTTGTTTACACCATGGAATGGCCATCTCTGTTTCTGCGATATATCTTTTAAGATCCCGTATCCCTTGGGACAGCCAAGTTTTGCATCTATTATAATCCGGTAGACATTCCAAGTGCTGCGATAGTGCAATCGATAAGGAAAAGAAAAATAAATTAATCTCTGTACCCACATCAATCGTCACCTTAATCTGCCAGACATCGGGGTAAATGAATAAGCTTTAATTTGCAGCTGCCCCTCGCGTGCGTCGAAATCGCCACTTATGTATATTTATATTAAGTCGTAAACCCGTTCAATTTAGATACCATGGCCGTGGCCAAGGTTCCCCGCCTTAAGACAAAGCAGTTCCCCCGCCGGCAAGTCGGCGGGTATCAAGCGCCGCTGGGCTTTATCTTTATGGCCTATATAGTATGGCGGAAGGCTTCGAGTCGATATGCTCGGGGGTGCAGACGTTTAGTTACGCGTGGATCGGGCATCGGAAGGGTTTGAACTGGATCTGCTGGCAATCTAAACATGGACGAGAAGACTGATAAAGTGAGTTTAGATTTAGAAAAATAAAGTGAAAAGTCGCAGGGAAGAGAACCTAATGATCGCCGTCTAATCAGGAGAATCCCGTGGACACCGCTCTCATCGAATCCTTGACGGTGCGAAAAGGTCACGTCCGTCATCACAGGCTATCCTGGTACTATGCTCCCTCCTTCCTGCTCCTCTGGCTGGCGCTCTTCTACGCCATCGTGTTCCCGCTATACTACCGTCTTCCGGATAGGGTGACCTTATCCGAGAAATCGCTCCATCCCGGGGAATTTGTGGCGGAACAGGCACAGAAATACCTCCACACCTACGATCGCATTGGACCCAAAGTAACTGGCAGTTATGCGAATGAAGTGACCACCGTTGAGTTTCTCGTTAATGAAACGGAAAAGATTCGCGCCGAAATGCGCAGTGATCTCTACGAATTCGAGATAGACGTCCAGTCGCCAACGGGTGGATACGTCTTTAACGATATGGTGAACATGTACCAGGGAATTCACAACGTTATCGTCAAACTGAGTTCAAAGAGTTCCGCGAGTGAGTCATACCTGCTGCTCAACAGCCATTTCGACTCGAAGCCAGGAAGTCCAGGTAAGTGTTACTTTTAGCACCAAATTGAGAAACTAGAATATAAAGGAGATCTTCAGGTTCCGGTGATGATGGCACTATGGTGGTGGTCATGCTGGAGGTCCTGCGCCAAATGTCCATCTCGGCGACCCCATTCGAACATCCCATTGTCTTTTTGTTCAACGGAGCCGAGGAGAATCCCCTTCAGGGTTCCCATGGTTTCATTACGCAACACAAATGGGCAGCCAACTGCAAGTAAGCCAAAAAGACTTTCACTCGAACTCTCAATTGCAACTATATTTTTAGGGCCTTTATCAATCTTGAAGTGGGCGGAAGCGGAGGACGTGACTTATTGTTCCAGAGTGGTCCCAATAATCCTTGGCTCATGAAGGTGAGAATCATTGTTTTTCAGCGAAAATAGTAGCTTGTGGCTGAAGTTACCCTATACTATACACTTTATGGCCAAATTTATGGCCATTTCTTCTTTTACTGCCGATATACTAAACCGACATTTTATAGTATTATAGGCAGCACGCAAAGCACCCGTTCGCGACCACAATGGCCGAGGAGATCTTTCAGAGTGGAATTTTACCCTCTGACTCAGACTTTCGAATTTTCCGGGACTTTGGGTATATACCCGGTTAGTTAATATATCATAAACTTTTGATAGACCTTTATAACAACTATTTTTTCGTAGGCCTTGACATTGCCCAGGTGGAGAACGGATATGTGTACCACACAGCTTTTGACACATATGAAGCGGTTCCTGGCCGATCCATTCAGAACTCGGGAAACAATGTCCTTGCGTTGGTGCGTGCATACAGCAATGCCAGTGAATTAAATGGAACTGAGGTGAGTTAAAATATAATGGAAAGTGAGACTTTACTGATAAGTGATTTCCAGAGTGACGATGGCCATGCTGTTTTCTTTGACTTTCTGGGACTTTTCTTTGTCTACTACACGGAGACCACTGGAATCGTTATGAACTGTTTGGTCGGAGTGATCAGTTTGGTTTTAGTGGGTTGCTCCCTTTGGCGAATGACCCGCCAGTCGGAGAAGGTTTCCATTGCACAGATTTCGATTTGGTTCCTGATCATATTGGGATTGCATGTCGTGGGATTTCTGCTCTGCATTTGCCTGCCTTTGCTGATGGCTGTGATATTTGATGCTGGAAGTCGGTCGCTGACTTACTTCGCTAACAAATGGCTAATGTTTGGTCTGTTCGTTTGTCCCGCAGTCATTGGCCTCGTACTTCCGCTGACTCTTTACTACACCCTGAAGCCAAATGTAGGTATATTCTATATCCCTGGGTTTCCTTTTTTAATTCTTAACTGATTTGCAGGACAAACTGAGCCACCCTTACCTCCTCCAGTTGAGTTTGCATGCCCACTTGGTTGTCCAGGCTTTGCTGGCTTTGATCTTAACAGCCATGGGTCTGCGATCTCAGTACCTGTGCCTAATTTCGATGATCTTCTATGGAGGTGCCCTTCTGATTAACTTAGCGAGCACGCTCCACGATCGTGGTGAGTTATTTTGTAGCCATAAATCTCTTCGATTTCTAAGCACTCGTATTTCAGGCTATTTTTGGGCTTTGATTGTGCTGTGTCTGCAGGTGCTGCCGTTTTCCTACTTCTGCTACTTGTTCTACATGTTCCTCGTGATATTCATTCCTGTTCTGGGAAGGAATGGTGCAAACTCGAACCCTGATCTCATCGTCGCCTTGCTGTGTGGTGTTTGCGTCTTCTTTGCTCTTGGTTATGCGGTAAGCTCTTCTTAGGAGTTATTTATTTCAGGATAACAATATATTTTTTTTATTCCACAGGCACAACTCATCAACATGTTGCGCTGGCCAAAACTGATTCTTTTGGGACTGGGAGTAGTCACCTTCATCTTCTGCATGATCGCTGTTTCGGGAGTGGGTTTCCCCTATCGTGCCAAGACAAATGTGATGCGAGCCAACTGTTTGGTAGGTTATCCTGCTCATGTGATGATTCCAAATCTAATAGTTATTTTCCCTTGAAGCACACTCGACGAATCATCTACGAGTTCGACGGCTCCGTGAGTCGCGACGATTCGGGTTACTACTTCGACTATCAGGACAGGAGATCCTTTGACCCTCTGCAGGATTCTGAACTCGACTTGACTGGATTGGAGCCCGTTGCGAACTATTGCGACGACTATGTGATGTGCGGCGTTCCCTGCTTCTACTACAGTTGGTGCAAGTGGCGTTTCTGGGATGGATGGCTGCCCCGCAAGACGGCGGTGAACATGCCCGGGGAACTTACGCTTGAGTTTCTGGGCAAAACGGTTTTGGAGTCGGGCACAGTTGCTCGATTCGAGTTCGAGTTGTCTGGACCGCCGCACATGAATGTGTTTGTTCAGCCTGTTGGAACGGCAAAGGTCGAAGACTGGTCGTTTGTGAGGAAAATGCTTGACGAACCGGAAGAGTTCCAGCCCCCCTACCAGATATTCTTCTCCTACGGCACAGACAGTACCCCCTTGAAGTTCTCCATCGATATGGAGAAGTCGGATGGCAGGTTCGATGAACCCACTCTCGAACTCGCAGCTGTGGGTCACTGGGTCAGCTATGACTATGAACGGGACTCGGAGGCCAAGGAATTTGTGGCCGCCTTTCCCAACTACGTTCATGTCATGGAATGGCCTTCTATATTTAAGCGATATGTTTTTTAGGTATTTATACACGTAGGGCATTGTTAAATAATTTGCATCCAATTACCTGTGTAACAGGTTCCATACCATTATAATTATAAAACCTAGGAATTCTTATAATAAAATTTAACAACGATAAAAGGGGTTCGTTGGTGGCAAAATAATTGACCTTATTTTCTTGAGTGTTGGAATTGAATCTTTTATGTTTTCTCATACTGTAGAAGTTAAAACTTTATAAGGGGTGACATTTCTGTTTTTGCCAATAAATAGCTATCCATTACCTGCCCGAATGTGCTAAATGCGATACAATGCGATATCTTTCTTTTAAGTCGACTCGAGAAACCTAAGTTGATAAGGGAACACTTTTCATTTAAGAAAAGCTATAAGATTTTATCTTTATACTTTTATTTGCTGCGAGGTAACGAGGCTGTTTATTCATGCTTAGAAATTTAGTTTCGCTTGAGTTTTTCATTAAAGCGGATCGATAATATCGACAAAGAAATGACTCAGAAAGTAGGTATTTATCCACTCAATATTATAATCCAACTAATATTATTGAATGGCTCTTAAGGAAATCGAACTCATTGGAGATTCTTCATCACTTAAAAAAGAACGTGAAGATAGGCGGAGATTGTCCTGGTACTATGCTCCGTCATTTCTGCTCCTCTGGCTCGCACTTTTTTTCGCCATCGTAATACCGCTCTACAACAGACTTCCAGAGAGGATAATAATAGCAGAGGAGCCTTTGAATCTTGGAGAATTCGTGGCAGAGCGGGCGGAGAGGCAACTGCATGAGTATGAGCGCATTGGACCCAAAGTTGTGGGTAGTCCAGCGAATGAGGTGGAAACTGTGGCCTTTCTTCTGAATGAAGTGGAAAAGATTCGAACGGAAATGCGCAGCGATCTCTATGAACTCGATGTTGACCTCCAGTTGACTACCGGTAGCTTTTCGTTTGGCAGTATGCTGAGCATGTACCAGGGAATTCAAAACATAGTTGTTAAATTAGTGGCAAAGAAATCTGTTAGTGAGTCCTACCTGCTGATCAACAGTCATTTCGATTCCAAACCAGGCAGTCCAGGTAAGTATTTCTTTAAAAATTATTATATACAAATTATAACTAATGATGATATCAGGATCCGGTGACGATGGAACCATGGTCGTGGTTATGTTGGAGGTCTTACGACAAATGGTGATTTCCGAGACACCATTTGAACATGGAATAATCTTTCTGTTCAACGGAGCCGAGGAAAATGGTCTTCAGGGCGCACATGGCTTTATTACACAACACAAATGGGCAGCGAATTGCAAGTAAGTTCGAATGGGGCAAAAAATAAACAATTTGAATATAATTTACTTAATTTAGAGCCCTCATTAACCTAGAGGTGGGCGGTAGCGGTGGGCGTGATCTACTATTTCAAAGTAGTCCCAATAATCCGTGGTTGATGAAGGTAAGAATCTTTTCTGCTTAAATTTTTTATTTTTATTTAATTTTTTGTTTGTTTGTGTTTGTAGTACTACAGGCAATATGCAAAACATCCTTTTGCAACAACTCTAGCCGAGGAGATATGGCAGTCTGGAATTATACCCTCCGGCACCGACTTTCGAATTTTCCGTGATGTTGGAAATCTGCCTGGTTAGCTGTTCAAGAAAATATCTTTAAGAGTTTCTTATTATTCTATTTTCCATCAGGTTTGGACATCGCTCAGGCAGATAATGGATACGTATACCACACAGCATTTGACACGTTTAAAGTGATTCCTGGCAGATCCATTCAGAATACAGGAAATAACATTCTTTCCCTTACGAGAGCCTACGCAAATGCCACAGAATTATATGAAACAGAGGTAAAGTATATTCTTACATTCGGATATTACATCAGTTTAGTTTTAATAATATAAGAATATTTCTTTTTAGAAAACTGGAGATGGCTACGCCATCTTTTTTGACTTTTTGGGACTATTCTTTGTTTACTATACAGAGACCACTGGGATTATTCTAAACTGTGTGATTGGTGTAATAAGTCTGATATTAGTTGGGTTTTCCCTCTGGAGAATGACTCGTCAGTCGGAGAAGGTTTCCATTGGTCAGATTTCGATATGGTTCCTGATAATCTTGGGGTTGAATGTATTGGGAGCAGTACTCTGCCTTTGCCTTCCCTTATTAATGGCTGTATTATTCGATGCCGGAGATCGGACGCTGACTTACTTCACAAGCAACTGGTTGGTATTCGGGCTCTATATATTTCCTGCATTTATAGGACTCGTACTTCCGTTGACTCTTTACTACACCCTGAAACCCAACGTAAGGTTTGAGTTTAGTAAGTACTTAATTAAGTTGATTGAATACCTTTTTGTTTAATTCACAGCACAAACTGAGCCACGCTTACCAGATCCAAATGAGTTTGCATGCCCACTCCGTGGTTTTGGCCCTTCTCATTCTTATTTTGACCGCTGTAGGTCTTCGTTCTCAGTACCTATGCCTCATATCATTGATCTTCTATGGAGGTGCTCTCTTAATAAATTTAATAAGCACACTGCATGATCGAGGTGGGTAACCTCCTTATTTTTTTCCAATGAAATTCTTTTAGCTGCCATCTATTTTAGGCTATTATTGGTCCCTGGTTGTAATGTGTCTTCAGGTTTTACCATTTTGCTACTTTTGTTACCTTTTCTACATGGTGCTTGTGGTATTTTTCCCGATCACGGGAAGAAACGGCATCGGCTCCAATCCTGATTTAATAATAGCGCTTTTGTGTGGAGCTTGTACCTTCTTTGCACTGGGATTTGCTGTAAGTAATAACTATGTTTTTTGTAATTTTATTTAACTTCACTATCGACAATCAATTAGGCCCAATTTATCAACGTTTTCCGCTGGCCAAAGCTCATACTTCTCGGTTTGGGAGTGGTTACCTTTATTTTCTGCATGATTGCTGTTTCAGAAGTGGGATTTCCCTATCGCGCCAAAACCAGTGTTATGCGAATCACTTTTATGGTAAGTATTATTCGTTAATTTATATTTTATGAAGTTCTCAACATAACTAACCCCCTTAAAGCAAACGGATCGCATATTCCACGACTATGATGGCAAGGTAACTCATAGTGACTCGGGATATTATTTCGTATATCAGGATAGACGGGGACTTAATCCTCTGGTGGACTCCGGAGTCGACCTGACTGGACTGGCTTCCATGGAGCCCGAGTGCGATAAGTACTTTATGTGCGGAGCTCCCTGTTTCTATTTTTGTGGAGGAAGGAGGAATGCTGGCTGGCTTCCCCTCGAATCGGAAGTGAAGCCCGGGGAAACAAACCTAGAACTTTTAGAAAAGACTATGACATATGATACAATTCGATTTGAATTTAAACTAACTGGACCGCCTCACATGAACATCTTCATTCAGCCAGTGGGTGATGCTAATATTACGGATTGGTCTTTTGACCAAACATTTTTAGGTACGGTAAAGCCACCCTACATTATTTTCTTCTCATATGGAAAAGACGACTCTCCTTTGAACTTCTTCATTGAATTAGAGGTGAGTAGAGATTCACAAAATGTTTTGTTTTACATATTGAAATGTCTGTAAATTGCAGAGGCCCGTTGGTGAATATAACGTACCTTTTTTGGAACTTGGAGTTGTGGGACATTTTGTTAGCCAAGATTATAAAAGGGATGAACACACTCAGCAATTCCTGGCCGACTTACCAGACTATGTTCATGCAATGGAATGGCCTGCGATATTTAAGGGATATATATTTTAAAAATTGTATAAATCCTAACAAAAAGGTGTTATAAAATAATAAATAAAATTTATGCGTATTTATTTGCATATAAAAAATTTATATATATATTAGCCTATTTATTCTTAATTTGACTTTTGTGTAAATTTAGCTAAAAATCAGGGAAATAACCTCTATTGATTTTAAGGGGTTTTACAATTCCTGCCTGATTAAGTATATTATGTGGTGTTATCTTTGTTCGTAAAATCGATGCAAAATGAATGGTGCTTTTCTGATATCTTTATAATGCAACAATAAACTGACACCATCAAGCTACAATATTAGAGCTTGTGATGGCAAAATAATATCGATCGATATCGAAAGGTTGAGAATTGGGTTGGTAATAGTATGTTTGGCACTAATAAGTCTGATATCTACAACTTTTTTGACATTAAGGAGCGCTATCCAGATGCCGCGGTATAAAAGTAAATCACTTTATGAAGATTGCCAAAGAGTTGGACCCCAGAAAGAATATAAAATGTATACAAGCATCATAAATTTCTTGGGACATTTCACTTCGGAGAGCAGATAAAGGGGCTTAAAATGAAAAGTCTTGGCCGAGGTTTGTTCAGTCGTTCGCCTTTTTTCGTTGTGATTTGATGCCTGTTACTTGAGGAAATTATGGAGCAGCATAATGAAGGTTTTAAAGAGGATACGCATTCGGAAAACTCTGAACTATCGAATGGATATAATAAGAAAAACACCCTACAACTTTTAAATGACGATAGGTTGAGCCCAGAAGAAGGAACCAGAAATGAAACCCTAATCGATTTTAGGGATAAGAACAATTTTTCAAGGCTACTGGACTGGTACTACGCTCCTGTGTACTTGCTCTTTTGGGTCGGACTTTTTTTCGCAGTGTGCTATCCGCTTTTCAATCACTTGCCCACTGGAGTAAAGATATCGGAGGAATCCGAGTTGCCAGGCACTTTTGTGGCCCAACGCGCTGAAAGCATTTTGCTCCAGATTGATCAAATGGGTCCCAAAATAGCTGGCGATTACGTGACCGAGGTGGTAATGGTGGAGTTTCTCCTAGGCGAGATTGCAAAGGTGCGGGAGGAGATGCGGGAGGATCTCTACGAGATGGAGGTGGAAGTACAGCGCTCCAGCGGTGCCTTTCTCCACTGGCAAATGATAAACATGTATCAAGGAATCCAAAATGTGGTCGTGAAGCTGAGTTCGAAGAGTTCCAACAGCACTTCTTACCTTTTGGTAAACTCTCACTACGATTCAAAACCCAGCAGTGTAGGTAAGCAGTGCTACTTCATTTAAATATTATATATTATTTATTGATATGATTATTACATTTATTATTTTATTACAAATATCATATTTTTTGAAAGGCACTGGCGATGCAGAGGTCATGATTGTCACCATGCTGGAGACCCTTCGTCTAATGGCCACTTCTGATGAGCCCTTCCTCCATCCAATTGTGTTTCTATTCAATGGCGCCGAGGAACAGCCCTTTCACGGTTCTCACTCGTTTATAGCGAACCATCGCTGGTCCGCCAACTGCAAGTAAGTGGTTTACTACACCCACCATTACGCCATGGCGATATTTATTATGGGGTTTTTTAAATCAGGGCGTTAGTCAACCTGGATTCGGCCGGCGCTGGCGGTCGGGAAATTCTCTTCCAGGGGGGTCCCAACCATCCCTGGCTAATGAAGGCAAGTCAAAATCGCGCATTCCACTTGAAGTTTATCTAAATGAGCGGGCAGTTAAAGTGTTTTACCAGCCCGCTTATCTTATCTGCACATTTATGATCCGATATCCAATAAAAATCGTTTTTTTGCACATTAGCAATACAAAAAGAGCGCCAAGCATCCGTTTGCCACCACAATGGCCGAGGAGATATTCCAGGCGGATCTGATACCCTCGGATACAGACTTTCGGATATTCCGTGACTTTGGACCGGTGCCAGGTGGGTTTTTACTTATTATTTATTATAGTATTATAAATCTAAACATATTGACTTAGGTCTGGATATGGCTGGTTGCTATAATGGCTTTGTCTATCACACCAAGTTCGATCGATTCAAAGTGATATCCAGAGGTTCCCTTCAGAACACTGGCGATAATGTTTATTCTCTGGTTCGCAGTATTTCCAATGCTGAGGAAATGTACGATACTGAGGTGGGAAACTAAAGTTAAGATGACCAAAACTTAATTTTACTGCTAATTCCTCTACTTAAATTAGTCCCACTCGGAAGGTCATTCGGTTTTCTTCGACTACTTGGGTCTGTTCTTCGTTTACTACACGGAATCCACTGGAACAGCTCTTAATATTTCCTTTTCACTGGGAGCCATCCTCGTCATTTGTGTTTCCTTGTGGCAAATGGCCAGGTTTACGGATCAAAAAGTGGGCACCTATGCCCGGGCATTCGGAATGCAGTTCCTGCTGGCAATTTTGGGATTTCTGCTGGCCCTCGGCTTTCCACTGCTGATGTCTGTGTTTTATGATGCCGGAAATCGCACAATGACCTACTTCAGCAACAGTTGGTTGGTCATAGGTCTCTTCGTCTGCCCCTCAATCATTGGTCTGGTCCTGCCCTCCACTTTTTACTTGACTCTGCGACCAAGTGTAAGTCTCATAAATCATTAATATTCCAAATTAATTATGTATATTTTTTATGCTTTAGGAGAAAATACCTCACACTTACCACCTCCAAATTGTGGGGCATTCCTACTGCCTTCTCCTGTCGGTGATCTGTATTCTACTAACAGCAATCGGCATTCGCACGGCGTATCTCTTCATGATTTGCGTTTTCTTCTACTTGGGAGCTTTGATTATCAACCTGGCAAGTAGACTCCATGATAAGGGTAAGGTTAACATAAGGTAAACTATTTTTATCACAAGATACTAACATCTATCTCAGGTTATCTGTGGACTTTGGTGCTCGGCGCTTGCCAGATATTTCCCTATCTTTATTTGACCTACCTGTTTCACGCTCTTCTGGTCATCACAATTCCGATGACGAGTCGCAAGGGCATGGATGCCAACCCTGATTTGTTGATTTCTTTAGAATGCGCCTTGGGCTCAATTCTGGCAATGGTTTTCCTGGTAGGCACTAGCTGTTTGCTATTTAAAAATCAGTTAAAAAATTTGTATTTTTAGGCACCACTCCTTAATCTGTTCAGGCGACCAAAGAGCATAGTTGCCGGCTTGGCAGTAGTAATGTTTATCTTTTGCATGATTTCCGTATCTGAAGTGGGCTTTCCCTATCGCGCCAAAACAAATGTGATGCGTCTCCACTTTCTGGTGAGTATATCTAGACATAAAAATAAATAAAGTAAATGTTTTCTGCTTTTTAGGAGGTGCATCGCAAGTTCTACGAGTACGATGGCTCCATCAGTTTGGAAGACAGTGGCTACTATTTCGATTTGCAGGACAGGCGTTTCGAGACTCCTTTGCTCGACAAGATCAATCTGACCGGATTCACCCGCGTCGATGATCTGTGCAAAACCGAGATGATGTGCGGTTTGCCATGTTTCAATCACCGGTGGTGTTCCGCCGTGGAAGATGCTCGTTGGCTTCCACGCGAGGAGCCAGTCGATTTGCCTGGTTCGCCAGTTTTGCAGCTCTTGAACAAGACCGTTTTTGGAACTGATTCGGATCCCAGGGTTCGGTATGAGTTTATGGTGTCTTCGGGCCCGCCGAGAATGAGTTTCTTCATACAACCCCGGGAGGGAGTGAAGATGCTGCACTGGTCCTTCCTTCAAGGAATGCTGGACAATCCATCCACTTACAAGCCTCCGTATCATATATTCTTTGGCTACGGCAGCGACGATTCCCCTGTGGAGTTCTACTTGGAAATGACGGTGGGTAGCATAAACTCTCTTTTAAATGATCTTTTCTTAAATACCAAGTGTCTCTTATAACCTTTAGAAGGATGATGGAAACTTCGAAGTGCCTGTCTTGGAGTTGGGAGTTTCTGGCCACTATATGAGCCACCTTAGTAAGCGGGATGAAGCTACACAGAAGTTCATTGAAGATCTTCCTGACTTTGCCCACCCAATGGAGTGGCCAAGTTCCTACGAACGTTATATATTCTGAGAATATTTAATTAAAAATAAAATTGAGTTCCTTACTAATGCCTATAGCTCAGTTTTACCTGACGTTTGTTATTTAAACGCAAAATGCGTTCTAGTTTTTTCTGATTTTCTGATAAACACGATGACGAAAACAGTTCTCAAGGGATCAATGATCAAAATAACTGACGATAAAAACCCATAAACATCCGTCTGGATGCGATGCAATAAACACATAAATCCCTAATTACTTGGAAGTTTTATTAAGAAGTTAAGTGTGATATTGACGTTTGCTGCCCTTTGTGGACCCTCAGCAAAACGATACTAAATTTTCCAGGGATCCCAGAGATAATAATCTGTTTCCAAGCGAGACATAATTATATTGCCTTCGCTGGGAATTATGGCCTTGACTTTGGGCACATCACAAACACTGCCGATCAGATGCGGAACTATAAAGGCATAAATCCGCCATGGCCAGAAATTTAGATTACGATATGGGGCAAAGTCAGGTGAAATGATTTCGGTTCGGGTAATCACGTCCTCAGTCCCTCGAGGGCCATGAAAAGATCGGTATGTTTTGGAATTTATCGAAGGCATACGCAAAAGTTTTGGTAGGTATGTAAAAATGCTGATAGGAAAGCGTGAATAACACGCGCCATTAGGCCATAAATATCGAATATCTTTATACTATGCTGAAGATATCAACCATATCGCGCATCATAAACCCCAGTCACAATTTTAAATTGCGGATGGAGATGTCGCACAGTTTAGTCGTGCGTTGAGACTCGAGGAAGGTGGTCTTGTTGGAACGGTTCTCGAATCTCTAGAAGGACTAAAATGGGTGCTACAAAAGACGGCGAGGTATAAGATCTACAATCAAAAATAAATTTAGTGGATTTGATTTGGGTTCTTTCTTTCCGCAGATTCTTTTGGGGTCTGAGAACCTGATCATCGAGGTCGACGAGGAAAAGCGGCGGACGAAGCAGTTTTCCTGGTTCTACGCACCCACATATCTGCTTTTCTGGGTGGGACTTTTCTTCGCCGTCATCTACCCACTTTTCCAGGCTCTGCCCACAGGAATCAAGATCTCCGACGAGGCGGCGAACCCGGGAAAATTCGTGGCGGAAAGGGCCCAGCAAATACTGCTGAAAATCAGTCAAATGGGACCGCGAGTGGTGGGCGATGTTAGCAACGAAGTTACCGTAGTGAATTTTCTGCTCGAAGAAATCGAAAAAGTGCGTCAGGTGTTACGTGAAGATGTCTACGATATGGAAGTGGAGATACAACGGGCCTCGGGCTCATATGTGGTAAAGGGCCTCACGAATCACTATCAAGGTGTGCAAAACGTGATCGTTCGACTGAGTATGAAGAGCTCCAACAGCACTAACTACCTTCTGGTGAACAGTCACTACGACACAAAGCCGGGTTCACCTGGTGGGTATTCCACTTTAAAGGATTTTTCAGTGACCCTTCAATGGTTTTGAAACTCTAGGTGCTGGTGATGATGCTGCCATGGTTGTTGTAATGCTGGAGGTTCTTCGTTTAGTGGCCAGCTCGGGAGATCCCATCCTGCATCCCATTATATTCCTGTTCAATGGCGCCGAGGAACAACCGATGCAGGGATCACATGGGTTTATTACCCAGCACAGATGGGCAGCAAACTGCAAGTGAGTGGAATCCTTTGATAAACCTTGCTACTCCTATAATATAATATATATAATTAGGGCACTTCTTAACCTGGATTCTGCTGGAGCAGGTGGACGTGATCTGCTATTCCAGGGAGGTCCAAATCATCCATGGCTGATGGAAGTAAGTTCCCCTGTTTCTCCTGATAATAAAAACCCCCCTGAAAGTCTGCAACGCATCCGGTATTTCACCATTTTTTGGCCAGCATTGCCTCGATCGCATTTCCGATTTGGACAATATCAGCAGTCTGGCTGCTGATCAATTAATCTAATCTCTCGCCTTATCTTAGCATTACAGAAACAATGTCCCACACCCATTCGCCACGACCACCGCCGAGGAGATTTTCCAGGCTGGAATCATACCTTCGGATACCGACTTTAGGATCTTCCGCGACTTTGGAGTGGTGCCGGGTAAGAGCAATGAATATATTCCCCCTGAATTGAATCTTATGGGAGATTTCCCTAAGGTTTGGATATGGCTGGCGTCTACAATGGCTTTGTGTACCACACGAAATTCGATCGCTACACGGTGATAAGCCGCGACTCGCTGCAGAACTCAGGCGATAATTTACTGGCGCTTGTGTGGAGTATTTCGAATGCTGAGGAAATGTATGACACTGAGGTGCGATTCTAGTTTTAAGCTTTATTTGCCTATTTATTTAAATATCTTATAATATTATTGTGATAGGCCTTCGCTTCGGGACATGCTGTGTTCTTCGACTTCATTGGCCTGTTCTTTGTCCACTACCAGGAGTCCACCAGTGTGATCCTGAATCTCTGCTTCTCCTTTGGGGCCATTGCAATCGTGTGTGTCTCGCTCTGGCGAATGTCGAGGGTTACGGGTGAGCGCCTGGGCACCTATGCCGGGGCCTTTGGCCTCCTGTTCCTGCTGGCCCTGGCTGGGGTCCTTCTTGCCATCGCCTTCCCCCTGCTCATGGCCACGTTCTACGATCTGGGCAACCGCACTTTGACCTACTACAGCAACAGTTGGCTGGTCATCGGGTTGTACATCTGCCCCTCGGTGATTGGACTGGTTCTACCCATGACCCTCTATCTGACGCACAAAAGAAATGTAAGTATTGGTTACTTCTTAACCACATTTACTATATCCAATGATATTCTACTGTGCAGGAGAAGATTCCCCACACCTACTACCTGCACATAGTGGGTCACGCCAACTGTGTGATTTTGGCCATCTTGTGTTTGGCAACAACAGCTCTTAAATATCGTAGCGCTTACCTCTTCCTGATCTCCCTCATTTTCTACGTAGCCGCGCTGATAATAAATCTTTTGACTCGTCTGCATTGTCGTGGTAAGTTTTTATAATACCAGGAATCGAACGAACCTTTGCTGATTAAATCGATTGCCCAATCGCAGGCTATCTTTGGTCGCTGGTGCTGATTGTTTTCCAGATAATACCCTTCATATACCACGCCTACTTGTTCCACATGTTTATACTGATTCTCATTCCGATGGTGGGTCGATTTGGGGTCTCCATCAACCCGGATCTACTGATTGGCGCTCTGTGTGCTTTTGGAACTATTTTGGCGTTGTCCTTTGCGGTCAGTACTTTTACTTATTTTATGATATATAAACATAAGTAATTACAGTATATATATTTTTGTTTTTAGGCTCCTCTGGTCAACATTTTCCGAAGACCACACTGCATGTTGGGCGGCTTGGCACTGGTCATGTTTATTTTCTGCATGATTTCCGTTTCGGAAGTGGGATTCCCCTATCGCGCTAAAACGAATGTAATGCGAGCTGACTTTATGGTGAGTGCTTTGTTGTTTTCAAGATCTAATTAGGAGAGGTGACTAATACTTGCTGAACTGAACAGCAAGTGCATCGAAAGTTCTTCGAGTATGATGGTTCAATGAGTCTCGAGGACTCCGGCTACTACTTCCACCTGGGTGATCGCAACAAGGAGGCTCCCCTGTTGGACCACATGAACCTGACCAACTTGGTTGCTTTTGATGAAGATTGTGATTCCGAGTTGATGTGCGGACTGCCCTGCTACCGATACTGTAGTTCTCGAACCCACGCACTTTGGCTTGCCCGCGAGGAAATGGTGGAGCTGCCGTATCCCACGGTCCTGGAGTTCCTCAACAAGACGGTTCTCTCCGGTGGCTACCAGGTGCGCTACGAGTTCCGGCTGAGCGGTCCGCCGAACATGGGGCTCTTCTTCCAGCCGCTGGCCGGTGTTCGCCTGCTCCGCTGGACATTCGCCCCGGGAATGCTGGACAATCCCGCCACGTACAGACCTCCACTGGAGGTAATGCTCACCTACGGCATCGACGACACGCCCTTCGAGTTCTTTGTGGAGTTTTCGGTTGGTTCTTTAAAGTAACCTTTTGATTTGGAAAGCTAACTATCTAGATTTCAGAAGGACAATGGCAACTTTGATGAGCCCGTCTTCGAGATGGGCGTATCGGGTCACTATGTGAGTCCGCACGACAAGCGGGATGCGCTGAGCGAGGAGTTCCTGGCCACACTTCCGGACTTTGCCTTCTCCATGGAGTGGCCCAGTAGCTACGAACGTTACGTATTCTAGGGAACCCAGACCAGAGCAAGTAAAACACCAAGTCAATGACACACCCAAACCGAAAACGGTAGTTTTATATTTCCGAAAGAGTGTGGGCAAATGGATGGGGATTAAATATTGGATGCTGCATTTCACAATGGACCGCTAGGCAAACAATTGGGGAGTAGTTTGGTGGGGAAAGAGCATTGCAGAGCAGAGCAGATGGTGGAGGAACCATTTGTGCAAACAGCGAGTGCAGCGGGAAGCTGTTGGGCTGCGTATAAATAGTGAGCCCGGAATGGGCAAAAGACACACTCAGAGTTCAGCAGCTCTTCCGTCAGCAACCAGCGATCCAAGCAAGCAAAACACCCACCGAAGCCAGTCACCATGAAGTTCTTCGCTGTCCTCGTCCTCCTCTCCGCCATGGTGGCCGTTGCAATGGGAGCCACTGCTACTACTACTACTGGTACTGGATCACCAACCAGCACTACGACCACTCCGTCGTCGCCTTCGACCACCACGTACACCTACACCACCACACCCACGTACACCACACCCTCGTACACCAGCACCACCACAACCACCGCGAAACCCTTCAAGCAGCAGCTCCTGTCCCTGCTGTTCAACAAGAAGAGCGGATAAAGCCGCCGATCCGATCCACGCCGCCGCCTTCTGAATCGATCCGTATCACCTGAATAGCTCTAACAAATACAAAACCAAAAACCAAAACAAACACAAACCGCCTCTTGAATACCTGGGCTCAAATCGAACCCAACCATCTCACGTAGCTGGAGTTCTATTTCTACTTCTATTTCTATTTCTATTTCTATTTCTATTCCCATTTCGATTTCAGTGGGGTAACTGACATTTGCTCAACTGGCTTGGCGGCTGGGCGTTCATTACCGCCTTCTGCAGCCTTTTTGTTTCTTTCTTTCTTTTTTTTTTTTTTTTGATTTTTTAGACGGACCTGTTCCCAAAAACATCTGGCCAAAGGTCAAGCGGCACTTGTTCAGTCGGTGGGCAAGTCAGTTGGCCAGACATGATCATGGTCAGGTGGCAGTCATAATCGCCTCGGCGATGATCATCGGCAGGCCGAGTTAAATGTCTAATGACTCCGCTGACAAATTGATGTTGGAATGCAGCGTGCAATCGAGGAAGAGCTATGAATGCCACAAGCTGGCCATGTACAACACGACGCGAGATGATCGCGCCACCAACGCCCCGCATAAAGGACAGTGGGCATTGCCTAATGGGGATGCCTGAGCAACAAAGTCTTCTCAAATGGCATCCAATAAATATTTATATGAAAAAGAAATGTTTAAATTTGAAGGAAGACTCTAAAGAAAGTTCTACTATTTCGGAATATAGTTTTTTTCAAATTGAGTTAGTAGCTTAGAGTAAGATGAAAATAATATACCCTGGTACTTTAAAACCTCTTAGAATGTTCGGTAAAGTCGAAGTATAAGCTATCAGATTTACGTTGGTTTTTTAAGAAACTAATCAAAATTGCTCCTTATCCTTTTTAAGAGGTAGTCTTTAATCGATGCCCACTGTTGCATCGACAGGTTGTCATGTATACAACTCATTCGACAAATTGCAGCAACGGCAGCGAGCACAAATCGATTGGGTCGTGCACTTGTGGGTGGATTCGGCTCGGTTCATGAACGCTCCATGGGAAGATGGCATCAGCCACCGGCAGGCAGGCTTCCGATCGGCGGGTCTTCAAAATGCTAGACTCACTCACTCGTAAATCTCCGGCTGCACGAGTGTCTGTCTATCTGTGAGTTCTGCTGGCGGTTGGCAACCGTAAAGTTCATGCGAATTGGTATAAATATGCAAAGAGCCGCCTCTGTTGGCCGCAGTAACCAATCGAGGCGGACTCGGAGCAGACCACCAGCGAGGATCAAAGGATATAGGACACATCAACATGCAGTACACCGTAAGGAGGAGGAGGTGGCCTCCTTGGGATACTCCCTACCTAATATTCCACCCTAAACTTGCAGCTGCTCGTCATGGCAGCCAGTCTGCTGCTCAGCTTGGCCCAGGCGAGGCCGCAGGTGAGACCCCAAGCCCAAGGGGAGCCCATTCCCATCATCCGGCAGGAGCAGGAGGTGAACTTCGACGGCTCCTACAAGTACCTCTACGAGACGGGCAACGGGATCAACGCCGAGGAGGAGGGCTATCTCAAGAACCCGGGCACCGACAACGCCGGTCAGGTGAGTCGATATATATATAGTGCTTGGCATTTGCCAAATGCAAACTGCAAACTGCCAATTTGCCAAATTAACTGAAACCTGCTCTTTGTGCCGACCGAAAAGGTCGCACAGGGCTCCTTCTCGTACACCTCGCCCGAGGGCATCCCGATCCGGATAACCTATCTGGCGGACGAGAACGGCTTCCAGCCGCAGGGCGACCACCTGCCCACCCCGCCGCCCATTCCGCCCGCGATCCAGAAGGCGCTGGCCTATTTGGCCACCGCACCGCCGCCCCCGCAAGAGCAGCCCGGTGGGTTCAACAACCGACGGGGCTAGAGACCCACCGCTACTCGCAATCCACAACCCGCCACCCGAATTACCCGGTTCTTCTCATTTACAAAACGTGTTCGAATTAGCAATAAAACTGGCCATACAACAACAGAGTGCGAAGAGGTTTTTCAATGATTAGCAAATGACTTAGCTGTGGAATCTAATGCTATTAATAACTATTTAAAACGTTATATTATATATGGTAATATTTGCAATTGAAGCAAGACGCCTTTGCAATGGTAGCTAGTTGTACTCATAAAGGGATTCTGAGTCAGAAGTAGGTGTTAGAATGCTAAAGTGAACTTTTGAATGGAGTTGGCAAAGGTACAAGTATGTTAATAGCTCTTATACAGCTTCTAATAAATTGTTATACTCTTCCGCAAAGACTTTTATTTGGCTGTAAAGCTTCACCTAGATAAGACTTTAACTCTGAACAGTATGAATCAAAATGGGTTGTGGATATTTTGATTTTATCGAGCAGGTACGTTGGGTCGGAAAAACCTGATTTATAAATGACCGTCAATTAGGGGGATAGTAAAACCTGCCTGATTTTACTAGATAAGCCTTCCAAAGTACTACGTTCAATCGATCGCTTAGCAATAAGTGAGTCAAAGCAAATAAAGTGTTTTTAAAATTGCGTGATTTTTTGGAAAGCCTAGTACACAAAGTACTTTTGTAGTACTTCATTTAAACCCCAAAATTATATAGGTTTCTAAAATATTTTAAACGCCCTTATGGGTAATAATCAAGAACATCATTATTATAAGTTTTTCTGCGATCTAAAGATGTTCTATACAGTCCAAATGAAATTGCCTAGTTTTAGGCTGATTTAAATAAAAGATGTAAATGTGCTGAAACATCTTCTGGAAGCTGACTATTCGATGTCCGAATATGTTGGATGCACCAACAAGAAATGCCACCGGCCCGAAGTCCCTGGTGGTGTGGCAATTCATCTCTATTTAATCGCATCGCCCGCTGAGCCATTGGATCGAATGCAGTTGGCTTCCAACAAATGATGAACTAATCGCATCGTAAACCACGGCGCTTAATTGATCAAGTCACCGGTCGGAGCAGTGGCAATTAGGCACAGCCATCCAATCGGAGCGGAGTCTGTCTGGTAAGAGGTGTTCCATGTGGGTGTATGGGGGTGGATCGGAAAGATATATAAAGCCGGGGTCCGTCGGCTAGATCTTTCCATTGCTCATCTTCGACGATGTGGCTGCGCGTAACGGTGAGTGCGAGGTATCCATTTACCATAAACCAAATGAATTTCAATGGATATTGCCGATTGCAGATTGCTCTTTTGCTCGCCTGCGTGGCGGTGGTTTTGGCCCAGGGCGATGGACGCTATCGTCCTCCGCCGACGCGGGCGAGTTCCGGCGATGGAAGGTACCAGCCTGGCAACGATGGTCGCTATACGGGCGGAAACGATGGACGCTATCGCGGCGGAAACGATGGCAGATACACTGGCGGCAACGACGGACGGTATGTCCACACGGACAACAAATACAAGCACGACGATCGTCCTGGTGGAGCTTACACTGGCGATAGCAACCGCTATATTGGCGATAAAAACAAAGGAGGAGGAGGTGGCGGTGGCGGTGGTTCCGGGGCAGGAGGCGGTGGTGCCCCCAACGCAGTGACGAGAGTGACAGCCCGACCCCAGCCACGACCCACCACTGCGGCACCACCAGCGATCCAAGATCCCACGGCCAATTTGCCCAAGGGACGTGGCACTGGCGAGGGTGGCAATGGATGGGCCATCATCCGCCAGGAGGACGACGTGGAAGTGGATGGCTATCACTATCTGTGGGTACACACCTCTTTAAATAACATTCATTACATAGTATTTATTTCAGTTGGGAAACGGAGAATGGAATCCTGGGCGAGGAGAGTGGTCGCATCGAGAAACTGACCGAGGAGGATGGCCTTCGCTCCAAGGGTTTCTACGAGTACACAGGACCCGATGGAATCCTCTACCGGGTGGACTACGTGGCGGATGACAATGGCTTTGTGCCCAGTGCCGCCCACCTGCCAACTGCTCCCCCGGCTCCTCCCTATGTGGCCAAGTTGTTGGAGTTCCTCGAAGCAAATGCCAAGCCAAGGAAATAAATGTCAAATGTTGAATGTGAATAAACTGTTGTGCCATTAGAATGTGGAATTGTGTTTTAGGGAGACTTGTAATTTGTTGTTGGAATTTTTACTTATTTGTATTTTTCAATGACTAATTGAAATACTTGAAATAATGATTCACTATATGAAGTTTTTAGGAAAAACCAAATAGTTTTATTTTCTAGCGTTTCAGTAGTCACCCTTTGAAGTAGAAAAATATTGCAAAAATTCCTATTTATAGATCATTATTTATCAAATAATTGAAGTAAATGAAAAGTAGCCATTCAGATTTTTTTAATTTATTTAAAACTTTCAACTTAAAGTAGGCAAAATGCGCTGTTGAATGTATTCGAGGACCTCGTTGATGGTGTCGTGAACCTTGGCGGGCTATTAAATATAGTAGAGTAGAGTAAAAGTTTTCTTTTACATTAACCAATCACTTACATTCTGCTCTGTATTAATGTTTGTTTGCTGGTTGTGCTCCACCTCTGGTTCCTGGTACTCGGGATTGTCTGGCTGGCAGTTCATCTGGCAGGAATCGTCGGGCTGCTGGTACTCGTAGGCCTGCTCCGAGTCCCACAACTTGTTCTCATTCACGTAGCTGTACTGCTTTGAATCGGGACTCGATTCGTCGCCATCTCGAACCCACTGGAACTGGATGATCTGCCATCCGGTGCCGTTGAAGTTGAAGTCGATCATGAACCGCAGATGATCCCTTGGACCAAGCGAAAGGCTTTCTCCTGCCTCGTGCACCTTGGCCTCCAGTTGCTCCTGGGCACTGCGGAAGATGCCCCGCAGATCGGAGAAGTACGGCTCACCGCGATCGCCGTAGCCACCGTCATAAGGTCGGGGATCGTGTCGGTACTTTCCACTGTCGTCCGGAACATACCAACCCGTGGCTCCGTGCAACTGGGGAACATAGCGACCCGGCTTTAAGCGGACCTTTTCCCGATCCTGCTCCTGGTCCTGATCCTCAGCCCGGGAAACCGCGATCAGCAGAAGAGTCAGCAGCAAACGTGTGTCCATGTCGACTTCTTGATTACGTCTGATCCGACCCCAATGCACCCGCTGACCATTTTAGTTTTGGACCCCACCGATGATTTGCCGTTCAGCCAATAACTCACAGGGTTTATATTCTAGACGACATCGTTTAATTGGCTTAAATATGGGCGGGACACGGGCTGATTCGGTGACCGGTGACCGACCGATGAATCGATAACAGCCCATCCGTTTAGAAATTCTTTGCATACTAACAAGCCATTCAGAATCAACTTAGTTGGCAACTCGTTTGCATTGGCGACAGCGGGTCGCTTTTAACCTTTCCGAGATGCAAGTTGGATTAAAATTGGGGGCCAGCGACAACTGCAGGAGACGAGTGACATCTTCGAGAAGACCATCCCCGATAATAAGTTGTTATTTTCAATTATACTCCGTTGGTGAAACCAGTTAGTTATCTAGCCATTAACAACTCAATTGAATTGGTCGTTAAAGCGAACTAAAAAATTAACACGTTAGTAAACTGTTAACTTTGAAGTTGTATAGTTTGTATCGGCAAGGATAATCATATCAGTTTCAGCCAAAATTCCCAACTTATCAATTTCCTTATCAATTTATTTAACTGATTTAACTGTTCGCAAATTGTAATCCCATGCTTTGAAACCTGCCTTTAAACATTTATCACCAGTCGTTCACCTTTTTGCTCAACGGATCATGAATCAGCTTCCAGAACCCAGAAGAGATTATCCCCGAAAAGACATTCAACTGCTCCATTCACCGAAGATCGATTGGCCAGACGAGTTTCAATTTGTTTACATATCAGCAAATCCAATAGGATCAAAGGTAATTAGTGTCGTTTAAATCACATTTAAAACGCATCATAAACAATGAAACGCCCGTTTTGTTTTAATGAGCATTAATAACAATAATAGCTGTCAATCAATCAGGCTGGCAGATCGGTCCACTCATCCGATTCGATATCCATTAATCATTTTGTCAGCGCCGATGATTTTGGGCAAGCACAACATCTCCGAAGATGCCAAACTCTAGAATATCCAAAGATGTGAGAAATCGAAAGCAATCACGCCCCCGAAACAAGGTTCTTTTGGACTTGAAATTGAACTCTTGCCTCGAACCCTGTGCATATTTGGATTATTCGATCATGGTAAGGAAGTGACTAAGGTGACTAATCGAGTTTGGATAGTACATGATTCATGGGGTTAAGAAACCCCGGCTGGCCATTAAATCGATTCCCAGACAATCGATGGATCATCGGTGGGGAATTAAAATTCTATTATAATTGCAACTTGTTGATAAGCCAACAGGTTAACACTTGGAGAGTCTGGTTTGTGAAATCTCGAATTCGAATTGTTTCGAGTTGTTAAATTATTCATCTGCAATAAATAAAGAGAGACTGCCCCTGGCAATGTGGTGCGTAATTTGGTGTTTTGCTGGCAATTCATTAATCTTGTTGTGTGGATATTCCCCCACCCAACCACTCTCAGCAAATCGTCCTTCGCGGTGCAATTTATGCGAGTGCGCTAATTATCACCACTTACAACTGACAATTGGCAACTATATACGGCCATATAAATTGATTTCAGACGCAGACTTTGTTGCCAGCAGACGGCGCCTGCAGTAAAATATTTAACGATAATTCCGCGGTCCAGCCAACTCGATATATCTTGGCTTTTTGGTCCTAGGGAATTCTGTGGAAGTTCGCTGCCTTTCGCATAATATTGAAATTCCAGTGCGCTGATCTCATCACGCGGCTCTGGTGAAATAAAAAAACACATTTCTCTTTTTCGCACTTGTCAACTTGGATATTTATCTGTACCCGATTTTTCCTTTTATTCAAATTTATTTTATGTTCTCCTTACAAGAGCCGAAATGAAATTGCTTTGAAATTTATTTTACTTAGCACCTCCAAGAGATGAGGCGGGATACAAGATTGATCAATAATTTCGGAGCTTTGAACTCGATTACACTCTGGTTATTTAGGGTTCCCAATCTCGAGTCCAGGTGTCGGGTAACCAGGTTTAGGATCCCGCATCTAATTACCAGTCATTGTGAGTGGTAATTTGTTTCATTGTTTGGCCCAGTCTGCTCCAGTTGCCAAGTTGCGTTGGCCTTACAACAAAACTTCGTTTTGTAAATTAATTCGCTGGGCGAAACAAATGCCAGAAATTAATGGCATCAATCGCTTGTATTTAATGGGGCCGATTAAAATGTGAATGCGCCGAGTGCTACCAGAAGCGATCCATCTATTTTGGCATTCGGTGGCTAAACTGGCTTCAGCAGTTACCAATATTTATAGACGTGCAGTTCAGATTTATTCGCTCACATCCGCTGACACTGCGAATCCGCTGCAAAGTGTACTAATTAAACCGAAAAGAGAGCAAATGATAATTAAACAAATCTCCGACGGCTAAACCGGGTGAACAATTTAAACCTCAGAATTCCCAAAAAAAAAAAAAAAAAAAGAACGAAATTGGGTGGAGAAAAATGATACGCGAATCATTGACAGCGAAATGTGTGCGATGGCCCACGCAAAAATGAGTCTAATTTATACCCACTGTCAGAATGCACAGCCTATAAAGATTTCATTTGTTTGCGCTAAATGCTGAGGACTGCCAGAGGAATCGGGGGGTTAAGGTACCCGTAAATCATATGCGGAGTCGGGCGGAGAGGTCTCCGGATTCCGAACAGGAATGCCAAGGAAATAACGTAATTTTGCATTGTAATCGGTATTTAAAAATAGCTATATATTCAGGTTATCTATATAATTTTAATGGACTAAAATATATTTTAATCTTTAGCAGGTTATACTGTTTATTAAAATAATTAAAGGTTAAAAGAGAGGTATATGTTTTTTGTGTGATTCTGAAACAAGTAATTTGATCTATTTTCTTAAGGTTCGTTATAAAGAGTCTGAGCTAAAGTATGCTCCACAGGTTATACTGTTTATAAAAATAATTAAAGGTTAAAAGAGAGGTACATATATGTTTTTTGTGGTTCTGAAACAAGTAGTTTGATTTATTTTCTTAAGGTTCATAAAGTATGCTCCACTAGCATAATGCTCCAGTTCACAGTCCTATACGATATGGAAACGCCCTCCAAACGCATGAAAAACATTGCTGGCTCGAGATAATCTCGAATTTCGCTGTCATATCAGCTGTGGCCTGCACCACAAGGGTTCGACTCGGTGACACATGTGTTGATTCCCGCGGCTTAATCACTCGAGTTTCTTCAAAATACAAAAATCTTTTGTGAACGCGACTCGCGTTAATCGCTCTCCACGAACATCGGAAGCCGGCTGGGTAGTTTGCGTCCGGATATCATGGCTAGCGGAACTGAGCTCCTCCTACTGGGTCTCAGCTCGCTTTGTGCGCTCTTGCTCTTGGCGGGACTCGCTTCGGGGGAAGGAGTCCAGTGCTACGAGTGCAACCACGCGGAATCTTCGTGCAACTCCATGGAAGAGGCGACGGCCAGTGTGCGGGAGTGTCCTCTGTCAACTATGTGCTCTTTGACCGTCATGAAGCACGAGTATCGCGGCGAGGTGTGGACCACCAAGAGGAGAGGTTGTGCCGTTCAGGCTGAGGAGTACCAGGAGTACTTCCAAAAGGATTGGGTGAAGAAGCACCGAATAAAGGAGTTTCCCGAGGGCTGCATCGATGTGGATAGAACCACCCACTGCCTCTGCAGCGGATCGTTGTGCAACTCATCAAAATCTTATAGTTCTCCGGGTTTCCGGCTGACAATTGTGCTGCTGATCTCCTCGGCCCTCGCCTATCGGAAAATCCTTCTTCCCGTCTAGTTGGCGACACTTTTTGGGGTGTGTGCAAGGCAATAAATAGTTTACCACTTCCCGGAATGATTTGTAGGCCGCGAAAAAATAGTTTTAAGCAGATTACCGATTTATGTGCGACACTTTTCAAAGGTGAAGCCTTGTCAATAAACTCACTGATACCGAATAAACCCAAACAAACTCGTTCTGACATTGGATATGGATCGTAAATACTTGACCGGCCGGCCAGATTAAAATCTAACCAATCCTACCTGGACCCTGATGTGATGATGTGACGCATTGAAGAAAGTGCGGGATTTGGTCAGCTTTTTGGCCCGAGGTCAATGCCAAATACACGATGCGTTGGATTTGCTAAATAAAATAACACCAGCAGCACTCCTGCGGTGTGAAGATCTCGTATCTGATTCGGTTGGCATGCAAATCAAGTGGCAAGCGTCTGAACATCACAAATCGGACTTGTAATTGATTAAAAAGTCATCTTATTTAAATATTTATTAAGTATTTGTGACTTTAATGAATGCCCCCATATAGATATCGGCAAGAGGCGAAACCGAGAGTCACCCGAATCGAATCGCCTCGCAGAGAAACAATAACAGCACGCGTCGTGATTCACGCACCACAAATCTCGAATCTCCAATCTCCGAGCTCCAAGTTCCCAGCTCACAGCTCCAAGTGCTCGTGGATCGGCCCTGCGATCCCGTCTTGGGTCCCCAGATCTGGGTTCAGCGTACGACCTTTGCAGTGCAGTGACTGTGACGCAGTATCGATACTCGGCACTCGGCACTCGATACTCGATACTCGGTATCCAGCAGGCAGCATTCAGCATTTAGCATTTAGGTGCTTCGATACTCGGCAGTCGCAAGATGCGGCGTTTTAATCACAGTTTATGTGGATGGCTATTATTAATCGGCATATGCCCGCCAATGTGCGCTGACAATCACTCTTCATGCGGCTCTACACTGGAAACAATTCGAGTTGATCTTAATGAAAATCAATATACCAAAACATAATAAACTTTTGATTTCAGATCTACGATGATTTCGCAACGATGAAAGAAAACATTAAAATATCTTTTTATTACAAAAATAATTCTACTAATTACTTATTACTAATTACTAATTGTTCTTTCTACCAATTAGTTTGTGGAAAAACAAGTTTCCATTTGCTAGATCGCTTTTAATCGCTTGTCAAATAATTATAAAACTCATTAAAGGGTAATTTATGTGAAATAAAGATATGGATTAAAAACATTAAATAAATATATAATTCAAAAAAAGTTACTCATCTTTTTTTACCGGGTAGCAACTATAATCTTGAAACGCTTAACCGTTAAGGACACATTCCGAGATGCCGAGACGATCCCCAAGCTGTCACTCGGTGTCAACGTTTGCCACAAACAATTAAATTCGTTTTTGTCAACATTTTTCTTGTGCCGGTTCCATCCGATTCCGGTTATACCTACATAACCCATCCTCATCCTCATCTCCATCCTCATCTCCATCTCGATCTTCAGCTTCGATATTAATGCATTTCGCAGTGCGGCTGGCGTGCGCATTGTCTGAATTGTTTCTTATTTTATTTATATTGTTTGTGCAGCGCTTATTTCCGCTGGTGCGTAATTTATGATTTCATTACGGCACTTTTATGGCGCTTCCGAGTGCCTCCAGGTAGTTGGGGTTGGGTATCGAGATGGGGATACAGATCTGCGATGCCGGCTATGCGATGTTGTCATCGGTTGCCACAACTAGTTAACTTCGGGCTCCAGCTGTGAAACCCGCCGCGATTAAGGAAGTTATGTATAGGTTTACTTTGCTTATCGCTTCCTTGCAGAAGCCTATCAGGAATGTTTAAAAATAGAGAGCATTAAGTATACGACATGCAGACTTTAAGATATGGATGTAAATTTACTCCGATGTTTTATGTTTGAAATATAAGAATTATAAGCTTTGTGTATTCTTGAATATTCTTTGTATTGGCAGAAATGGTTCAAATGCTTATAATATATAGTATAATATTGTTTCCTCATGCTTATAATATATAATATAATATTGTTTCCTCATGTTTGAATAATCTATACAAAAAGATTTCCCCACATCCATGACACAAAAAAACAAGGTACCAAATAAGTTTTATACGTATATGGTATTTTAAAAATTTTAATCTGCGTTAAGTGACGTCTGCATCGACCTGAACTTCACCTTCAATTATCAGCTGAATGAATTGTTTTTGAAACGATTCGCTCTAAATGTTCAGCAGAATTTCGATGACAATTCGGTGAGAAACCAGGGAATTTCTTTTCCCAGCTAGAGTAAACAACTCAACGCTGAGTCACCACAAGATCATATCCTTAGCTCCACACAGATCAATGTAGTGGGCGATGAACTCGATTTGCCAAATAATACAAATTGCTTAATTGGTAATACTTGTAATTAGGCTTACTTGTGACATTGATACGCTATATAAATTATTGATACGGAGTGCGATTAAAGTTGAAGAGGCGGGGAGAACCAAACGAAAAACAAAAAAGGTGAGACAAGAAGAATTCGGCTGATCATCTGTCTAAAAATCCAAAGGGAGCAGCTTGGGGTATCTCTCTTCAAGAAATCTTAGCTGGTGAACCGAAGTGAACCGACGAATCTTCTCTCGGAGAATTTTAGGCGCGTCGATGCGTCGAGAGCAGCGCTGCGACTGCGAACCCGGCATATTTCTATATAAATCCGGTGTACTGGAAGGGAAACCAAACATTCCTGTTGCAGTCGCCTTTCGAGCAGGATTACCCTGACAAACAGTCCCTCAGCAGTTCAAAGGATATACTCCCACAAGGATAACAAAAGCAACCATGTTCACTAAGTCCATGCTGCTCTTCTCTCTGGTCGTGGTGAGTATTAGTAAATCGCAAAAGGATATGCATCCTGATCAGTGCCGAAAGTGTTGTGCTCCCAAGTGTTAAACGTGTGTCGCGAAAAAAAAGAAAAAAATATAATCAAATTAATTTAATTACCTCGTGCTGTTTTTTGTCTCCGAGCAAGTTTTAGCACAATTAAAATTTCGCGGCTGCTGCACCTTTTCTCAAGCGTTGAATCATTAGTGGCATCCGCAGATAAATTTAAAACTTAGAGCAACCGAGTGCGTTCAACTGATCTCCAATTGTGGAGGTCACTTCCTGTCGCGTTTAATGGTTTATTGCCATATGCATATTGGTTAACAAATCGCATTTTTCCTTACTTCCGCAGGCCCTCTTTGCTGTCTGCCACACCAGTCCAGTTCCAGATGATAATGGCAAGTATACTGCTCCACAGCAATCCTCTAGCGATGGCAAGTATCGCCCCAGCGACGATGGACGTTACCATGCGAGTTCCCAGAACGAAGGTATTTTCGTGAGCCAATAACAGAAATACAAATATCGTGCCTACTGCCACGCCCACTGACTGCATGCCGTTGCCGCCGCCCACTAACCCAGCAGCAATGTGAATCGATCGAAAGCAAGACCGACTTGCCCAGATACTAACACACATACAATACCTCACTTATATACTTGTATACCCGATGATATCGAAAGCACTCACACGCCTATACAAAATAATCTCTTGACTTACTAATAAGTTCAAGCTCAAGGCTAACGTTCGAAATTAGCGAATTTGTAAACAAATTTCGGAATGAGCTTCTAACACTAACCCAAGAACACGTATTATTTTTGCACTCTGATATTAAACCTTCAATCTTTTACAATATAGGCCGAGGTGGTTCGCAAGATAGCTTAGGTAAACTACTGAAAGAAAGGAAGAAAGTTACATTACTCGCACAATCACAAAACCCGAACTCATTCCACACAAAAAGCAGTTTAAATTCCAAAAAAATCAAATCAAATTATTTCGTTTTTCGTTTAGTTTAACGACTTAGTTCTAAATTAAAACAACTGCCTTCTTTGTACAAAAAACTAATGAGAAACTAATTAATATTGTAAATATCTAATGTGGATATGTATATTTTGAATAGTTTCAAAACTTAATCGCAAGTCACTCACCCAAACACTCAGGCAAATCGAAGGTATATTTAATGGGAGAATTAACCTGATATTTGTTTGCTTCCCCCAAAGGTCGCTATCACCACATGCCACAGCCCTACAGACATGTGGACGATCAGCGTGAGCTCGGAATCTACCATCACATTCCCAATCCCTATGACGGCGGCTATGGACCCTATGCCGGTTTGAATATTCCCTACGTCCATGACGACAGGCCCTACAAGTGAGTAACTTATTCGTAATCTAAGGAGCATCGGTTTTAACTTAATGGGTTTATCCGCTTTTAGCCACGACCTGTACACAGTAAGTAACGCCGAGTTTAACGTACCAGCAATCCCCTTGGAGTACGGCTTCCCCGATCATGAACCCCATCACCAACCGAGCACACAGTACTAAGATCCCTCAAGATCCCCAAGATCCCCCACGAATTCCCACGATCCGGCCAACACAGCGAATCTTCCCCCCAACAAAACAAATCCCGATCCCCTGCTTTCATAACAAATCCAAGATCAAAATGCGAACGTTTTTCGGCTCTGCAATTAAATCAACCATTCCGTGCCACATGACACCCCCACACATACGGTATCCTGCATGACCCCCAAAACCCCCTACCACCAAAAACCATGCCACACACTCGCATGCACCACACACACGCCAGAACAGAAACCAAGCAACTGAATACAACACCCACAACAACACTCGCAGAGTACGACCACAAAGAAACCGACCACCACCACCAAAAGGACGACGACCACCACCACCACGACCACCACCACGCCGAGGAGCATCCTGTTCAACTACGACGACGAGGGTCGCCACAAGATTCTGCACAAGGAAGAGGTCCGCAAGCAGGACAAATACGATCACTCGTAAGTTTTCGGTTGAAGTGTGGTTAGCCTCTTATAATTCTCAAGTTAAAATTCCGAAACAAAAAGTTTCTTTTATTGAAACCTGTGATACCTATATTTCTTTTGTTGATTCTCAGAGAGTCACATTATTCGAAAGAAACAAAATACTTATTGTGGTAGAAACCCCCCTTAAAAAAATATTTTTTTCCAAAATAGTTACCTGACCGAGAACGGAATCTACGGCGAGGAACAGGCCAAGCTCCACCACACCGGAGGCACCCACGCCAAGGGCTTCTACGAGTACACCGGCGACGACGGCAAGCTGTACAGGGTGAACTACCACTCCAACGATGGAGGCTTCATGCCCCAGGGCGACCACATCCACCCGATTCCCGACGCCATCGCCCGCGCCCTCAAGTACGTGGAGGAGCAGCATAAGGCCAACGGAGGCGCCCAGTTCGACCATCGTGGCTTCCGCATCAATCACATGACCAAGGAGATCAAGGCCCAGATCAAGGCGATACACCTGGAGAACATGCCCAAGGAGCTGGCCGACCAGATCCACATGCTGGAGCACGAGGTGGAGCTCGCCGAGGAGGAGGAGCGCGAGGAGAAGGCCGCGTTGGAGCGCCTGCGAAAGGCGTCCAAGAAGCACTAAGTGCGGGAGCCCAGCTCGCCTCATCCACAGCCATATGTTCCCCGCTACCCAAAAAAAAAGAACAGTCCTAGTCCATCCAGAACCCAAATTCCAACACCCAACTCCATTCCCCATGCATTTGCCGAGTGACCAACGGGCAAACCCTATAACAAGCCATCGTAATACCGAGAAAAAATCCACAAAAAAAGGAAAGGAAGGTGAAGAATGCCAGCAGCTAATTGCAACCGGAGAATATTCGTACATTTATAGTCCGCTCCTATGTTATTTCGTATTTATTTATCAGTCGAACTTGTCGAATTTGACGATGTTGCTATTGCTATGCATAAGATAATTAATTTGTTATTATGGTATATCGAAATAAAACCTACTAAATATTTGTTATAAATTACCAAGAATCTTGTGATTTGAAGAATTCGAAGATCAGCCTTGAGCTAAACGGCATATTCGCTTTCAAAGGCCGCAACGCAGTTGATAATGAAAAGTGTCTGACATTTTGCCAAATTATATTCAGCTTTTTCAATACACATTATACGGGCAGTGTTCAAAATTTAATGGGTTTCTTGAACCTGCTAAGGCAAGACCAAAACAAGTCTCAATCTAAGTACGTGTTCTCTGTAGGCGCCGAATACATTTGGTATACACATTTCCGATAACCGGGAACTGACCTAATTTTATTCGAGCTTTATTTAAGTCTGACCTTGCAGCCGATAATGATTATGATGAAATAATTTTAAAGTGATAAGTGCTGTTTTTACTTAATAGTCCCACACTATTGGGACTATAACTAGGTTATACAATGATTGCCAAAAAATAATTAGTTTTGAAAGGAATTCCTTGGGAAGTAGTTACTCATACAAAATCCAAATCAGGTTTTTAAAGATTAAAAATTCTATTGCATTGTTTTAATTTAAATGTTATTTGCAGCACACTTTTAAGCTGAATGGTTAATAGAAAGAGCTTTTAAGGCGTTTACTACCCCACGAGCTTATTTGTCCATAATCAATAAACAAAAGAAAAAATGGCTACCTTAACCTATCCGAAAAAATGAATAAAAAGGCATTTGCCGAAAGGTGACCTAAGCCCCATTTCCTGTGCCCACAACAATGTCAATTTTTATCCGATTCGAAAGTGGCATACCTCTAATACCTCTTGATATAACTGCATTCAAGGTTTTCCATTTTCGGATAGTCGAAATTTTGACCCCTGTTCATGTCAGATTTTTCGAAGATTTCAATGGTATCCTGCATAGTGACCCAAAACTGAACCACCAGAAGCCATAACTTTGTCAATTGTATTCCGATTTCAAAGTGGGATAATTTAAAAATGTTTGGGATAGAAGGAAAAGGCAAACACAAAAATGTTTTTGAGAAATGATCAGAATTTATTTAAATTAATTTATGAAGGCTGAACACACACTTTTCACTAGTTAGGAATAGGAGGGGAATGAGTTTTGAACTCAGTGCTTGGTGTAAACCACGTTAGCAGGAGCTGGTTGACTGGCATAAAATGCGGAGTTTACACCGTCATCTACAAGAAAAGCCTGTAAATAAAGGTTCCAGGGTAGAGTTTCTATATAGATACTTACAGGTGATCACGGGACGGAAACCGTTGGCATCCGCCAGGTATTTGACTCCTACTCGAAGACCCTCGGGTGTGATGAAGGAGTAGGCTCCCTCCACTTGCTCCTCCTGCTGCCGGTTACCGATGCCGACTGGCACACCTTTCTCCTCGCCGTGAATTCCGTTCTCCGTCTCATAGCTGTAGGCATAGGAACCTGGTCCGTAGTTCACCTCGTTGTTCTGCTCCACAATTCTGGCCTGGGCAGCGGCAATGTAGGGATTGTACTTCTTGTAGAAGCCATCGTAGAAGCGACGCTGGTTGTACAGATCACGATTCCGATAGTAGAGATCCCTGTAGAAGGGGTTCCTCAGATATGGATTGTATTGGTTCTGTCCTTCGCAGGCGACGGCCACCAAAACCAGCACAAAAAGGCAGGAAAACTGAAAGCACGCTCAAAATTAGATCACATCACTTTCTTCTGAGTTCACTTTAATTTACCAGCTTTAGAGACATTTTGGTTTCGGGCGACTTTTAGCGATGATCTGTCCGACAGAACTGTAACAGCTTCCGCGGCAAACGGATCGTTTTATAACCAACTTTGAAACCCAACCTGACCATTTTGCATAAGCATCAAATTTCGGTCCATAAAATTCATTGTATTCGGCCATTGGCCAGCAAAAAACTTTGAAGCCAGAGAGTTTGACAATTTCCGTTTAGAATTTAGATTGCTTTTATTATAATTCGCGTATCTTTTGTTTGTATAATTAAAATTAGGATCAACTTTGAGAAGAGCAGCGGCTAGCCGACAAAACGATTGGCTAAACTGGCAAAAAAGCACAGCTGGGGGGCGTTAAGTGTTTATTCGTGTTTAACCATATGAAGATTAAAATGCTAATTTCGCTTAGAGAAATATTTTGTATTCAGTAGTGAAATTCGAGGAGCCAGCGAATAAATTACTTCAGATTTACATTTTCATTATTTTCCACCCACTTAGGCTTGCATCACACCTACAAAATTACGTATTAATTAACTTTCTATACGTATTTCGTATCTCAATCAGCACGAAGTCGATTTATAAAAGTATTAATTATCTTTTTAGTTAACCAGACGAACTTTGTACACATTTTTGCATTTCTGTTTGCCTCAGCTCAGTTGTGTCGAATATAATTTATTGTTTCCATCAGAAATCGAGGTGAATAAAGCATGAATGGGCTACCGAGAGCCGAGCACATGAATAAATATGAATGAAGTTCGAGTTTGCTGGGTAGAAGATACTGAAGACGTGGGGGCAATTCGCAGGAAGGGGGGAAGTCATCTCGATTGCATCGCCGGCCTTCACATTTCGCGTGCGATTTGACAGCAGTCAACGAGTGCAACAATAGCTGTGTAATTGTGTCTACACTAGTCAGCAAAAGTCACGTGTCGGCCAGGTCGGGTTTCAGTTTTATTAGTTTGAGTCTCTTATGTGCGCCTTAAAACGAGAATGCCATTTATTTAACTGCCCAAATTAGCATACGTATTGCTGCGATAGCTGAGAACAAAACAAATTGGGATCAATAAGCAGCGCGAGCTCACCACAATCAGATTTGATTTCTAATCAAAACAGAACCCAACTTTGCCCGCGTCTGGGACCATAAATGTCGGAATACTGCCAATTCGAATATTTTATGATTCCGATGTGAGGAATGCGTTAAATAAGATCTGCCATAGGTCTGACAAAAGATCTTTGTTAGCTCATTTGCATAAACGAGCCGACGAGTCTTTGTCATCTAATTAATTGGCTCGAATTTATTTAGGTTTTATACTTAAATATTCATTGAGCATCCAAACGCTGTTGTTGTTTGTGGCTTGATAATTTTTAAACAACGGACTTGGCATGTAATTATGAGCAACAAGGGAGTTCCGTTTGGATCGGCTCGTGGCATTCGACAGTTCGATTTTAATATTGGATCGACCAAATCAAAAATACGATTTGTAAAAACTAAGTTTAAATGAATTTTAACTACGTGAAATGCAAACGATTGCCCACATCCTATATACGTTTTGTAGGAATAGCCGACGAAAGCCGGAAATGTAATTGCAACCAAAACCTAAATTATTAATCAACTTTTTACACTCTGTTCGATGTGGGTTTTTTATCCAACAACACTCAACACTTGAGTGGCAAAACAATTAGAACATAAATTATTTAATGGAATGGGACACCAGTGATGGTTATTAAATAGAGGGCCCCTGAAAGCCAGCACTCAGTTGAAGTTAGAAGTGGAAAATGTCAGCAAACATAAAGCAGCGAAAAACTGAAATCCAGCGTTCGCACGAGGATTTCACCTTCTTGGCCAACTTCTTGTTCAAGAGCTTGGGATACGATTTAATGGACTCACCCACAACCAGTCCCAGATGGTGGATACTTCTCCAAAGTGGATACTTCTTGCTGTGCATAGTGAGCAGCCTGTACGAGGCAGCTATGCTGATTCTAAGGATCATTCAGTGGGAGTCTTTGGCCGGAAGTCCCTCCACAATAATGCGATACGCTCTGCATTTCTTTTACATGATTAGTGCTCAGGGGAAATTTTTCACATTTATGATGTACCGAAAAAAATTGCGAATACTGAATAATATGCTAAAGGATTTGTATCCTTCTGATGAGCAGAAGCGAAAGGAGTACGACGTCAACAGTTTCTACCTCTCTCGAAGCACTCGATATTGCTTTTACTTCTATTACTTAGTAATGGTTCTTATGGAGTTTGGTCCTGCCATTCAGTCTTGTATTGTGTATTACGTGTTTGGGAAAGATTTTCCCTATCTAAGAATTTTCCCGACGCGACTTAACTTTGATTCGCACACACGTCTGGGTTATATCGGGGCCTATCTGCTGGATCTCACCTGCAGTCACCTCATAGTCAATATGAGCGTGGCCGGCGATCTCTGGATGATGTGTATGTCGAGTCAGATATCAATGCACTTTGCCCATCTGGCAAAAGTCCTAACCTCCTACCGACCAAGTCAAGAAAGAGAGCAGGAAGATTGCTATTTTCTAAGCATTCTGGTCAAAAGACATCAACTTATACTCAGGTGCTTGGCCTCACTTAAATAATAACTTTTATTCAAACAGCATTACTTTTTGGCAGGCTTCATGCGGACGTTAACAATGTTTTTGGAATACTCCTGGCCTCTAATTTGTTCACCACTGCCAGCTTACTTTGCTGTATCGCTTACTATATAGTGGTGCAGGGAGTCAACCTGGAAGGCTTTTCCTACTTAATGGTATTTGTCAGTGTTACAGGTCAGTTTTACATGGTCAGTGCACATGGGCAGATGCTCATCGACTCGGTAAGTTGAATACAGTAAATATATATAAATATATTCTTTATTATCTTGCTTTATCAGAGTACCAGTATAGCTGCGGCTGCCTACGAAAATAAGTGGTATAATGGATCGGTGCGATATAAAAAGGAAATTCTCTATATTATGACAAAGTCTCAACGTCCTGCAGAGATATCAGCCAAGGGCATAATTATTATTTCACTAGAGACCTTCAAGATAGTAAGTTGTATCTTACTAAGGAGTATTTGAATACTATCTTTTAATTTTTTAGCTGATGAGCATCACATATCGAGTATTTGCTGTTCTACGCCAGACTGTAAAGTAACTGCGATATATGGCTAAATTGAAAAGTTATGTCCCATCTTTAAGGTTTATATCATTTGCTTTAATAAAAACAAAAATGTGTTTGAATACTGTTTTGGACTTACATATATGCTTTAAAAAAATTCGTTAAGTCTTATATTGTTGTCTAAGCTGGTTGTCTGCTGTTGAACGAATTTTTAAACATTTTTAGCATGAAAACGTAAACAACATAGGAATTCCGCTTATCTCGGTTCGTGGCATTCTACAATTTAAATATATTTAATTGGCCATATTCAACATGCATTTTGTAGGAGCCGCCGATGGAAACCGGTAATGTAATTGCAACAAAAGTCTAAATTATTAAATAGTTTCTCACACTCGCTTTGAAGTGGTTCTGCTCAAATTACTCAACACTTTAGTGACAAAACAATTAGAACATAAATTATTCAATGGGTTGGGACACCGTCGTCCTTTGTTGGTTATAAAATAGAAGGCCTTTGAATGCCAGCACTCAGTTAAAGTTAGGAGTGGAAAATGTCAGCAAACATGAACCAGCAAAAGATTGAAAATCAGCGTTCGCACGAGGAATTCACCTTCATGGCCAACTTCTTGTTCAAGAGCTTGGGATACGATTTAATGGATTCACCCAGGCCCAGCCCAAGGACCAGATGGGTGGTAATGCTCCAAAGGAGTTACTTTATGCTCTGCATAGTGAGCACTTTCTACGAGGCATTCATGCTGACCCTTAGGATCATTCAGTGGGAGTCCTTGGCCGGAAGTCCCTCTAAAATAATGAGAAACGCTCTGCACTTCTTTTACATGGTCAGTGCACAGGTGAAATTCATCACATTTATGGTATATCGAAAAGAATTGCGATTGCTAAATAATAATCTTAAGGATTTGTATCCTTCTGATGAGCAGAAGCGAAAGGAGTACGACGTCAACAGTTTCTACCTCTCTCGAAGCACTCGATATTGTGTTTATTTCTACTACTTTGTAATGATCCTAATGGCGTTTGGTCCTCTCATTCAGTCGTTTATTGTGTACTATGTGTTTGAAAAAGCAGAGTTTCCCTATCGAAAAATCTTCCCGACGCAACTTAGCTTTGATTCGCAAACACCTTTTGGGTATCTTGTGGCCTATGTGCTCGACCTAACTTACAGTCATCTCATAGTGAACATAAGTCTGGCCGCCGATCTCTGGATGATGTGTATGTCGAGTCAGGTCTCAATGCACTTTGCCCATCTGGCAAAGGTTCTAACCTCCTACCGTCCAAGCCGAGAAAGAGAAGAGGAAGATTGCTACTTCCTGCGCACTCTGGCCAAGAAACATCAACTAATACTTCGGTGAGTAAGTGTGTTAAAGCCCCTCACTTAAAAAATAATAACTATATATTTCGGGAGAGTTCACAAGGACGTTAACGAAGTTTTTGGAATACTCCTGGCCTCTAATTTGTTCACCACTGCCAGCTTACTTTGTTGTATGGCTTACTATATCGTGGTGCAGGGAGTCAACATGGAGGGTTCTTCGTATATGATGCTTTTCGTCAGTGTTTCTGGCCAGTTTTACATGGTCAGTGCACATGGGCAAAAGCTCATCGACTTGGTAGGTAAAATATCATATCATAGAAAAGCTTTTAAATTGCCCTTTAAGAGTACAAGCATAGCTGCCGCTGCCTACGAAAATAAGTGGTATGATGGATCGTTGCGATATAAAAAGGAATTACTCTATATTATGACCCAGGCCCAACGTCCTGCGGAAATATCAGCCAAGGGCATAATTATTATTTCACTAGAGACCTTTAAGATAGTAAGTTTAACTTTACTAGGAAGTAATAGTTTATATTATATTTATCTTTTTATTTAGTTGATGTCCATGACATATCGAGTCTTTGCTGTTTTGCGCCAGACTGTACAGTAACTGCAATCTGTAACTAATTTAAAAGTTATATTAAAAGTTATCTTTGAGATTTCTATCATTTTCATCGATCAAAATGAATATATGTCTAAAAATCAAAAAATACTTGTGTTATTGTTACTGTATTTGACGCTTGAGTTTGTTAAAACGGATGAACTAAAAGAAGTTAATATGAAAGTTTACTGCAATGCCAATGTGTCCTACGGAGAAGGAACTGCCATCGTTATATCAATGGAAAATCTCCCAGTCAAGTCCGCTATTACAGTGCATCTGAGTACTCCTACTTACCTGTTGGCTTTTTTCGAGATCGGAAATGTTGCAAAAGAGATGCCGCCTAAATTCGAAAAAACCAGATCCATCAGTAAGGAGCTTTCATACTTGGGAATCAAGACGAAAAGGAAACCTAAATATGAACATGGATACTTTGCCATCTTGTCTGCAACATTTTGGTCGGCAGGCGATCAAGTAATTACGCTTCTATGCCGAAAAAAATCAATACGGATATATGAAATTAAAGAAATCGTTCCTATTCAAGTATATTTTCCCCGCACTTGTTCCCCGCAACTGGCAATGCTAAAGTGTTCAGATCCCAGGTCGCCGAAGAAAATACCAATAACCCGTGGTTTTAATATCAAGGCTGCATTTCTGGAAACTTGCAATCTTACAATCAGTGCCAACTATAAATGGACTCTAGGAGATGCGATTGGGTTAAGTGAGTGTGCCATTCGACTAAATCACCTTTTCTATCCATCATTTCCACAGCACAGTTTGCATCGTATTCCTCAGATAGTCTTAAACTAAATATTCGACCTTTTACGTTGCGGTTTTCTACTTCTTATGAACTGTGGCGAAATTTGTATGTTTTACAAGTAGAATCGAATGTTGAAGGTTTGCATTTCTCAGCTCGATGCTATTTACAAATAATTTTGGGTCAGGTGGAAGCCGTAATTCGTGGTGGGGAAAACAGGCAAGTCCTACTGAGTAAGGAACTTTGGATAGACGGCTCCTTGAGCTACGATTTATCTAAACGAAAAGAGGAAGTTCAATTTTCAGCCTATTACTGGAACTGCTATTCCCTTGACGACAGTCGAAATCCATTTTGCCATCCAAATATATCGTCTGGTGAGATAATTTAACATAAGCGTGTTAAATACGATTATACTTTTCTTATAGTTGCTGTGTTTTCTATTCCCGCCAATTCTTTCAAAAATGGCTGCAGATATCAATTCCATTTGCAAGTGACTAGAGATACTGATCCCAATGTTTCATCGAAAAAAGTGCAAGTTGTTACCATGATCAGCTATAACATTCTACAATTAACGATAGAATGTATTCGAAACTGCCAAAGGGATTACTTTACCACTAATTCGAAGGTTCATCTGAAGTCGAAATGCACGAATTGCAGAAATGAAAAGTTGAGATACAAATGGTATATCGATGGCCAGCTAGTACTCACATCTGATGAGTTAGTAATGCGTATAAGAACGGCATCCAATGTGACCCAAATTAAGCTTCTTGCTTCATCGGCAGATGGAAGATATGGGCGAAATTATAAGACCCTGATTAAAAATAGGGGGCCAGTTGGAGGAACATGTTCGATATATCCAAAAGAAGGACAAGAGGCAGTCACGGCATTTTATCCCTGTTGCCGAAACTTCGTTTCTATGAACAATCCTATTGAGTATTTTTTGTATGCCGGATCAATTCTTATCAAAAGCTGTATGGATTGCAATTGTGAAGTTTTTCTGCCGATTATTAATTTCATAAAAGTGCTCGTGTGCGATGTTTTTTGGGTTTGCCAGACAGTTTGGTTGAAGGTAAAGGTGACTCCCAACAATAATATTCCAATTTGGCCATTAAACATGCTATACTTTTTGGAAGAAGGTCTATTGCATCGGTATTTACAAGGTTTACAATCTATTGCAACTCATTCACATATTAAGGAATCTCGAAACTTGCTTTTGGGAAATTTTTCTTCCATCCAACCTGAATCGTGGAGCTCCCTCGCAAGATTAGCAAATCTTACCCTAACCTTAGCGCATCGTCTACATCTTGCAGATCCAAAAACCAAAGCGATACTAACAATATTGGTTCGCAAAATAAATGATAATTTTGAGGAAATATACCTGAACAATAACGTGTCTTACCTCACAACAGAACATTTTATCAAAATCACTCTCGACTGTTTAGAGATCTTGAATGTTATGGAAAGTTTGTGTAAAAAGTTTTCGCCGCCACCATGGCCAATTTATGATCAGTACTATCAAGCGTTCCTAAAGGGAAAATTGAAGAAACCGCTTTTTGAAAAATTGTTCTCTAAAATTCAAGAGTACGAATACGAAGATGAATGGAAGTTCTGGCTTAACTGCACTTGGGAATCGTTTCGTCTACATCAAAACCTAAAGAGTCCTCGCAATAATATCTACCAATCAAATCTTCGGGAAGTAAGAAAACGGGGGAAACACCAATTGGCACTGGAACATAAATGCTACGATACAATTCCCAGCAAAATGATCAAGATTTTCACACGGGATGAAATCCACATTGTTTTGATTACGCCAGCCGTATTTAAGGATGTTCTGGGAACAGATCCCAGCAAAGCCTGCTTTAGGATACTATCCTTTCAGCGAGACTTGCATTGGTGGTATCCGATCGAGAAGAAACCAAGTTCGCGTCTACTTTCTGTGCGTGTCTTCGAAAGAGAAGATAACATCACTACGCACTTTGCGTTGAAGCATAGTAAAATCCGCTATAAAACATTTCACTCCGGACATTTCCATATTCATAGTCATATGCAACCTGCAGAAGATCAGTCGGATTTCATTAAGCAATCGGGCGTATACGTTAATACAATGGCCAAGGGAACACTTACAACTTACCGGAAAGTTCGTATGTACCGCGTATTGCTAACGCAGACGACATTGTTGGCTGTTCACTTCACGAAAGCCACCCACAAGCTGCAAGTACTTCTGAAAACCCATGAAAAGCCTTTGATGAGCGAAATTTCCGCATCGAAGTGCACGGTTCCTGCATCAACGGACAATAAAACACTGCTCTTGCGGAACAACTGTCAATATGCAATCCGGGTGTATATTGCACTGCGAGTCTTTGCTGATTATCCGATTAGGAAAAGTCCCAAGACTCCGATTGCCGATGGACCGGCGGAGTTCGCCTTTGCCTTTCAAATTCGAAGCTGCAACGTCTGGTCGTACACTTCGCATCCGGGTGAGCAGAAGTGGCTGCACACCGGCTGCCATCCCACGATGACCCTCAGTGTCAAGCACGCAATTGGCTGCACTTGCACCGTCCTCGGAACCTATACCAACTACGTGCACTATGTGCCCGCCATCGAGGTTCCGGTTGCTGCTTACGAGGAGGCACGGATCAACTTCCATATCGTTTTGTTCTACGCCATCCTCTTTCCCCTCATTGTGCTGTGGATACTTTGGCTGTGGAAGTACCGGAACAGTCTGCCCAGCAAGACCATTCGGTTTCCGGGCTTCGAAGCGGGGGACCAATCTTCGGGGGAGCCACATGACATCATAATATCCTTGCGAACGGGAGGTCGCTTGAACGCCGGAACCTCGGCGTCGTTAACAGTGGTTTTGTATGACCAGTTTAAGAAGGAAAGGAAAATCAATGTTTTCCAGGACCCGGGGCACACATTTCTAAAGGAAAATACCATGGTTTATCTTTGGATCCGAACACGGGACATCCGCATACCGACTAGAGTCTTGATTTACCACAACAACGCGGGAAGATTCCCCAGTTGGTTTCTTCGCCGAGTGGAAGTGAGCGATGTTCAGGTCCGAAAGACGCAGGTCTTCATGGCTCGGAAATGGGTAAAGCAGAAAAACTTGGCATTGGCATCGGATTTCATATATGGGTATGGGGAACAGCGATTATTGGACAGTTGGAGCAGTCGATTCAAGATCAGCTTCGAGATGCTCTGGATCAACTGGGCTCTGTGGCAGCCCGTCTCGGGAAAGTGGAGGGAGTCGCCTCATTTTAGCAGAATTTCCCGAGCCAAACGTGTTTGCATTTTCGTCTGCAAGCTGTTGGTTACCTTCACGGTATGCGCCCTGCACTATAAGCCGACTACAACCATTAGTTTACAAAGAATCCGCGGCAGTTTTTTGTCCTACAAAGACGTGGTGGTAATAACCATGATTTGCTGTTCCCTGGAAATTGTTATTTATGTGATGTTCGTTTTGGTGAGCTGGAAATGGGGTTAGATGGTTTCAATTTTTATAATCAATCTGCTGTTTATATAAAAACTATAAAGCTGAAGAAGCGGCAAGAATATAATCGTTAACAAAATCAATATAAAATAAATAATATAACTCAATATGTTCTCTTAATTATAAACATTGCAAAGTGTGTGATCGATCGCAAATTAAAGCCATGGGAAAAAACTGAGAAATGCTTGTAATCACCTGGCAATAAAGGTAAAGATGGGGGTTTAGCTTGATGTCAGAACATTGGCGTGACGAATTCTCAAATGGGGGGAGTTACCGAGTTACCGAAGACCCACTCCCGCGAATCAAATGTCTTGGCCGCGATTTGCATTAATTAGCCGTGAGCCGTAATCAACGACGCCCACGTGCTGCAGATCGATCCCTCTGCCATTTAAGTTGTCTGCCAATTTGCATAAATCACATTAAAACGCTGAGCCCAAGACACTCGGATACCCAGACGGATTAGCATTAGTGTAAGCTTAAGGTCAGGCGTTTATTCACGGCTAGATCAAGTGTGCTCCAGTTAAGAGTGCGCCTTCCTGACCACTCGAACCAGTTCTGTCCGCGAAAGCAGAGCGGAGTTGGCCTTCCTTGACCATGAAATGGGCACCTCATGCCAGCTGGTGATCCGCACTCCGAGCCACAGTTTCCACCAAATTGCAGTAGCTGGGATCGCGACATGACCAGAACCACTGACATTTAACCGCGACAACTGGTTCGCCATTGGTGGCTTCTGCTGCGGTGCGCAATTATTTATTTATGCCTGCATTGACATTAGCATTAGCCGGTGCAAAGTATGCCGGACTGGACCGCAGACCGGGTTGCAAGTTGGCCAAAAGGCGGCTCCAGCTTCTTACGCAACAGCCAAATCAATGCGGACAACCGACTTACGGAGACGCCACTCCAAAGATCTGGCTTCTGGGGAGTTGGCTTTTGGCTATTAACATTTGATCTTGAGCTCGAAAGGATTTTGTTTTCTTAGGATCTTAAGAGCTTAAAGCCATCTTGGTGTCACTGAGATCTCTTGAACTTTGGCTAGAGATTGTGAAACCAATAACGAGTAGACTTTAAAAAACATCCCATTGCTTTTTGCAATGGTAGTATAATTTAGAAATCGTTTTAAGAGCAGCCAGCAAAAAACTCTAAGAGAACTCTACAGAAATACATATTTCTACCTATGCCTTTTTATTTAAAATTAGTAGCTTCTTTAAAACATCTTCATTTAATCAATTTTATTTCAGTAATAAATTTGATTATAAAGCCTACCGAAAACATTGCACAACTCATTATTCAGCGGTGAAAACTGCACCATAAAACCGTGGGCAAAAGTGGTCAGCTCAATACGGCCATCATACCCGTTTTCCTGATGGGTATCAAATTGCAGACACCACTCAAAACGTCTTTAAAACAAATTACGTTGTATGCCGTAAAGAACGCGCCGCGACCTTCAAAGTGGACAGCGGGCGAGAACAGGTTGGGCAACCAGAATATGGCCATATAGCCATATAACCAGACAGCTGACATTTGGTGGGTTCTTCGGATCGTAAGACCCATAATAACCGCAGAAGTCATGCGTAAGTTTTCAAGGTTCTGCGCCTAATAACAAGCCCAGATGGGAAATGCTCAGCCGAGATCATAAATCTCGGTAGCCAGACAGCGAATTAAGTGGAAGCCAGCCCATTTAAAAGTAGTACAATAAATATTAAATTTAATTCCGAATGTCTTTATAATTATTGCGCGAGGGAATAATAATAATCAGCAGAGGCAATGGTCACAGACATCGACTTCGACTTCGCCTTTAACTTGTTCAGTTGAGGCCCCAAAAAACCTAAGTTCGGCAATCGCATTGGTATATGTACCCGTACTGTATGGCTTTTCTTCTTGTCGATCTTTTTGTTTTTTCTTGCCAAAGACAAAAACAATACAACGCGGCCACAATCTTTGGGACAATCTTGTCACGAAATTCTGTCGCCGTCTGTGTCGGAGTTGCAGTCAAAAGAGACCCGGGGCACTGGAGATGCCGAGATGTGGAGATGGGGTTTCTAGCCGGAGCTAAAGTCTCTAAGTCTGGCCCCATCTGCTGGCCCAAAGCTATTCATTAGACGCGCCTACACTTTGGCAGCGACGACAACAACAATAAAAACAACAAAAAACGGAGAGCCAACTTGGCGTTTAGCAATTTCTGGCATTTTGACCCCGTGCACGGCTTCAGTTTGAGGTCTGCCCATGGGTTTTTGGGGCTTGCGATTGGAACTTGGGCTTGGGCTCTGGCTTGGATTCGGATTTGGTTTTGGATTTGGTTTTGGGCTCGGATCGGATACCCAGTAACGCCGCTCCGACGGCTGCCTGACTTTGATTGCGGTGCCCGATTAAAGCAGCGCATTTAAATGCAATGGTTCACCCCCAAAAAGCAATGGGTCTGCCCCATTTCGAGTCAGGTGGCAACGCCGGCGGCCGAGATCGGTATCTTTATTATCATTATCATTTAGCTAGGGGCGTATCTCTCGACCGATCTTCATTCGTCGCTTGCTGGGTGACTACACTTAGAAATAAAGCTTAGTAGTTAACATTTCTTTGTCAAAATTGTACAATTAAGGTTTAATTTATTTATTTATTTTACACTTAAGTTTATATATTTATTTCCAACCATGTATGTATTTATATGCTAATTAATTTATAATCTGGTAACCTTTTGTATTTATTTTATATTTCCAAAATGGGACATTTTTGTTATATTAATTAAGTTTTTAGATTACAGAGTTTCACCAGGGGAACTTCATCATCACGTGTCTATTCTTAACGATTTTATTCTTGTGTACCTATTTCCGCCGGCTGATGCAATTACCAAGCAATAGATTTAAATGTATATAGACGCTCCGTAAAAAAAACCTGAAACAATTGCATAAATTAAGTGTACTTAGTACAAAGTTAGTTCTTTATTTCCAGCCCAGAACAGCTGAGCCTCCGCAATTCTGCTGCTCTTTGGAAACGCTGACGTCGACGGCGACTGCGACTGCGACATAGGCGTTGAATCTTTAGTTTAGTTTTTCTTCTCTCTTTAGCCAGCCACCTCGACAGCCACCCACCCATCCCCCTAACCCCCAACTGGCCGGGTTAGTACTTAGTTGTTGGTTGTTAGTTGTTCGTTGTGTGTTGTTGGTTTTGGCCGTACTCGTGTCGCGGCTTTGCATCTTGGCTATGTGTGTGCGACGCTTTGCCAACTGAAACTGAATTGTTTGCAGCCTCGCCAGTGCAATTTTCGTATAAATAGACTCACCTGCCGGCATTGGGCATCATTAAATAAAAACGTTCGTTCAATTAACAACTGCTGTGAACTGAGGCCCCAGTCGAAAGGATAATACTACCTTTGGATTACACTTCTGAGCTTCAAACAAGATGAAGAACGTAAGTGGGTAGAGATGGTATCCCAAAAATTTAAGAAAAAGGATTACTTAAAGAAAAAAGTGTGTAACTAAGTGAAACTGCTGATATCCAACAATTTAATATAAAGTATATTGTGGGGATGACATTTTTAAAATTGCATTGCGGAGCAATACTTTAAGGATGTAACTGCCTTAGTTTATAAGTTTTGATGAACACACCATTCTCACATCAAGTCTTTAAAAGGATACTCAAAATTGTTCAAAATTAGTTATTTTCACAAATGTGTCAGTATGCTGTGGCATTCCACCTCTTCATCGCATATTGCCACAAATATCGCAGACGTGCTGGGGCAGTAAAAACCCTCGTAAATCAATCGCCTAAGGTGAGCCCATAACTTTTGAAACATTTATTACGGCACACACAAAAAACTCGACCCTTTGGAGTTTTTGTTTCGGGGTATTTCTTCCGCAATTACCAAGACCGCAAAACACTAAAGGCGGGGGCAAAAGCTATAGCATGCCATATGCTATATTGCCAACGGGGGCAGACACGTCTTGCCATTTGAATGGCTTAAAAGCCAAAGGCAATTAACGGACTCGGATTCTCGGACTCGGGAATTCGGATTCGGATTCGGATTCAGATGCAGCGTGCTCGCCACGCAAAGGTCAGAGTCAGACCGGCGGACCAACACCTGGCAGCTGTCCATCGGTCTGAAAAGTTCAGGCACGAAATTGGAGTCCCAAGTGGAAAATGAAACCCATTCAGACCGCTTAAGTTCAGTTCAGCGACAATTGCCCAAGAGTCGATCTCGTGCTGAACTCTGGGTTACCAGAAAAAGACCAAAATGAAAACTGAAGACACCGCTGATGGGACAGAAGACCACGCCCCGCGATTTTCATGCTCTTTTGTCTACAAGTTAATTGAGTCAGTCAAGATCTAGTACGTGTGTGTGTGTGTGTGTGTGGAAATGTGGAAAATATTTAATTGGCATCTATTTGCCGACCTCAAAAGGTGTCTAAAAAGCTCGGTATGTGAGAACGGCAAATAGGCAAATGAAATAGCAAAGGCAATAAATCTCGGCGCTCGGGGAGGTTGCATAATTCACGTAGCCGTAGAGCATCGGCCACGATCTCAAGATGTTTATTAGCTCGGTTAACATTGCGGAACTCTCCATTTCGTTTCGTTTTCCCTTCGACAGTTTGCACTCTGTCTGCTGGTCGCCGCCTTGATGAGCTGCTCCCAGGCTGCCCCCCAGAAGGCGGACGAGCCCATTGCCATCATCAGTCAGGAGTCGAACATCGAGCCAGATGGATCCTACAATTATGCGTAAGTAAAGTAAAGATATTTATTCAAATCAATGAGATAATGATTGCCCTATTAAACTTATTTTGAAATGGCAAAGCATCAAAACAAACCATAGTAATTGCAAACAAAAATCATTAAAGCGTACGGCTCTTAAATGTGGCATCTCAATCAGCTTTAAATGTAACTCTGACCTGTGGTATTAACAATTGTTATTAACAAGCCATTAAAATACGTGTTAATTAGCTCATTAGCCTTACACGATAATTGAACTTCAACCTTTAATTTTCTCATGGCTCCGAAACTCATTGTAGTTTTTAAAAGTCTTTAGTTTTATAACCAATAACATTTTTCTGTTATTAAAAAGTGAATCAGTAAAGCATACTTTAAGGCCTAAGCCATAAACTTTTAAGCCCTAGAATCACTCTTCAAAATTTAAAAAACCATCAGTTTGGCTTAACTAAATCTGATAGTTATCCCCCATCACCACTTTCCCTCGACCCATATCTCAAAAACCAGCTATCCATAGAAAACCAAGATGAATATGCTAATAAAGCTAACGAAATATGGATTAATGAACCATATTTAAATAGAAGTCTGCACAGAAATGCTAAAAGTTAAACTGTTGATTGAATTTTAATTTGATTTGCTTGGCGCCATTTGGGTGACGCATGAAAACAAGCTGACTGAACAAAATCGTAGGCATTTGGATATATATATTTGCAAGTTTTGAAGGTTAACTTGGTTAAACCCATCGCTTGACTGTTTTGATTGATTGGTACTTGCAGATACGAGACGGCCAATGGCATCAAGGCTGAGGAGACCGGAACCCTGAAGAAGGCCACCTCCGCGGACACCAGTGACGTGATCATCGCCAGGGGATCCGTGTCGTACACCTCGCCCGAGGGCAACCTGATCACCCTGAACTACTCCGCCGACGACGAGAACGGTTTCCAGCCGCAGGGCGACCATCTGCCCACTCCTCCTCCGATTCCACCAGCGATCCAGAAGGCCCTCGACTACCTGCTGAGCCTTCCCCCAGCGAAGCGTCGTTAAGCAGAGAGGATCACCCCTGATTTTGACCAACGACTCTGACCAACCTCGATTCGATTCTGATGTGTAGATGCTGCGCTGTTGCTACAAGTTGATTGCTGCAAATATCCTATCCCGATCCCGATCCCGATCCCTAGACAATCACACATAAGACACAAGCCAAGGGCTGGAGCCTCCTCCTCCTCCTCCTCTCTCCACGTAGGAGGTGGTCAAAGGTCGGCCAAATCCACTGACTGAAGAACACACAAACTCAAACGGATTTGAGGGACAACATCACACCACACATGACAACACGATGATACAGATAACAAACCAGTCTAATTTCTTGCTTTCTTCCGCCAAAACTCTATGTATTCTTCGCGAACTTCTTCAGATCTTTTAGTCGCCGGAACTTTGCCATTTTCGGACTCATGTGATATCGTCGATTTATCAATGAAATCAACAAAGAAAATGTAAAAAAAATGAACAAACAAACAAGAAATTACTTAAATAATATATACAGGAATATTTTCAATACTTTGTGTAAATAGTCTGTAAATTAGATACATTTACACGTAGTCTAAGCAAAGAGGTCGACGGGGATTTCTCAATCTCAGTCGCCTCGAAACTTATGTAAACACTTGTGAAGAACTATGAAGATATTCTTTAGCATTAGCTGCAAATAAAGAATTAAAGATTCTTTCGAAAAGTAAGCAAATCAAGTGATTAAATTGGTCAAGCCTAAAAAGGGGAACCGAATGACCTCAAAAACTCCTTATTAGTCGAAAGTCTCAATAGCCAATATCTGGTTTTAAAGCATCTTTGGAGCTTTTCAGAATTCCACTCCCACTGACACGGATCGTATTTCCAGCCGATGTTCCGAGCTTCTGTCGTGATCATAAATCTAGACTCACCATTCCCCAAATAACCGCGATGACAAAAGCTGACAAAAATTATGCACACAACTGGTTCGTTGGCCAGTTGCATTGGGGATATACTTTACATGGGAATTGGCTTGGAAAATTGACTCGCAGTTTATTCATAGATTCTGTCCAAAAATAACGTCCGTTTTTTTATGGTTCCTATCTGTTTTGCACTTCAAGGCGAGATTTGATAGATTCATTTTATGCAAAGTGATCAGACGCAGGCTGGCAAAAATGTTGTCACGTTGGTTCGACCAAATCGCCGAGAACCAGAATCGGAGTGACGCCGATGAGTAGTGCCCATAGAAGATGGCACAGCATTATTATTATTTATTTATTTTATTTGAAAAACAACGTGGAGGCAGCGTCGACATCGACATCGACGTCGAAGTCGTCTGCACCAAATTTCACACCCATTTTCGAAAGGCCAGCGACAAACGGAACACACGGTGGTGAAACAAGTTCAATAATATTTATTGGCCACATTTTAATTTCATGTTAAATATTTTAGTACAGGAATTTTATCGTGGTTTCTGGCCAGCTAGTTTCGTTGCCTATATAAGAGTCTTTGTTTACGGATGGGGATCGCCAGTCGCCTCGAGACACCAGCTTGGATTGTATTAATAGATATTGACAGAGTGAAATAGAGATCCCGAGATGAAGTTCCTTCTGCTGATTGCCCTTTTCGTGGTTGCTGTTTCGGCGACGGAGAACGACGACCCGATTTCCCAGGAGTCCAATGTGGAGTTCAATGGCAAATACCATTACCAGTGAGTCTATCAACCCAATAGAAGCTATATGGATACTAACGATCTGCGATCACCCAGTTATGAACTCAAGGATGGCTCAAAGGCCACTCAGGATGGAGTTCTGAAGTCGGTGAATGCCGATCACAACGGCGAGGCGGTCAATGGAAAGTACTCCTTCGTGGCCGACGATGGCAAGACCTATGTGGTGTCCTACACTGCCGATGAGAACGGATTCCAGGCGGTGGGCGACCACCTGCCCACTCCACCACCCACTCCCGAGTCCGTTCTGAAGGCTCTGGAGTACATCCGCCTGCATCCCTACCAGACTCCCGAGAAGAAGAACTAAACTGCCTAGCGGAACTAAGCAAAATGTGATTGGAAACAAAAGAACTGAGACATTAAAACAATATTTAAAATCAACAATGAAGAAGATATTGGCTAACCGGAAGCAAAATGATCAAATAACTTACTTTACCTAGGGTTGAATCGCTGTATGAAATCCCCTCTTTGAAGAGCCACTGCACGTTGTGTGCCAAAATGTGTGTTAAATTTGCCTTACTTAGCAGTTTTTGGCTCTGCTGGCCATCTCGCTAAACAATTACTAATTGAAAGCTAAATTGTTAAATAAGCAATTGAAGTCCAAGCAGAGTGGCAAAATTACCAAGGCCGAATCCGCAATCAGTTTGAGTGAGATTTGAGCAGCAGCATTAGAACTCCGAAATCGACTAAAATCAATAGGAATTATGTAAGCCAAACAGAAACTGAAAGTGTGATTCGATTTTGTTTCCCGCGTTTCAATTTACAATAATATGTTAATTTTAAGAACAAACCTGTAGAGAACGTCAGCGATTCTGGGAAAAGGCTGAGAAGCATTTCTCTGGCTCAAGAATTAATCAGATATGTATCGCAGGTGATTTAGAATTTTTGTCGCTTGGCTCTTTTGTTTCTACCAAACGCAGTTCATTGACCATTCAGTTCCATTATGTTCTATTATTCCGACATCTAGCTTCTATGACACAATTGTGGTTAATATTCGCAGCATATAGCCATTATATGGGTATAAGTTGGCAGTGTTATCAATTCGATTTATGGCCAACAATACTCTACATTTTTTATGGCTTTGTCGTTTGTCTCCACCATTCACCGTTAGCTTTTCGACCAGCAAATATTCCCTAATTGAAACGTGATTGGAATATAAAATCAGGGTTTATTATGACTTATGGAAACATTTTGGGAACTTATGTGAAGAATTCTGCGAGAGTGCCAGCACTCCCTCAACTCAAATCCTTAACGGAATCGCCAGGAACTGAGTTCGCAGTCAACGGAACTAACCGAAGAGGCGACTCCCAGAAGAGTTATATTCTCCTCAGCCAAATCACGTAGCCTGTCAAGATCTGCGATATGTGGAAGGGGCATCGGAGGACAGAAACGGAGACAGAGAACTGTCACCTGTTGACATCGTCGCTCCATCTTCATCTCTTTTGGCGGTGCGATCTGATGTTATGTTTACTCATCATCGCGGGGCAATAAAACCGAAACCGAATTCCGAAAAAAAAGTGGCAAAAAACCCCGGAGCAGAGCGCCCGCTCGTAATTTCTGCGAGTACTTCGCCGCTTATCTAGTGCGCCCATCGTAATGGCAATCGTAAGCAGCCGAAGCCAAGAAGTCGAGAGTATAAAAAGCAGGGCTTTCGTTCGGCCAGCCAACAGTCGTTCGCTGGATACCGCCCACACTTAAGACCAAGTCCAAGGATATATACACCCTCTCTACCGACATGTACAAGTTCATCTTCCTCGTCTGCTCCGCCATGCTGCTCAGCTATGTCCTGGCCAGGCCACAGGATCTGCGGGCTGGAGCTACAGCTCCCACCAGCACCACCACACCGGCCACCATTGTGAAGCAGGATAACGTGAACAATGCCGATGGAAGCTTCAACAGCAGGTGAGCTAATAATAAGATGATTCCTATGTGAATAAACCTGTGAATGAACCTATGCATGAACCTATGAATGAACCTACGAATGAACCTATGAATGAACCTATGAATGAACCTTTGAATGAACCTTTGAATGAACCTTGACTGTACTTCCTTTTTAGCTACGAGACCTCCAACGGAATACGCGTGGAGAACATCGGCTACCTGAAGAAGATCATCGTTCCCAAGACGGAGACCTCCGATGGCCAGGTTATTGACGAGCACGAGGAGCTGGTCCTGGTCCAGACTGGATCCTACAGCTACAGCGATCCCGATGGCAACCTCATCACGCTGCGCTACGTGGCCGACGAGAATGGATTCCAGCCGGAGGGAGACCATCTGCCCGTGGCACCACAATAGTTTTACCATCCATTAGCCCCCAGCTCCCGATAATATTTCGCTTGAAAGTATTATGCACTGCCTGAATGCCATACGAAATTGAAGTGTCTACATTCCGTAGTTAGTCTTAAGCAAACACACACACACCGAATCGCCTGCAAAGAGAGAAATAAATATTGGAAACGATAATGAAAACGACAACTGAAGTGAAGTTACTTCTCAGCCTCGCGTGGCCTATAACATTACATTACCGAATTGCCCTTCACGCTTGCGGTTAACACTGATGATAGCCAAGTGGAGATGAGATGGGATGGTGTGGTGGTCATGAGCCAACTGCCAGATTTGTTTACACTGGCGCTCCGGTGGTAAAAGCCCTCAGCACCGAATGACATTGATGCTGAAATGGATATGGATAGGAATTGGGTATCGTGTTTTGGCCAGACTCAATGGGGCATACCAGAAGTCTCAGATGTTTAATTACTCTATAATGCCCATGATTAAATTGCCATTAGGTGTGGATTGAGCCACTTCATCAATGGCTAATGTGGGCCAATCGTGGGATCAGTTGATCGATCATTGAGCCACCGGAATGTTGAAATTAGTCTGGAGCTTCGTCATTGTTTTTGGCAGTCTTCTGCGACTAAGTCCTGTGGATACAGCCAAACTACTTCCGGTAGGATAGTTGCTACACACAGAACTATAAGAAACCACATCTCTTCTTTTCTATAGAACTTGGGATACATTGTCGAAATGAAACAAGTGGACTGCGTGGGCAATCCAAACTACTTTGCCGACCTGAGCTGCAAGATCGTAACGCCCAGAAACAGGGACGTGGAAGCATCTGTGAATATTGTACAGAAGTTGAGCGTCTTGAGTGGATCGTTGAGGGTCTCTATTCCGAATGCCAGGAAAGTCAAAACCCAGATATTCGACATCATCTTTGATGTGTGCAAAGTTTTGCGTGAACGCAAGCGGAAGATACTGATCGACCTTTTGGTCAACAGTTTGTCCAGGAACAGTAACATTAAGGCTTGGAAGTGTCCTTTTCAAAAGGTAAGTACCGATTGTATGAACATCCTTTTCAAGAAAATATTCTAAGAATCTTCTTGCAGGGAAGATTTGAGTCAAAGAACATTTCCGTTGCCAGTTTGCCACCTGCGCTAACCGAATCCGAATTTTTCGTGAACTTGGACTTTTTATACCCAAAGTGGGTCCGCTAATGAATGTCACTTTACACGGCCATCTTTATGAAGTGGCAAAGGAAAAAGCCAGGAAGAGGAAATATTTCTAACAGATTTGAATTTCAAATAAGTTTGTGGAGAGGGTTGCATACTTTCAGGCCTTTTTGAAAATAATGACAAATTAATAAATGACTGGCTTTAAGCCGAAATCAAAAAACTGGGATAGATTTATAATTATTAACACAGTTGTCAAGCCCAATTGGGCGCTATAATTATAAGTAGTGCAAGTTATGTTGCCGATTAGTAATTACTTCAATATTGATATAGCTTCAAAATCAATTCAGTTCGCCGACGACTGACTGACAGAAATGTTCTACCTCTGTTTAACATACCTTCGGATGATTTTATTGCTTTTATTACTCATCCACCTGATCCAATACACAGAAGCCAAGGTAAAACATTGCTAGTAAATAAAGAAGCTAAACAATTAACGAATATATTTGCAGAGGCGGATAAGATGGGATTGTTTCGACTGCCAGATGGATGGTTCTTTTTCTGATCAAATAGAATGCAGAGTCGGAGGAAGCAGACATTCCCTTTTAAATGTGGAACTAAATCTGCTGTCGGAACTTGAGCAAATTAAGGTTTATATCAATATTTCGACCAAGTTCAAATCAACAATTACGTTTCGAAAGTTCTTCGACATTAATTTCAACGGATGTCGCGTGATATCGGACATGGTTCAAGGCACCATGGTATCGAATATGTTCAATGCAGTCGTCAAATCGAGCAATCAACCTCGGAAATGCCCCATTCAAAAGGTTAATTTCGTTTTTCACTTTAGTTCAATAACTAATATACCCGTTTCAGGGCACACAACATCAGCATTGAAGACGCTTTACCCATGTTTGTGCCCACCGCACAGCTCTTCATCCAAGTAAACTTTTACTCTCGACGGCAGTTGTACTTAAATGTTAGTGTAATGGGAGAAATACTTGAAAAATAAATACACATTTAGGTTCTGCTTTTATTTGTTTTCATATTTTATAGACAACTTTAACCGAATGGTCGTTTTTAGCGGCCATAAATAAAAACATTAAGCTGAATTTGCGTATGAACCCATTTAAAATGCAATCACGATATAAATCAATTATTGGGGGTATAATTATGAAAACAATTACCCGCGAGTGTTTACACTTATAGCCAATGTGTGGGCTTTCGAGCCACACAGTATTAATTGGTCCGAGCTGCAATTACAACATCATGGCTCAATTTCAATTGATGCTTTTGCTAATTTTTCTGGTTAACCAAAGCGAAGCAGCCAAGGTTTGCTAATATTTACTATTCCGGATCAGACTTCTAATTGCGTATTCTGCAGACTTTCACTAAGGCGCGTTTGAAAATGGTTTGGAAAACATTTAACTGCTCCCCCAATCCGGAGTATATTGATCAACACAAGTGTTTCATCTTGGAGTCCGACAAATCCCTGATCACCACCGAGCTGAACTACATTAAGGACATTGCCAAATACAATGCCACCTTCAAACTGTTTATGCCTCGAAGACCTTCTAAGCCATTTCAAAAAGTTATTGACGTAAATGTGGACGTATGCCAGTTTGCCAAGGGAATTCACGGACACAGATTCATGACGATCGTCATCAAAGCCTTTGGCAAGCAGGCATCCAATCTTAAGTGTCCCCATCCCAAGGTAATTATCCTTGTATCCCAAAAGCATTTTCATATATTTTTTCCAGGGCGTTTACTCGTATCCCAGCATTAACATTGCCGAAAATTTACCCGCCTTCTTGCCGGAGACCGATTTCAAAATCGAAATGAATTTTCTAACCGCTGAAACGCATGTGATTAACACCACTCTGACTGGATTCCTGTACGACCCACTCAAAAAGAAGCTAAAAACGATTTAATTGTCGAAAGCGAAATAAAATGTGTGTATTTAATACACGGCTACCAGATGGAATTCAAGGATTAAACCGAGATGGAAAGAGATTAGGATTAAATTTGGAGCGCTTAAGAATTAATCAAACTGTTTATGGCCAGGCCACTTGTCACCCCGCCGGTACGTGATCTTTATGTCAAGTTCCGTTGACGATTGCCTCAAAATCGCCACTAGAGCGTTATTTACGAGTCAAGCTCAAGATTGGCCGCATCGACAAGCATTTCATTTCACAACCGACACGGCGGCAGCAGCCTGAATATTTATGGCCAGCAGCGGGGTTCTGTTAGCTGTTTTTGCTGTCTTTTGGCTCTCAGCGAATCCAAATACGAACGGAACGGAACCGAAATGTCAAATGTTGTTCATAAGAACGGCAGCAGCTCGCCGGCAAATGCTAAGAATGTAAGGGTGAAATCGCTTGACATTTGCAGATGCTGCAATTTCCCTGCGCCAGCGGCAACAGGTCAGTGTGTGAGTGGGGCAAAGTTGCCAGTGGCTGTGGGATGGTGGATCCGTGGCTCGGTGGATCTGCGATGGTGGTGGTGCACTCGAAAGCTAACCTTGCCCAGCTTTCGTTTTTATTTTATTTTCCATTTCGAACGTGCGTGGAGCTGCATCCCAAAAAGTTGCACAACCTGCCATGAATCACCAGCAACACCAACAGCAGCAACAGCAACATCACCAGCAGCAGCAACATCAGCAGCAGCAGCAACATTGGCAATCTGAGGCTTGGCGGGCGTTCGTTTGACTTGCCGCTGTGGGTGCGGAAGACGAAGACGAAGACCTGGCCAAAACATGATGGCCCAGCAGAGGGAGGAGAGCTCGTTTGTCGCAATAGGCGTTGGAGTTTGGCAGCTTTTTCGCCGGCTCTTTGGCGGTTGTTCAACCCGCTGCATTGTCTCTGGCCTGTTGTTCCTACTCTCTGATTGAATTTGTCGTTTGTCGTTTTACATCTTTACATTTGCCAACGGCTGATTTGTGTAGTGTGTTCTCTTTGGCCCAAAACGCGTTGCAGATTAACCCAATTGTTTGGCAACTAATTAACATTTGCCAAGACACGGGCTCGCTTTGAACTCAATTATCGTCTTGCCTCATCTGTTACAACAACAATTTGCGCTTCGCTGGTGCGCTGGTGTTGGTGTTGGTATTGGGTCCGCCAAACTGCCGCAATTACAAGAATGCGAATCCGAATCTCGGTCCGAGTGTGAATCTGAAAATGAATCCGAAAACGAAGCTGCGAGGGAGCAGCTCTTCGGATGCACTTCTCAGATGCACTTCTGCCGAGCCAAAGAGAGAGAGAGAGAGAGCCAAAACGAAGCGAACCGAGTGGAGCTGGCACTTTTGGCCAAGTCAACAACGAAAGCAAAAAACTAGTTCTGGCCTGTTTCTAAATAACGGCATTGCGAAGATGAACGACCGGACGCGCTGGCGGAGGACGGACGTTTCGCAGACATTTGAGCCGGGCCTACGAGCGGGCCAAATACGAACAGCGACAATAAGCCGGGCTAAGGTGGCTCCTACTGGGGTTTGGGCTGAATCAATAACTCTGCACAAAAATGATAATATGAAATTAAAAATTAATTTTTAGAAGTTAAACACATCTTTGGTTTAAGATAAGTAGGTAAAAACAAAAGACTTAGGCAACGAACTTGATGCTTCTGTAAATTAAGTCAAACTTAACTCCCACCTTTCTATAACAACTTACAAAATTTGAATATATTTATTATTTTATTCCCACTGACTTCCTTTCACCTAAGACTCTGGGACAACCTCAAACGAGAGCGACAGTGAATTTTTTTTTTTTCTATTTTAGCATTTAAGCGTCGACGAGCCTACAAACAACAATTACCGATCGGTTGTCTGATCCAAGCAGAAACAACAAAAACCCGAGCTACTATGGCGAATTCCACTTCCATCCCCATCTTCACCTGCGAATGCATCTCCATCTGCATCTCCATCAACAGCTCCATCCGAATCCGAATCCGAAACAGAAACTGCGACTGCAACTGCAACGGCACGCTCTCCCATGAATCCGCGGCTCACCTGTGTGTGGGTATGGGTTTTGGACACGAGTGCAGCAGTGCAGCAGCAGGAGGATCGGTTCGGGTCGGAGCAAATCGCATATATAAGGCCTAAATAGGGCCGCGCTTGGCACAGTGTCTAACGGAGCTGCTTTCACTAGCCAGTGCGATCAGTGCCAGCCAAACGGGCGACAAGCGGGCCAAAACAGTGCAATTTGTGCAATTAGTGGAATACAGTGGATAAGCGGCAGAAACTCCTTGCAAAATGAAAGTGCTCGTAAGTGAATTAAATAACCCCAGATTCTTACCCTGTCGGATTTGGTTAATTGGTGAAGTGAATCAAGAATAATTCTTAAGGGTACCAAAATATTGAACAAAGTAGTGAAACGATTGGAGTTTTTTAAGCATATTTTTGAAAAAGGATAATCGCTTGCACAATAAATTATAACTATTTATTTCCTCTATAAGAAGAAACAGTTTCTGTTGTCCAATCTATTTGTTGAAATAAAACATTTCCTGAAATGTAATATTGTTGCAATTTGATTCACTTTTTTAAAGGAATTAAACATTTTTTTTATCGATACATTATGCACATAATTTCAATGCCTTTTGCAGATACTCCTCGTACTTTTGGTTATATCCTGCCAAGGACAACACCACCATCAGCACCAGAACGTGAACAACATTCCGCGGGATGACAAGCCAGATCATCATCGCCACGAGGACCATCGGGAGACCAGCACCTGGATTCCCATAATCAAGTACAACAAGGAGCAGAGCGACGACGGCAGCTACAAGACGGAGTACGAGACGGGAAACAGCATCGTCCACGAGGAAACCGGCTTCCTCAAGGACTTCGATACGAATCCGAACGGAGTGTTGGTGCAGCATGGCCAGTACTCCTACCAATCGCCGGAGGGAACTCTGGTGAATGTGCAGTACACGGCCGACGAGAATGGCTTCCGCGCCACCGGGGATCACATTCCCACGCCGCCGGCGATTCCCGAGGAGATCCAGAAGGGACTTGACCAGATCTACGCCGGTATCAAGTTGCAGCAGGAGCGGCTGGAGCAGCGGGCCAAAACAGATCCGGACTTTGCCAGGAAGCTGGAGGAGCGACGGGTGGCCAACCAGAATGGCCAGTACATTGGCCTGCTGGAGAACCAGTAGACCAGTTCTCCCATCTCTTATTCCACTGGGAACCCCATCCACCGAACCGACGATCCTGGAAACGTGTCTCCTTCGCATTCTACATCAACATCAACAAGACTGTGATTTCACTCTGCAAGTTCTTCTTCCAAATCGCTGTACCACCACTCCGATTGATATACTTTGATAACTTTTAATTTCCAACTAAGTTCCATAAACAAACACACACACACACAGGTGCACATACACACACACACACTCACACTCACAGGGGCGCTCAATCAAAGTAATAATATTTTATTAACGAGTGTGAAAGTTTCGCCGCTTTGAAACAATAAAAGAAAAACTAACGTTTCCATTATGCCGAACCAGCGACTCGATGATGGATTTACCATATATTTTCTACTTTTTTCCGTTTAACAGCTGACCATATCCACGATGTTCAGACAGACGTGACAAAGCGTTTATGGGTCCTCATTATTTCCACGTAGTGTTTCCCCATTTACCGTGCATCTCTCGTTGCTTTATTGTTTACTTCGCAGATCGAATTACCCCATCGTACGTACGTACGTCAGTTTGTTGATCCCATTCCATGCCATGCAGGTTGGGTTTTTCCAATTTTCCATATTTCTACATCGCGCCGCCATGGAAATTTTCTTTCGAGAGCCTCCTCGACTGGTTGTCGAGGTTGCATAATTACGTCAGATTTGCCAGTGCCATTCGACTGGTCTCGAGGAAGCGGGAATCTGTGTCTATGTGGGAAGCGGAGGAGGCTGCCTTGCCAGCCGGTTGAAGTGGTCCGTGAATGGGTTACTGGCGTAGCCTCGATTCCCGCCGAGACACCTCTTCGTTCTGCCAATTATTCCATGGGTTACCGTTCGCTCTTTTGTGAAAAGAAGCCCTTAGCTACGTAAACACGTAAATATAGAAACCGAAAAACACTGTCATCAAGCCGAAAGAACAAACAACCGAGACAACCTTTTGGGCCACAAAACGGCAAACGATTTGGCAACTTATTTGCATAAAACGTAAACACACAGATACTATACTATGTTAGGTGGTCTAGTCTGGCGAAGAGATAAATCAATTCCGCTGCATTTTCACCACCGCAGAAACAGGGCCCAAAAGCGGGGCCCCGAAGAATGTTTATTCGCCATTAAGTTTCAACGCTCTTGCGCATAATTAAGACGAAAAAGCCATATACCATAATACGCCAAGCCGAACAAAGGAAAATTTTCTATGGCCCGTGATTAGAAAGAATCTTTCTTGTGGGCCTGCGCGGCCGCTGGAATTGATTTGGCCAAGTCAGTTGCCGTTTAGAAGCCGTCGCGTGCAGACCACAAATCGCCAACAGCCGGGAAACATTGCGAAGAGACCCAGGGAAAAGTAATACCCAGCAGTGGTTCCCCCAGATCTTTAAAAGCTCAAAATCGAACTCGCGGGAGCGTTAAACCGAAAAGTGTGCGGGGAGTGAAGGGAAATGGGGAACTGAAGAGGTGGACCGTCAGAAAAGTGAAGATGTGAAGAGTCATAGTTATAGATGGAGAAAACAACAACAAGTGCTTGCGAATATTGAATTGACATCGGAGCTCCGTTAAAGCAAAAAAAAGCAGAAGCCAAAAAACAAACAAACAAAAGATTGTTACTGTGGTCGTTTGAAAACGAGAATGAATCAATAAACCTTAAAAACTAACTGTAAACTTCAAAAGTGGCACAGCATCGGCCAAACAAAGAGTAGCGAACCAAAGTAGAGGAAGATTTGTAGCATAATTTGAATATGGTTAGTCATTGGAAAGAGTGCCTACTGTGGCTGCTGATGGCAATCAGTGGTGGTTCCCAGCTAATTGCTGCCCAGCAACTGCAGGGTCCTCCGCGTCCCCGGGGGCGTATACGTATTGCGGATATGCAAATTCCAGCTTCTGCCGCTGGAGCAAATGCACCTGCCCTGGGAAACTGGCCCGGTCTGTCGGCTGCAGGTCCCATCAGCTCCACTGTGCACATCCACATTCCACTGCTGCGCGAGGAGAGCGTGCCCCTGGCTGCCACGCCCAGTCAGGAGGCGGTGGTGTACGGCAACTGGAAGCCGGAGCATCCGGAGAAGCCCGAGGATTCGGAGACGGAATCGGAGTCGAGTCAACAGCCCAGGGAACGGGTCTACGGACGACTGGAGGCCATGCTCATGGGAATGCCAGCGGATGGTAAGGTTTCAGATTCCTACTTTAAGTTGTTTATATCTTTTAATGCTCTCTAGAACATTTCCAATTTATTGAATACCACGACCATGGATAAATACAGAAATTTTATAATAAAAGTTTCTTACAAAAATCACAATTTAATTTTTGCACCGATTTAATACCAAATGTTTTAACTATGCAATCTATAATTTGTTAATTTATTTATGGGAGACTATTTTAAACAATAGGACATCTTCTCAGTTCTTTAAGTACTCTGTATCAAAAATACTTTTCCTTTCCAGGAGTTGACGCAAAGCCATCGACTTCCAGTGAAGAAGAAATCATTCCAATAGCACCCGGTGGCTACCAGAACCCCACATATTCCCGGCCAGCCAGCTTCGAGAGATCGCCGGAAAAGCATGGGCGTAGGAGGATCACCAGCCAGCAGGCACCGCAGCAATTCGAGGTGGTCAGGGTTAACGATTCGGATCCAATACTTAAGGCCATGGCCAAGCAGATAAATGAGTCTGTGGAAACGACAACGACGAATGCCCGAAGGAGCTCCCAGCACTCCGGCGACGACAGTTGGATGCCGCTGCCCTATCCATATCCTTACGACACCACAATGCCAGCTCCACCTGCGACAAGCTCAGCACTTCCTGGGTTCATGCAATCCTCGGTGGTTCATCCACCGGCACCCACGCAGGCCACTCGATCCACCGAGGGTCTCCTCAACTGGCCAACTGATTTCATCGACAGTACCTCGAATACAGCGAGCACTGAGCGGATGGAAGAGCACCTCCAGGCGAACATAGACAGGAGAGATGAGAGCATCTCCGATCCTGCGGATGAGTACAAGTACTACGAGGACTCGCTGAACTCCGCCCAGATGCACAGCGAACTGAGTGTTCCAGAGACGATGCCCCTGAACATAACCCGGGTGGGCATTCCCTACGAGGATCGCAACGCCTTGGAGGAGCCGACCATATGTGTGCCACTCACCGTTTCGGAGACCTCCCTCTCCTCGGACAGCATTGTGCCCCAAGTGGTGGAGGTGGAGAGGGTCTACTGCTTCCCGTTACCCAAAGTAGAGGTGCGACCGGGTCACGTGCGTCCGCAGGTGGAGCAGGTGACCAGGGAGCAGGAGATGTCCGAAACCGAGATGCAGCCAACGGAGTCACTAATGCCCACTGATTCCACGGCGGGCTCATCTCGAAGATCACTTGGCGTCCTTACGCTGTTCCTTCTCATTGGTTGGAGTTTCCGGACGGGAATCGCTATCTAGACTTAGGATCGCTTGAGATCATCTTAACACAACACTCAGGGCTCTTCGATAACTTCGATTATAAAAACATTAAAGCTAAGTTAAAATGTACAAACTAAATAAGCTTGTTTAATTTTATGTTGTTGGTAAAGGACAAGTAAGTACGTTACAATCGTTGCTTAAAATAGTATTTGTAAAATATAATAATTAAATACCTTATTTCTTCAGAAATTATCCCTAATCAAACAACACAAATAACTGATTATAAAATACGTCACTCTTTGTTTTTCAAACAAAACGGATTACGATTCAATTGTTGTCACCTCGTTTTGATTAGATATTTCATTCATAAGAATTGGCTGTTTACTATATTATGCGTTGATTAGATTAGGCCAGTATCAAAGTTGTGACTTTGTGGCTGACTTTTTGGCAACAAACAGATCGCGTGATGCTTTGCGTAATTCCATTCGAATTACTCGGCAGTTTCTCTGTGAACTGGACTCCGGAGTAGAGCTGTTTCTCCTTCCCGGGCAGATGCTTGGCCACATAGTCCACAATATCCTGTTCAGTTACTTCGCTTCCTGCAGCTTGAGCGTCTCCTCCGGATTTCCGTAGTAACCATTCCAGGGCAGACCCGTGTGCACATAGATTTCTCCGGTCTGGTTGTAGGTCAGGTTCTTGCCCTCCTCATCCACAATACGCACCCGAACTCCTGGCAAAGGCCTACCCACCGAGGCCAGGTTTTCGATCCCTGCATTCCCTGTTGCGACCCCCAACTCGGTCATTCCGTACCCACTGGTTATGATCGCTCCCTTGCAGATGTCCTGGACCTTCCTCAGGGTGGCCATGGATGCCCAACCGCCGGTGTAATGAATGTTCAGAATGGAGGCCAGGGCCTCCGGGGTTGCATCTGGACAACTGGCCAAGGCGGAAAGATATCTGGGTGGCAGTACGGCCACGTGGATCTTGTACTTCTCCACCAATTGCACAAAATACTCCGGGGTAAAGGGTTTGTTGGTAATGATGCGAGTGGTGCCCAAAACAGTGTTGAAAATAAAGCCATACAGACCGGTTAACCAATCCAGGCAACTGGGCGAATAGAATACCATTTCACTGCTGCCCACCCTGAAAGTTTTAAATATGAATATTTCAATCTCAGTTTGAGTTAGAATTTCTACGCACATGGTGTCACTTATGAGGCTATTGTTCGAAAGACAAACAGCCTTGGGCAAACCAGTTGTGCCCGATGAGCAAAGAATGGCGACGGTTTGTCCACCTCCTTCCTTCAGGGGTTCTGGCCTAAATGGATTTTGTGTTAGCTACAAAACATTATAATTGAGGGTCAAAGAACTATACTGACTTGTAAATCCTTTCGGTAGCTGTGGGTTCTAAAAGTGTTTCAATGCTTGGAACTCCTTCAACGTGATCGGTAAGTGTAAAGATCTCCGGGGACCAACTACTAGTCGCTGCTTGAATCTTCTTAATATCGATGCCATCGCAGAATATGACGGTTGGTTTGGTGATAGAGAACACGTGGGATGTAGTGGCTTCATTGGGTTGGATTTACACATTGACCTAGATATTATAATTTTTTTTAGCAATACAAACCTTAATCAAGTAAAGTGCTAAGGGAATGGAATGGCGTTCCGTTCAGGAGACAAGCCACTCCCAAGGGCATGGCATATGTGGAGTTTTGGATAGCGATTCCAATTACGTCCTTGTGACCCAGCCCACGCTTTTTAAAAAACTGAGCAATCCGAATGGCCCAAGTAATCGCCTGCTCAAAGGTGACCTTCGAGCCATCAATATCGTTTATCTAGATGTGCTCAATTAAATCTGTTGAATGCCTTGAATAGATTCCTTTAAATAGAACTTACCTGGCACACATTCTTCGGCCAAGTTTTCATGGTATTAAATATTATTTTACCAACAGCTGTGTCATCGTGGTAAGTCGATGTCCTTTGGACCCCACTCCATATCCTTTCCTGCTCGTTATATGTCGCGGATGATTCGGCCATATTTAATAATGCTCCACGAACCTGGTATCAATCACAAACTTTGAACGACTGAGCTGCTTAGATGAAGAAACCAGTATTTATAGAAGGCCAAAATAGCAAATCATTCTGTAGTTCTTGTCAAAAGTTAACCTCTGTACTAGCTTATCAAAAAGGGTCCAAGGTTTAGGAAATCAACTTTTTATTATTAACACTTATGTTTGAACCATATTGGAGCTTTTATTCACCTTTTAAAATGTTTAAGTGTAATATTTTCCGCATAAGTGATTAAAATATTTAAGAAAGCATATTTAGAGCCTATTCCAGATCAATTTTTCTTACTTGTGTTTTTGAAAAAATGCATCATTCACTCTTACTCAGCAACATATCGTATCTAATCGAGACTAACGACAGACAAATTCGAAGCAAACAAATTGATTGGCCTTCAATATAAAGGCGGTTATCCTTATCATCTTTTATTTTCGTCGTCGGCAAATGTTTTGCCCCCCCACATTCACAGCCATGATAACATGTTGGTAAGAAATAAACAAATGGAAATTGCTTTGCCTCAATTTATTCAAAGAAGCTAATCTCTTATCAGACTAAACAAGGTTGTCAAGAACCGGCAGGCTTATAAATAAATAACAACTAGTTTATTTTATTGGAACCAAACTTCGTATAACATACAATACAATTTCTTATCATGTTGTCATGTTAATCATGTTAAGTTATTTCGATTAGCAAAACCGCAAAATAGAACGAAAAACGTGACATAGATTACTAGTTATAAAAATTATATCAGAATAATTGTTTCTGTCATGTTTGCATTTTATTTTCCATTTATTTATAGGCAAGGCTGGATTCTTCTTAGAGGGCAGTGATTGTTTTATTAATATATATAAATTCTTTGATAAATGAAATAACTTAATACATTAATTCTTAGAAAATCATCAATTTTTAGCAGCCTTTTTCGCAACAAATTCCTCTCGGGCCGCCTTGCGTAAAATCTTTCCGTTGGGATTGGTGGGCAGTTTGTCCGTAAACTGAACGCCTGCGTGGAGCTGTTTTTCAATTGCTGGCAGCCTCTTAGCCACATGATCAGCGATTTCCTTGGCGGTTATCGCTGTACCATTTTGTCTGACCACCAGTGCACCTGCGGCATCTCCATGTTGCTCGTTGAAGATGCTGATGACACTCACCTCCTTCACCTGAGGCAGTTCCGCTATAACGCCTTCGATTTCGGTGGGCCAGTAGTGGTTGCTCTGGTACTTGAGGATCTCCTTTTTGCGGTCCACCACAAAGAGCTGGTTTTGCTCATCGAAGTAGCCCAGATCGCCGGTGTGGATCCATCCTTGGTTGTCCAGCGTGCGTTGGGTCTCCACTGGGTTGCCATAGTATCCTTTCCAGGGAAGTCCCATGTTTGCGTAGATCTCACCCACCTCGTTGTGACCCAGATTTTTGCCATCGTCGTCTACGATGCGAATCTTCACACCTGGTGGAGGTTTTCCTACGGTGTTTACCTTGCCCAGTCCCAAATTGTAGGTGATTCCTCCCGCCTCAGTCATCCCGTAGCCTGAGGCCAGTATCGCACTTGGGCAGAGCTCCTGCATTTTATTAAGAGTTGGCAGTGATATAAATCCACCTCCGTAGGTCATAAAGTGAATGGAGGCCAACGCTTCCTTCGTGGCTCCGGGATAACTGGTCACTGCAGACATATGGCTAGGCGACATTATGGCAAAGTTCACCTTGTATTTCTTAACCACCTGCACAAAGAACTCCGCAGAAAAGGGCTTGTTGGTTATAATGCGGGTGAGGCCCAGCACGGTGCTCAAGAGCAAGGAAGTTAGACCACTGTACCAATCCAGACCACTGGCGGCAAAGAAGACCGTTTCACTGCTCATCGGACTGTCAAAGAAGCAAATAGTTAGGTTCAATTTCTAATAGAATTATTTAGACTTACAAGAAGGCCAACAGAAGACTTCGATTTGCAATGCAGACCGCCTTCGGCATGCCAGTTGTTCCCGATGAGCACAGGATGGCCGCAGTCTGCTCGCCTCCTTCCTTCAAAGGCTCAGGTCTGAATAAAAATTCGGTTTTAGTGGGTTCTAAAAGCGTGTCGATATGTGGGACTCCTTCAACAGGATCAACAACTGTAAAGATTTCCGGTTGCCATGCCTTAGTTGAGGCATGGACCTTTTTGTACTCCTGTCCATCGCAGAATATCACAGATGGTTTGGTAATCGAAAAAATATGTGTCATGGTAGCTGAAATATATTTTTGAATACACGTTAACATTTTTCACTGTTTGATAACTTTAAACTTACCTTCATCGGCGACCGGATTTACTGCGTGAAAGGGAGTTCCATTCAGCAAACAAGCGACAGCCACTGGCATTACATATGTGGAGTTCCTAGCCGCAATGCCAATTACATCCGAGTGCTTCAGTGCCTTTTTCTTAAAGATCTGTGCCATTCGAATAGCCCAAGTTATCGCCTGGTCAAAGGTCACTGTCACACCATCCACATCGTTTATCTGTTCTTAATGGTTATCGATGAGAATGAGTGTTGTCATTCTTGGACTAGCGGACTTACCTGACACACGTTTTTTGGCCATGTTTTCATGACGTTGAATATTATCTGGCCCACAGACGTCTCATCGGTGTACATTTCCACCCGCTTGCCTCCGCTCCAGATTCGATCCTTAGGAACGTAAGTTGTTGGATTGCGCAACATTCTTTAAGTTTCACGACGATCCTTCGCAACCGGAATCAACAGAACAACTGCCGGTTTGCTCCAAGGGGAAGTGCTTTTATAGTGAGCCAGAACATCCAGAAATCTGCAAGCTATGGATGACCTGCACCAACTGCTCAACGGCTTATTTACTACTTATCTTATCGGACAAAATTTTTAAACTATCTGCAGGGACGTCTGTACTCAGCGCTGAGCTGCTGCCAAACATTTTATCTAAAAAGCTGGTAGAAAGTGTTAAGAACTCTATAAAACTTATCAAACCGTTCCATAAACTATAAGCCATAAATATTTTGAGGGCTTTACAATAATAATAAATTGAAAACTATATTTAAAATAAAGTTATTGACAAATAATTATCGTGACAAAGCTATTTCTATCTTATCTTTTTCATTAAATTCCAAACGACAATATACACAGTCATGAATGGTATTAATCGTACGATTTTTATGGACCTTTATTACAAGCCGTATAACCATAAAGCACCCATAAAATGTTAAATTGACTTTTAGCAATTTACTATCTAAGAATCGCAGGAACTCCGATAAGACAAACGCCTAATAAACTTAAAGACCTAATGGTCACGTTTTGACCAAATCAATGAATCATATTTAAAAGACCCCCGTCACAACTTGTTGGGAACCACTTCCAATCCCGCCCCCACGAAAATGCAAAAGGGATTAATTGCTTTCGCAGGTACATTACATTTATTGGGATCCAAAGGTCACCTCGCTATCGACAGACCCTCCTCGATCAGGGCACTTGAGCCACGATTCTGAATCGCTTCAAGTATCTCCCGGCACTTGTGATTAAAACTATACTCGACCGTAGTGCCGATCGTTCAGATCTCACTTTCCCGTTCCGCTCTTGGCGACGAACACGTCGCGTGCCGCCTTTCGCATGGTCTTGCCATTGACATTGGCCGGCATTTTGTCGGTGAACTGGACTCCGGCTCGCAGCTGCTTCTGTACGGCAGGCAGCCGCTTGGCCACATGGTCGGCGATCTCCTTTGCAGAAATGGAAGCGCCCTTGCTCCTGACCACCAGTGCCCCGGCCGCATCGCCCTCCCGCTCGTCGTAGATGCCCACCACGCACACATCCTGCACCTGGGACAGCTCCGTGATAACGCTCTCGATCTCGGTGGGCCAGTAGTGGAGGCCCTGGTACTTGAGGATCTCCTTCTTGCGGTCCACTATGTACAGGAAGTTCTGCTCGTCGAAGTAGCCGAGGTCGCCGGTGTGGAACCAGCCCTCGAAGTCCTGCATACGTCGCGTCTCCACGGGATTGCCAAAGTACCCGTTCCACGCCTGACCCGTGTGCACATAGATCTCGCCAACTTGGTTGTAGCCCAGGTTCTTGCCATCCTCGTCCACTATGCGAATCCTTACGCCCGGCAAGGGTCTGCCCGCCGAGGAGACGTTGCTGATTCCAATATTGATGGTGATGACACCAACCTCTGTCATTCCGTAGCCCGAATTAAACATTGCTGTCTTGCAGATCTCTTGAGACCGCTGCAAGGTGGCCAAGGAAACCGATCCTCCGCCGTAGTTGAGGTGCGTAATGGGAGACAGGGCCTCCTGTGTGGCATCCGGACAAGTGATCAGTGCGGATAGATATCGAGGTGGCAGTACGGCGTAGTTAATCTTGTACTTCTTCACCAGGCCCACAAAGTACTCGGGGGTGAAGGTCTTGTTCGTAATAATACGGGTGCATCCGAACACGGTGCTGAAGACGAAGGCCCACAAACCCGTAATCCAGTCCAGGCAACTTCCTACGTAGATAACCGATTGACTCGTGACCAACCTGAAGTGGTTTAATGGAATATTAGGTTATCAGGTTTATAGAAAATATAAACACTTACATGCTTTCCTGTATCAGAATGCTGTTAGAAATGCAGACAGCCTTGGGCAGACCAGTGGTTCCGGAGGAGCACAGGATGGCCACGGTTTGGTCTCCGCCCTCCTTCAAAATTTCTGGCCTGGTCATCATGATTAGCTTATAAACTTGAGAGCTGCAAGGATTTATTACTTACTGGTAAAACCTTTCTGTGGTGGTCGGATCTAGCAGGGTCTCAATGCTCTGGACTCCCTCAACGTGATCGGTGAGGGTGAAGATTTCTGGATGCCAACCAACGGTTGCCCTATGAATTTTTTCGTATTCGTGCCCGTCGCAAAATATCAGCGTTGGCTTGGTAATCGAGAACACGTGAGTTAAAGTGGCTGAAAAAATTGGTAAGTTTTGTTGTTCCTTATCGCTCAATCCCTTAAAGACTATACTGACCATCATCTAGCATCGGGTTGACCGAATGGAAGGGAGTGCCATTCATAAGACATGCCACTCCCAGGGGCATTACATAAGTTGAGTTTTTGGCTGCAATGCCAATAACATCCTTGTGGTTGAGACCTCTTTTCTTCAGGTACTGGGCTATCCGAATGGCCCAGGTTAAGCCCTGCTCGAAGGTGACTGTTACCCCATCAACATCACATATCTGAAGAGAGTATATAAATTAAGATAAAAAACTATAAACGACTTTTTTTGTCGGCTAACTCACCTGGCAGACGTTCTTCGGCCAGTTTTTCATGTTGTTGAAAATTATTTTTCCCACCGAGGTGTCATAGTTGTACATGGAGTCGCGCTTGGCTCCGCTCCAGACATTATCCTTTTCGTTGTAGGTGGTGGGTATCATAGCCATCTCGATGAGGTTTTCTCGTAGAACTTATTCGCGGCCAGTAAATGCAGTGGACTGTGGTGTCCGCGGGTGAGTGCAGTTCCATTTATAAGGAGCCCGAGCATTGGGAGTCCAGTCTCGAAAGATACTTGAAGTGGATCTACTGCAAGTGGCTTACACCTGTACCACCTTATCTTTTGCCTGCAGAAGATAGTGCCCCAGTAGATTTCTGTCTTGGCCATGACTATTTTATACCCTGCTCCAAAGTCTTGAGGCAACCGATGTCTTTAATCTAAGTACATTAATCCGCTGTGTTGTTTTGAAAGTCCACGGAAATGTCCAGTAGGCTAACACCACCTTTCAGACTGAAATTCCCATTAATACCGCATACTAAGGCCACTCAACTGCATTTACAGGGAATTACGGTATGCTTAAAAGTGGGGTAAATATGTAAGTGGTTTTCAGAAAGGTACCTATATCTAATCTTCCTCATTCAATGCTAAATCGAATCAAAAGAAAATCCCAAGTCCCCACTGACAAACAGGCTTAAGTACCGCTATAAATAGGGAAAATTGCTCAGCTATAACACCTGACTATCTCTGATCCAAATCACGCAAACTGCACAATTGTCCAGGAAGTGGCACAGCAGTGAGATTATTGTTCGTTTTATAAGTCATGGGATTTAAACGCAATCAAAACACAATCATAAGATTTATGGCTTTATTAATTTTTCTCTACTTTGCTAGCCAACAAGTTCCGGTAGGTGTTTAATATTTTAGTTTTTACCAGATTCATTTTATGTTAAAATTGTCGGAACCCTCTCCTGGATAAAGTTCGTGGTGACTCTTAATCATTAAAGATGTACTTCCTTTTCTTTTGTAAATTGAAATTTTAAATTTATAAACGCTTTTGCGCCTTAAAAGTCTGGCAGCTTTATTAGCCATCCGGCAACATTACGAACAGCTGTCAAATCAGCTGTTGTAGATAGCAGCCCTGGCCTTAAAAATTTCACGGCCAACAGCCGAAATTCGCGGTCAGAAACGCGGAAATCTCTAGTTTTATGTAATGTTTAGTTGACGAGGAAATATCCGATTTGCGCGCTAATTGTCCTACTCTGCAATGTTTAACTATCGCCTCGGGGTTGTGGTCCGCTGCGCGCGGCAGAAGCCGCTGTTGTTATGGGCGCCCGTCTGCCACCAAAGTTCTCTCAGCCCGTTGAAGGAATACGAACAGCGTGTCAGTTCTGGCCAAATGAAGAAAGATGACAGGCAGTTTCAAACGATGAAGGAGCTAGATGCACTGTACCACAAAATTCAGAGGTATAAGCCCAGCTACAAGGAGGGAGGTAGGGGCGGTGGCTTCTTTAGCTCCCTCTTCGGCCGCAAGTCATCCGGGGATGAAGATCAGGATGATCCCAACGCTGGCAGCCACGCCCCTCAGGGGCTGTACCTTTACGGTAGCGTGGGAGTGGGCAAAACTACACTGATGGACTTGTTCTTTGACTGCTGCACTAAGGTATACATTAAATTATCTTTCACGACCGATTTTACCACTAGCTGGTCTTTCAGATCAATCGCAAGCAACGCGTCCACTTCACTTCGTTTATGAACAGCGTGCACACCCGCATTCACGAGGCCAAGCAGAGACAGGGTCCTGTTGACCGGGCCTTCAACTCGGAGAAGCCTGAGCCCTTCGATCCGACTAAACCAGTTGCTGACTTGATTGCTAGGGAGTCCTGGCTTATATGCTTTGACGAGTTCCAGGTGACGGATATAGCCGACGCCATGGTGTTGAAGCGCCTGTTCACTCACCTTTTCCGGCATGGAGTTGTTGTTGTCGCCACGAGCAATCGACATCCCGAGGATCTGTACAAAAATGGCTTGCAGCGAACAAACTTTCTGCCCTTTATTGCGCTTCTTCAGAAGCGTTGCAGAGTGTCCCAATTAGATTCCATTGACTATCGACGAATTGCTCAGTCTGGAGACACCAACTACTTCGTCAAAGGCCAAACGGATGCAGATGGGAGCATGAATCGCATGTTTAAAATCCTTTGCGCTGAAGAGAACGATATTATCCGACCGCGAACCTTGACTCATTTTGGTAGGGACTTAACATTCAACCGCACATGCGGCCAAGTGTTAGACAGCACCTTTGCGGATCTGTGTGATCGCGTAAGCATATTATTTATCATTTCTAACGGTTACTAAAAGTATATACCCGAAATAGGCTTTGGCTGGCAGCGATTACCTGCAGATTTCGCAGTTCTTTCACACCGTCCTTATAAGAGATGTGCCACAACTTACCCTGGACTTGAAGGCACAGATGAGACGCTTCATAACGCTAATAGACACCCTGTACAATAATCGAGTGCGCGTCGTCATCTCCGCCGACGTCCCGCTAGAAAGTTTATTCAGTTTTTCTGGAGGATCCAAAACTCTTTCAGATTCCGAAAGAACTTTGATGGATGACTTGAAAATAGTGAGTGCTAATCGATGGTGCTAATTTGAATGCGATAAAAACATTTTTTTTCTTGACAGAACGAATCCAAAGCTAGTTTTTTCACTGGTGAAGAGGAGCTCTTCGCCTTCGATCGCACCCTTTCACGACTCTACGAAATGCAGAAGCGGGAGTACTGGGAGCAGTGGGCCAAACATCGATAAAAACCCCATAAAGCAAAGCAGGAGTTCAATTAGCGCAAAAAATTCCCCGTATCACAAAGCAGTAGTTCAATTAGTGCAATTAAATTATTTGTTTTCTACCTCGACGTCGTGGTATTTTACTGACAAAATAACCCTTAAAAATTTAATTTTTCATGAACTTGCAATAAGTGCCTTTGGCAAGTATTAAAGCAATAAAAAAAATGTACATAAAGTTATCTAGGCATTTGTTATTTATTACTCAACCATTTGGCATTTGTATTTGGAAGCTCGAGCTTCGGAGTATATACTAGTTTGTTTGTCACTGGTGATCTTGTAACGGTTTCGGACTCTTAAATTATCAGTTAATTTGCGCGATCTGGCAACGCCACAATCAGCTGCTCATAAATAAAATTGATAAGATTGCTCTTCCCATTTCTTTCGGTTGAGGTTCCGGAGAAGATTAGAGGTCAAGAGCGATTGGATCTAAATTTTGGAGTTTATTTTCAAGTGAACAATAATCAGCAGCATGGATGTAAAGGAATTGGAAGTAAACAAAACCCTACCCTTTGGTGAGACATTAAATATAAAGAAAGATAGTAAATAAGAAATATTTGTATACTTAAAGACCCCTCCCTACTGACGGTCAACATCTCGCTGCGTCAGATTGAGGAGATCGCCATGACGGTGTCCCAGCGATGCCATGTAACCGGGGCTAACGAGATCGCCTGGGCACTGAGAGCTCTAATGCTCACAGATCTGACCACCCTGGCAGGAGATGATACGGCGGCAAACGTCCGAAGGCTGTGTCTTCGCGCCTGCTATCCCTTTGAGCCCCAGTTCTTTGACAAGTTCTTTGACCGGGCTCTCATCTCGGAGATGCACACGGCAGCCGTTTGCGTTTATCCCGCACGGGTGAAGGACGCTTACCAAACGCTCCAGCAGTACGACAAACTGGATCAGGTGGCCATTGCAGCGGTGGCCACTGGCTTTCCCACGGGCCAGTACGGCTTGCAGACTCGTCTGCAGGAAATCAGCCACGCTATTCTGGCCGGCGCCACCGAAATCGACATTGTAATCAACCGCCAGTTGGCTCTGGTCGGCGACTGGGAAGCTCTCTACAACGAAGTCGTGCTTATGCGCAGTGCCTGTGGACAGAGGGCCCATCTGAAGACTATTCTAGCTATCGGTGAACTGGGCACCATGGAGAATGTATGATATAGTTTCTTGATCCTATTTAAATTATCATATATTAATAACCTCTTTTTAGGTCTACAAAGCCGCCATGGTTTGTATGCTGGCTGGAGCGGATTTCATCAAGACCTCCACAGGAAAAGAGACCATAAACGCCACCCTTCCTGTTGGCCTCGTTATGATTTTCGCAATTCAGGAGTTTAAGCGTCGCACTTGCCAGATTGTCGGCTTAAAGCCAGCTGGAGGAGTAAAGACAGTTCGAGATGCCATCGCCTGGATGACGCTAGTAAATGAAACATTAGGTATCCGTTGGCTACGCCCTGAGAGGTTCCGATTCGGAGCTTCCGGATTGCTTGACGATATTGAACGCGTGGTGCGCGAGGGCGTTAAAAAACTGGAGGAGGAGGAGGCCCTAAAAAATCAGCCTATTTCTCGCGAGGCTGCTGCCGCCGAAACTTTCTGCAAGGAACTGCGCAAGAAGAAAGAGGCCCAGTAACTGGCGCTTTGTTTTAGCCTTTACTCACACAGAGTGCATTTATTGTAACATTTTTATACAACTGACTAAAACCTATAAACAAAAACCCCTCTATGTCCGACACTCTACTGGGCGGGCGATTTGAAGTTGAAAGCTACCTGCGCCGGGGCCGCCATTAGATCCTCCTCCGCCTGCTCCTCGCCGTGCTGAAGCAGCTCTCCAGGCGAGACCGACTCCTTGTGCGGCTGATTATCCGGCATTTTCACTTGCATGTCCACCGCAAAGAATGAGTCATCAAAGTTGATCCGATTGCGCTCATCCTGCTCCAAATACATGGCTTTGGGAGCAGTCGCTCCTCCCATGGCTTTTTCGTAGGTGTTTAGCCACTTGAGGTTAAGGTTGATGTGCTTGTTGGCCGCGTTATACTTCTTTGGCTTCTTCTTTGGCTTGTCCGCGTAGTAGTTATGCTCCGACTTCAGCGGCGGAGGAGCAATCTTCTCCATCATTCGACTTTTAGCGTCCAACTTGGGATCAACGTAGTCGAAGAGCGGCAGATAGAAGTTGTAGGGCTGCTCAGTGGGCGGCAGCATTCGCTGCTGCGGCTGCACTTGCTCCTGCACCTGGCTACTTGCCTCCGCCATGGCATCTTCCTCCAATGCTGGTCCAAAGATTTCGCCAGCACGCCGAAGAAGGTTCTCCAAACGCTCTATGGTTATGATGTGCGGATGAATGAGCTGGACATCGTCGTGTAGTTGTGCCCGCCGAGCTGCCGGAGGCTTGGCGACTACACAACAGCAAAATGCGCACAACAGCAGCTGCAAGAAGGGGATAGCTTAGTCCGTTTTGTCCACGGATCAGTAATCACTTAAACTCACAACCAGTAAACCATTCATGTCCAAATCAATTCTGATATTTCTGAACGAATCACTTTCAGCTACTCATAGGCAGTGCTCCAATTAAACCACCTTCACTTTCAGAGATCTCACACAAAGTGAGGCCTCCTTGCAGCTGGCCAATTCATTTATACTTGCGCTCCATGCTCGAAACGGAAGCTCGGAAGTCTCAGCCATCAATGGGCAACAACAAACCAGCCACGGAGCCTGGTTGGCTGGGAGAAAACTAGTTTCCCACACGAGAAATAAATATGTAACGAGACAAACTAGACCTGCTCATGTATGCACACGCCAGAGCGCATAATAATGTTAATGTAACAACGATGCTGATATCGATGCTGGAGTTGAACAAACTGGAACCGCCAGAGACGAACCGTTTGTCACTCATAATGAGTCCGAGCGGATTGCCAACCGCCTGGCCGTCGAAATTGTCCAATTTGAGGCAGTGGCCAGGGAAAAGTCGGGCGCTCCGTGAGCCACGAAGCGCAAGTGCATTGACCCGTACAATTATTTCCGCAGCAATGGGGACGAATGTGTGAACCCGTTTCGATTGTTTCGACTCATTGCCCGTAAAAGTGCAAGTTCAAAGCTGCAGGAAATGCTAAACGACAACATAATGGCAAAAGTGTAACGGCCACAACTTGTTCGTTGACTCGATCATCGAAAATCATCGGGGTGTGTTGTTCAACATCTATGGGATTTATTCAACATTTCATCAATCAGCCCTTTTCGTATCAGGACTGCCGCAGTTCCGGCAATCCTTTAATTATAACATCTAAGGCCTTCAGGTCCTTATTGACGGTCTCGCTCAGCACCTCCATGGCGCGCTGCTGCATGGTCAGGAACGTCTTCATCTCATCCTCGGCCTCTTTATCGATGGCATACTCGGCTCCTCCGTTAGCTGCGAACTGGTTGCGCTGCATGCGCATCTGGGAGAGAAGTTCACTGAGCCGGCCCTTGAACTGGGTGGGAGCGGACACGACGGCCTGCATGTTTTGCAGCTTGGTGCGCATAGCCTCCTCTTCTGGTGTCAGGGAAGTGCCTACCTTGCGGGTGCATTCCTGCTTCACGATGATCTATGGATTAAAAATTTAATTGTTTGAATTAAAGGATAAAATGATCTCAAGAATCAATTCCTACCCTGAGTATGCGATGACCTAGCTCGGCTAATTTCCGCTTGTGCTCTAGAATCTTGGCTGTGGCCGTGGCGTGTCGTTGTCTTAATGTCGTCAGTTCGCCTTCCACTTTCTTCATGTACAGCGCATGCGTGTCCGCTTCCTGTTCCTGACATTTTACGCGCCACTTCAAGTCGTTGAAACCCACCATGGGAACTGGTATAAATTTGCTGGGATCTGGATTGTCCGAGTTGGCCTGGCGCCACATACGCGGATCTACGCCTCTGGGTGGGTTTTCAAGGTATTCCTTCAATTGATCCTCGTCGGGCAACACCAGAGCCAAGGCTTCCACAATTCCGAGATTGTTCAATTGGGTCTTTAGAGATGCCTGATTCAGGTAGTTCGAAAGTTCGGTGGCTAATATCCGCTTGCTTTCGTTCGGCGCATGCTGCAACTTTTCTTCCACATAGATGACAATCTGGCACTTTTTGTTCTCCAGCTCCTTGATAGAGTCAATTTGAACCAGCATGTTGGGTTTGCTGCCAAAAAGGCTGTGAAGGGATTGCACCACTTGCTGCTGGTGCGGCCTACAAAAAAATATATAAATACCATGATTTGGCATAGTGTAAACTTTACTAACTTGACGGCAGAGAGTTCCCTGCAGAAGTTCAGTGCAACTAGCCCCAGTTTGTTATCCTTTCCCGGCATACGACTATAACCAATGGCCTTAAAACGGCACATTAGGTTCTCCGGGGTGATATCCAACGGCGCCGCGCTCTGGGAGTAAAACATTTTTCCGGTGCCCCACGTAGCCTGCAAATAGTTCCATTTTGCTACAGTTTTATCCCGATCATCACCGAAAATGGACACATTAAGAATGGACTGGGCAAACGCCTCGTCTGCCGAAATGGGAGCCGGCTGCTGTTGCGGCTGTCCAAGCATAAAGTTTGTGCCACCGAATCCACCAAAACCGGGAGTGACTGTTGCATTCGCTGGCTTTCCAAAGGCTGAAACATGAACCAGGTTAGGAATGCCACATACAAAAATATTAGTTAATTAAGCTTACTTGATCCGAACGCTCCGCCCCCAAAGCCAGTGGTCTGGTTGGTTCCGAAGCCTCCAAAAGCAGGCGCCGACGTAGTAGTTGCCCCAAAGCCTGCAAATCCACTTGCAGGGGCTGTGCTTGCCGCAGCCGGTTGGCCGAACCCACTGAAAGCCGGTGGCGCTGCACTGGTCGCTGGAGCACCGAACAGACTCGCTTGACTCGTTGCCGGCGCTGCTCCAAATCCACCAAAGCCACCTCCACCAAGTCCCGTTCCCGCTGCTGTAGTTGTCGCAGCTCCAAAGGCTGGAGCACTGCCAAAGGCGGAACCGCCAAAAGCAGGGGTCGATGTGGCAGCTCCAAAAGCCGGAGCAGCTGCCGGGGCGCCAAAAGCCGGAGTAGCAGCGGGAGCTCCAAAGGCAGAACCTGATCCAAAGGCAGATGCAGCGGGTTGGGAACCAAAACCCGGTGTCGAGGTAGCCTGGGTTCCGAAAGCGGGTGCTGGCTGGCCAGTAGCTGGTGTGGCTCCAAACGGTGAGCTAAACAGGCCGCCAGTGGCTGAGCAACGAGATAAGAAGTCGGAAAATGGGTCAGAGTTTTGAAAACTGAGCTTCCGCTTTGGAATCTTATCTGATATTTCGGGGACCAAATTCTAGGCTGACTTTAGTTGATTTCGTGCACTGGAAGCCTACTGATCGTTGAAATGGCTGTGCTCTTTATTCTGGTGATCCTTTTGCTGGGCTTTGCGGGCTATGTCGCTTATGTGGTCCACAAGAAAGGGTAAGTGTCACTTGTTCGCTATGATCATATAAAACTTTTGCCTTCCAATTTTCCGGTTGCAGAATTGATCCAAAAGACATTCGCATCAATAGCCTCCAGGACGCCAAGAAGCTGCTGCAGCCACCGCTAAGTGGGCGTGGACCCCACAGGTATCTGGAGAAGAGGGCATGAGGTTTTGTTTACGGAAACTCACTTTTGGTCGGCGTGCTTGTTGCACCAAGTGACGTGTTGGCCCCAAAAAGGACATGGTGCGGAATTCTCAAGGACGGTGCACTGTCAAAGAATGTGGGTTGCCTTCCCTCCACGCTGCTTCCCTAAATCTCTGTTTAAGTTTAATTAAAATAGTCCTAATTTTAATAAACTAAAAATTTTGGCGCTTTTTGTAGGAAATGTGAAAGTGTGACCGCTCATCACATTCTAAAATATACCAGAAATAAGATGGGATTCAAGATATACGCTTGCTTGTATTACCAAATAAATTTAAAAGGTTGGCGGGAATCGAAAGGGTATTAGCCTTTCAGATCTAGGCGCTTTCCAAATTTCCAAAAAACGAACTTGCTGAAAATGAACCAAAATTCACTACTTCTAAGACTTCTAAGACTTTTTTCAATTAACATCCGATTCTTCTTCTTCTGAAGTGGCATACCTCTCCGAATTTGTAGTTGAGTTCATCATTAAATATATTTATAGGCTGAAACCCGCTTCGCTCTTAAGCAATTTTTACCTATTGGGCTTGTTCTTTTCTTTATTGATACACTTATAGCATAGCATAGTATAGATTTTGGTTATCAATAGACATACACCATATACATTTTTCTTTGAAATTATTCCAATTTAATTGCAATAACATTCAAAAATCATCGCAACCTCTGCTCACCAGATCCAAAGAGATACATTTATATATATATCAATTACAAATTCGTGTCGTACAATAGTAAATTATTAAAAATTCACAAAAATTAACAGGACAAATAATTATACGATCTGAGGGTTTTGGCCCGATTTCGATCTCGCGTTCCCCAACTTTTTATACAAGTCATTATCGCTTTGATCGCTCTGCATAACTTTGTCCTAGTTCAATTGCAACTCGAGATATGATTTTACTCCGAGCTGTGCGTTAAAATCTAAGGTGCATACATTTCTGATTTACTGCTTTGGAAGTTAGTGGTCTTAATAGATCTGCTGGTTCGAATTCGAGTATATCCCTCTCGGCTCTGGCTAATTTAGACGCTTTAAATCGTTATAATTAATATATGTATGTGTACGCATATATGCTCGCTCTACAACTAGATTTGTGTTAACAAAAACAAAAAATTATAACAATTTTGTAAATGGAAATACATTGATAGTTTGCTTGTGTATGAAAGGGATGGTTTTTTTCGAGGGAAAGGACCAAGGAAGTGAGGAAACTGATCAGGGAACATGGTCAACAACGGGAAGAGTTGGCAAACGAGCGAACGGAAAGCGCAGCAGCCAGCGATTCTTACACACTCGATATATGTAGCCATATATATCTCGATTGGTTATGCACTGGCTATATATATGTAACATTTAGATTAGTATGCGCGTGTTTTATAAAGTAGACAAATATATGCTTTAGTGGCCTCCAGAGTGCTCGCTGCCTTTGCTTGTGCTTCCTCAGAAGACGAAGCGGTTGATGTTCATGCCTAGTCCATTACCACCGCATCCTCCGGACGGCGGCGGCGCCTGGTCGTCCTCGTCGCCATCGCCATCAAAGCTGTGCCGGCTGACGAATCCATTTCGCCCGTGCCCTCCACTATCACGTTTATAGCGCTGCATCCTCAACTCCTCGTTGTAAACGTGGTTGTCCTTCCTCACGTAGTCGCGCAGCTGACGCGGCAATTCATCCAGCGTTAGCGGTGGCGAGAATGGCACCGATACCATCTGATGGCTCGATCCCAATCCCAAGCCCGAGCTGCAGCTGGCCGACGTTCCATTTGACTCGTTGGAGCGGCCACACATCTTATAGAACAGGATGTAAGGCGTGTTGGGCGAGGTTAGGTTGTGCATCTCCTCCGGCTGCGAGTGAGTAACCAAGTTGTCATTAAACTTGTACCAGTTCTTTTCTTGATCCGCCGCAAAAGTGAAGTAGTGGCCGGAATCCATGCTAAATCCGGCATGCACAACACCTGCATACAGATCGTAGTGCACCGTGGACATCTCCTGCAGAGTGTCCGTGGAGGACGTTTTTACTGTGACCTGGGATCGAAATGGTTAGACGTTTCGACGAAAAAAAAAAATAAAAGCCGGATACTCACGCTCTCATCGTGGAACACCTTATGCATCAGTTTAGTGCGGGAGTGATACTTCTGATCGTACTTGAACTGCTTAAGCGTGAGAATGAGGTTTCTGGGTGCTTGGGTGACTCCGATATGCCGCTCCGCATCGCAGAGCTTCTTGCAACGCGGACAAAAGTACTGATTGTCCCCGTCCAGCTTTTCTGGCGAGCAAAAGTACTCGATTAAGTCCTGCACCGAGTAGTTGGTGGCTCCGCAATCGTCCTTGTCGTCGGGAAAAGACAGTTGAAGCTCCCGGAAGCTGTCCTCGTTTCGACTTTCCCAGCCGCAGCTCAGACATCGGTAGGTGGTGGACAACTTTCCGGCGAACGTTTTGTCGATGGTGGATTGTGGCTTTGGTTGAGCCGCCGACTGACCCTGCTGCAGTGAGCCGTTTGTGCCTTTGGTGGGTGTTGCGGGTGGAGTGGAAGTGGGCTTGTAGCCACTGCTACTTCCGCTGTTGAGCTCGCGATCCTTGCTGTTGTATGGAATAACGCCGCTGGTCACTATCTCCTCGCTCAGCAGGCCAGGCATATCGTCAATGTCCGAACTGCTCTTCGTAGGAGCGCCACTGCGTCCAGCGGATGAAGCGCTGTTGATCTCGTGCTCGTGCAGCAGTTCGAGCAGATATCCTAGGAACTCGGAGCTGTCCTGTTGAAGACCGGGCGTAAAACCAGGCGGGCGGGTGGCATTTAGCACTCGCGAGGGTGTTAGTTCGTAGCGCAGCGAGTGGTGCATCAATGCAATCTGCTGTTGCACCTTCATTAGTAGCAGGGAGTCACATTCGATGAGCAAAATCTGCCTGCTAAAACTAAAGAAGAAATAAGTGAAATTAAAACGGTTTCAACACAAAAATAAGCACTGTTTATAAACAGATAGATCAACTTCTTTATAGGGAAATTGACACTTGAAACCAATCAACAAATAAACCGTTTATAAACAGAAAAATAACTGACAATATAAATATTTATGTTGAACAAAGGTTTAAGCTTTCAAATCAGCTAACAAGCGGATCCGACTACTATTTACGAATTTTAAGTTTGTTTAAAAATTGCGATATCTTACTCGCTAGTCATGGCCAGAGCCTGAAGTACACTGTTCATATAGCAGGTGTTTCCCAGGTTCACCAGTCCGACCCTCGCATTTCGCCGACCCCACGGTTGGGCATTCTCGTGCATTGCTCGCGCCAAGGCCACACAGTTCGGCGAGGGCTCGTACGTTTGCAAAGCCTTCTTAGCAGCGACATAGAGCTCATCTTGATCGCAAAATCGCAGCATTAAGACGCTGGTCAGGTCCACCAGCTGCTGCAGACAATTTCGTGTTTCCAGGCCAGACTCGTTCATAGTAGTTGACTGGCTCTTCACATACTGCAGCACAAGGGGAATCCTTGGCAAGATCTGTTGTACAAGAAAAAAAGTCAGTTGCCGAATTTACCGTGATGTTTAAACATAATCTACCTTATGAAAAACCTCGGGCGTCTGATTAATGGTCGACAGCATGTGAAACACCACCGGAGCAGCCTTTTGACGCAACGCCGGAGCGATCATTACGTGGAACAGTTTCTCGATGTTGTCCAGGGCGATTTCGTCTAGCAGCTGCCGCTTTCCCTGATCACGCAGTCCGGTGAGTAACGCCAGCACCCAGAGATTAAGGTTACTACAGAAGGTGCAGTAGGTGATCCAGTCGCACAGCAGGTTTACCGTCTTTCGGATGCTCGAGTCCTGAACGTTTTGCTCCAGTAGCGAGTGCACCGCCTCGAGTATCTGGTTTGAGTCAAACAACTGAAACACAATAGCCACGGCACACGAAGGCGGCGGTTCATGTGAAGACTTGGTTATCAGCTTGTATACGACGCGTAGGTAAAACATCTGGTGGAACCTCTCGTTGCGCGTGGCCAGAAAGGCGCCAACCTGACAAACGTCCGCCTTGAGTCGCGGACACAAGGCCATTGGCAGTGAAATCTGCAGGCGGGCTAGATCCACAATGGCCCTCTCGCAGATGGCCATCACATTGTGGCCCTGCTCCTGCAGATCTATACTCTGCAGGTATGCCAATAGTGTTTTAATGTCTCGCTTGCCAGGTCGATTGGAGTTTAGACTCTCGCCAGCAACCGATCCCGCATCCATGCTTTCAGAGACTCCGTTCTCGTCGGGGATATTCAGCCCGTTGGCAGACATGGGTTTGGCGTTTTGGGGCATGCCACTACCGGCTCCTCCGGCGTTGTCCGAGGCGTCGCCCGTCTCGCTGTTGTTCTGCTTGACGGCCATCCTGAGCAGCTGGCGTCGAACGCGGGCGGCGCAAAGGCTGGACCAAAAGGCCGACTGGAACTTCCAGCTGTCGGGGGACGGAGGCTTCGGCTTGCCTAGCGCCCGAACACTGCGGCTTTTTCTATGCCTGCGACTCTGAGCGAGGAGTCTGAGCCGCGTGTCCTTGAGCCGCGCTCCGTTACGTGTCGTCGTAACGATGTCCCTGTGACCTTTCGACGGGTCACGAGTTCGCCTCGATCCCTGCCCGATCCCGGCCAGAAACGGCTGCTGCACCACCAGCACTTCGACTGCACCGAGTCCTAAACGAAAGGGGTGCACTGGAAGGTCGGTGGCCCGTGCCACATCTAAGGACTCTTTTCCTGGATTTTCCTGCCTGGCCCCGGCCACAAATCGTTGACCACACGCTGCACGCACAAATGGGTAGCTCGGTTAATGTCGAGTTAGCCCCAATTACTACAATTTTGACTGGTTTAAAACGAAGTCTTTGTGATATTTTTCGGATTTGTTAATGTTGTCTACTGAGTCAGTGAAAGCGTTATCGATACGTTCAGACGGTATGACGGGCACGGCGACGCTGCATGAGCAAAAGGGGGTAAGAATAATTGTTTTTTCACTAGTATTTTCGAAAATTAAAAAGTCATGGCACCTTCAAACTTTTTATTTTCAAGCCATTAAATTTGGTAATCATTTGTTTGTGGGTGACTTTCAGTTTTAAAGGTTTCCAGAAAAGATTAAAAATAATAACAGGCAGTATTCCAACTAATTACTTTATTTTGTTGCACGACCGCTTGTGCATGCAAAGGTCTCCCTGAAGGCGTTGCGTAGTGACTGTCAACCCTTCGTTGCGAATGGCTTCTGATATTTGTTTTGACTAGGCTTTTGAAGTTGTGCTATATGTATATATTTGTTATAAATAAATAAGACCTATATTTTTTATTACCCACGATGCATGCTGGTCAAATTGAGGTCAACGAGGTCAATGGCTACTGGACCTTTCTGCTGAGCGTGAGTGGCTTGCCTTTTTTGTTAACACGAAACCTTAAGACCCGCTGTGTATATTTTAGATCGATTGGAAGGATCCTTGGCTTATTGGGCTCATTTTGGTGCATATCCTGACCACCACAACTGCGTTGCTCAGTCGGAACAACTCTAACTTCCAGGTTTTCCTATTCTTAGTACTGCGTACGTGTACTTAGCAAATTCCCAATATCTCCCTTAAAGCTGACTTTTGCGAATGCTTTATCTTTTTTTAGTACTGGCGGTCTATTTCACTGAGAGCATCAATGAGTATGCCGCGCAGAACTGGAGCTCATTCTCCAAGCAACAATACTTTGACAGCAACGGCCTGTTTATCTCGACAGTTTTCTCAATTCCCATTTTGCTGAACTGCATGCTGCTGATTGTAAGTAAAAGTGATAATATGACAGACTAAATACTGAAACTATCGTGTTTTGCAGGGCACTTGGCTCTACAACTCCACGCAGCTAATGGTGACTTTGAAGACAGCACAGTTAAAGGAGAGGGTTCGCAAAGAACGCCAGAACAAAGCGGATTCTGAATCTACAGCCAAACATGGAAAGATAGAGTAGAAACTTTGTTTAGAATTTATCAGTTTAAAACTCAAGCAGAGCTGTGAAAATACCGTTATCAAACGCATTTCATTGTTGGCCTCAAATCTATAGTTTGCTGCCATTTAGAAATAGTTTTCTGCAAAGCTTGCGGCTTGCTCTCTTAACGCAGATTGATTATTATCAATAAACCTGCTGAAAAAAGTAAAGTGTTTACTAACATCTTCAATCAAGCAAAAGTCCTAACTTATATTTGAATCTCGCCTTTTCGCCACTCTTGTTCAGTGGGCGCTCTGCCGTTTTAGACAACTCAGCCGCGACACCCACCAATGTATACGCCAGCGATGCGAATCTGGGGGGATGTATTAGCAGGGGCAATCGAGCCGATGTTCAAACCAACGGTTTGGCCAGTGATGCCAATTCAAGGAAAGCTGGATTTTTAAATTTGTGGCATTTATGGTTAATAACATTTGGGGAGACAACCGAATCCCCAATCGGTAACACTGAATTGTGGGTGTCGAAGTGTCGCGGCGCGATGTTGGAAGCGAATTTTGGGTAAACAAAATCGTTGATAAGGTATTCGTTCGAAACTAAACGGGAGTCGCGCGACGTTTTTTCCGTTGGCAAGAGCTGAAAAATTGTCCAGAAACCGAGTGCGGGTTAAAGCCAGGCTCTAGCTCTTGCGCCTGTGTGTGTGCGCGTGTGTATGTGTGGGCCAGAAGCGTAGCCCCTGGAAAAAAGAAGTTTTTCTGTTACCATATTTTTTAACGAACGGCCAAAGGGCGCAGCATCTCTGCTCTCAATCTTTCGCTCTCTCTTTTTTCCGCCGTTAATTTAAGTTTTGCAACTCCAGTTATTGTGTGTAAACAGCAGGTGAACATAAAAAAAAAACACGGAAAGTGCAAAAGAGTGGGAAGAAAGAGGAAAGAAGAAGAGCAACTCCGCGCAGACCGACAAAAAGTGACGCATAAATAAAGGTTGCTAATTACAAAAGGTAAACAACCATAACTCGCCAAATTTAATCCAAATTCCCAAGCGGCCATAACAATAGTAATAAAATGCTAGGCAGATTTGTCATTTCCGATTTTCCCCATTCAAATTGCGTAGTAGATTTTCACGATACCGAAACTCAGATGAGTGACGCGTTGGCGACGCAGCACAAAATGTTCATTCATAAAAAGCGTCTGGCCCCCTTCTGCCCCCCAAAAAAACGGGCCCCTTATAACCAACCCCTGATGTGGTTTTTGCTGGAATTCGGTTTACAAACATTTTTGTCTGTGGGTCTAGTGGTTTTGCAATCTGTGAAATCATAGTTTAAATATTGACGATCCATTGCAATTTCTGATGGGTTATGCCACGCCCCTAATTTCTTATCAAATGTTTCTTAAAAGGTTATAGGTTGTCTTTGATATCCAAAAAACTATAATTACCTATTAATTACTAATTAATTAATTTGCTATATTGTCTATGATTGATTTGTCAAAGTTTACGATTTTTGTATTATGAAATAATTTTATACACAAATAGTTTATTTTCGTAAAAAATAAATTAAAAATCCGCAATAACGATTTGAACATTTCTGTTTTCAAAAATGTTGACCAAAGTTCTGTAACAATTCGCTTCTTGTTAATAACCAAGTTTATATGAACATAAAAATGTGACAAAATTGAATTATAAATTGCGTACCGCCATCCTTAATTAAAAGACCCTTAAACTCATTGAGATAAGATCAGAAACCGCCATATGGCGTTCCGTGAAATGATTAGTTGAGCTAATCATCGGACTGCCGGGCTAATGAAAAGTCACGCATAACTTGATCCAAGGGTCAGACCATTTTATCGCTTATCGTTTTTAGCGCCTTTTATCCACCTTAGGCAATCAGAGATATCGACTGGGAAAACGATAATACGGAATTTATGGTCCGCATGTCGCCAAAATGCCAAAGTCAAGCAAAATAAATACATACAAATAATAAAAAAACAATCAAAATAACTCGGTGACATCATTTTGACTAATCGCCAATTTTAGCATTTGAAAAACGGCGGCTGCTCACCCGGCCCACTGACACATGTAGGTGCGAAAGAGAGGGGCCTAGGGAGGGGGCTTCGAGTGGGAGGGAGAGGGCGAGTGAACGGGGCAGGTGCGCCAAGCCGAAGTTCAAAACGAAGCTCAAAGCCCGAAGCCACTCGGCATTCCAAACACCTACAAGTCACAAATAGATCGGAGCGGTCTTCTGATATCAGCCAATTTCACTTTCGAGGCGGAGAACAGATAAAGATAATTTTACTATGTACTTCTCGTATCGCATTAATCGCATTAAACATTTAACACGATCCAAAAAAGGGAAAGAGACGCAATAAAGCGCATTGCTTTTATCGCAAAGTAATAAATCAAAGCCATATTTCTCGCAGCGAATCTAAGAGAGTGCTGCTAAAAACTTAGCCAGCTTTTAGCTGATTTAATTGGGCTTTTTTTTACGACTCATTGCCCTGTTAACGATCTTTTATTTTAACGATTACATAAATCAAAAAGTGACTGATGGCTATTCATTTGAAGGGGAAACCACTCAGAAGAGTAGAAAATAAAACCTAGGGTGCACTTCAAACATTAAATGGTTATTGTTTAATCTAATCGTATCACTCGATTTGGTATAATATATTGGGTATGTTATTTTCTCTCTCTTAGTCATCCTTCTGTTATTTTCATCTATACTAAAGAGTCCAAATGTTGTTTATAAACTGAAAACTATCTCTGACTTGTACAAAGCAATCCGATACCCAATTCTTAAAGCATTAATTGCTTATTTGTCGATAATTTCCCCGCTTCTTCGATCAGATTCAATTAACCCGAACATATTGCGGCTCATTAGGAGGAGCATTCCAATCTCGAGACCAAGCAGCTTGATCTAGTTCAGAGATATACGGGGCACTCACGCATCCACACCCCACTAGTTATTTCGGTTAATTTTGATGTGTGCTAAGAACCGCCAGTGGAGAGTATTAGGCAGCACTGCTCCAGATCCCCAGATATTTCCGAGACTGCCAGTGTGTGCGGTGTGCGACATCGGGTGGGTGGAAATGTGGAAATGTTGTGAAAAGCTAAATGAGGCGTGACATGAAAAAACGCAGGGAAACAAGAGCGGAGCAGGGCGACAAACGGCACCCCAGTGCAGCGTGGAAAGCAAACAAAGTTGAGTGCGGCCACCCACAACATGACAGCAGCCACAACAATGGCAATAGAGACGCTGAAAAGGAGAACAACAACAAGAACAAGAACTTGGGGGCCCCTAAATTCTGGCCACGGAGTAATTTCGGCCTAGAAAAAATTGCCCAGTTCTGGTCTGGCTGAAAAGACAAAGGAGCCGGCAAGGAAAAAAAATGCAAAAACCAAGAGAGCGAAAAGAAAACGAATATTGTTGGGGGAGCAGTGCACAATTAACCCTTTCTTTGAAGTCGCCTCCTCCGCGGGCTCCACTGTCCACTGTGCCTTAATTAGTTTATGGAACAAGCATGCCGGGCTAACTGCAATAAAATTAATCGTTTATGCTGTAATCGCATTTAGCGGCGCCGACCTCTTTTCCCAGTTCCTCCTCCTCCTCCATCCTCCCCGATGTGGCTCCCATTCCCGCGTTTGATGCACGGGATGTGTAGCGAGAGCGACAGCTAGATTCCATAGCCAAGGTTCAGTCATGTATGGGCATTCCATTACAGGGCGATTGCTGGCGAGTGGAGCGTAAACCAGATGGTTATTTTTAGAACAGCTCCCGCACGAAACCGCTGAATAAACCCCCGTAAGCCGAAGGGCTAAACATAATTTACAATCAATTTTGTACAAGAAACCAATTAACCGCACACAGTAAGGTCCAGATGCCACGGGAACGGGGATTGTGCCGTCAGCAGCAGCAGCAGCAGCAGCAGGATTTGCGACAGGATTGGCCACAGCAGCCAAGTCTACTGGAGCACATCACGCAGCAGTCTGCTGAGCAGGGAGATCGACCGAACGGAGGACAGCAGGGCCCACAGGACGATCCGCAGCAAGAACCACAGGGTGGCCCGCAGAAAGCGTTGCAAAAGGGATTGCAGTCTGGTCCACAACCAGAACAACCTCCTCCACCTCCTCCTCCTCGACACAGGCAATCCGGAAAGGTGGTGCCGAACGGTCCGTTTCCGCCACACCAACCACATCTCGTGAAGCCGGAGTACTTCCCATAGGGACAATCCCCACAGGCACGCTCGGGATATGGTCCGATGTAGAACGGATTGAACTGCTCTTGGTGGCACATGTTCCCTGGCTAATATCATAGGTCCATCAGTGGACATTCACTCAAGATCAAGGACTCACATTCTGGACTTTATTGTGTGCGGACAACTGGCTTCTTTAGTTGCTAAAATTTCGATAATCGCCTTGAAAAATTGCTTCGTAATTTCCCATACAACGCCAAAAGCCAACTATATCATATCGTTCATAAGCATGGCATTATATGGAGCAAGCTGATCGACAGCAGTGGGGGTTAATATATTGCGATCGCTTCAGCTGGCGCGTTTTGTTTGTAAACAATTCGCGTGGCTAATAAATATTTGGGCATCCAACTTCCGCTTTGAAGAAAATGGGAAAATAAATTGAATATTGTTTACGCTGGCGATATTTAATATATTTGAAAAGCATTTGTTGGAATTAGGAGGGCTCTTGTGGTTTTGATTATTGTTTAATTTGTGCTTTGGTGGGTTATTTCATTTCCTGTAAATGCTTTTAATGGTTAAATAATAGAAGTAATTATAATGGAATTTTAAACAAAACCAAAGGGGCTATCTTCAAGTTGTTTTCAGCTACTTTTACATTGCAGAAATCTCTTCTTGACTTTCCCCAAAGCACTTCTTACACGCTTATATCATCATTGTGGCCTTTTGCTAAGCTGCACTGATTGGTCATCCCCGTTGTGGACAATGCCATTATGTGTGACAGTTGCATTTCAAATCTCATTATAGATTTATGCAAAATGTAAGTGGAAACCCCAAAGAAAGGCACCAGACTTGCAGACTGCCCCGACGATTTGCCTGCGATGAGGGGCCTTTGAAAAGAGGGAAAGGGGGAATTCTCTTGACCACTTTTTAGCCCTGGCCTGCATTGATTTGTGGGGCTTTCTTTTGGCCGTTTCCCTTTTTGCCGCAACCTCTTTGACTGGGATTCGATTTCCAATTCCACTCCCATTTCGATTGCCGTTGCAGTTGATTGACTTGACTTTAGTCGTTGTTGACATGACAAGAGTTTCCCCGGGCAAAATAAAAAACGAAACGAAATAAAATAGCAATTGCACCATTTTCCAGCACCCAGACGAGCTTCGCCTGGGTTAGCTGAATATATCTTATCGGCTGCGGTCTGTTTGCTTTGCAGATCGTTATCAACGCCTGCGAGATAGTGGAGCGCAGTCCAAATGGATCGTGAAATGAGAAAAACTGCCCACACTGAATGTGTATTTTGGTGGCTGTGTGGCTGCCCTTTTGTTTTGTAACAGATGCCGAGTGCGTGGGCCGAAGCCAAACTACAAACTTCCCATATTCGGTTACAACATCAGCCGAAAAAAGAAAACAAGAAAAGAAAATCCACTTTTTAGTGCCCTTGTGCGAAACACTTTGGCACACTTGGAGCGACGTTCTGTCTGCTGATTTTCGACTCGTTCGGCCAATTAGCTGACCATTTAGAATTGTTGCAACTTGCTTTCCGAATTCTCAGAATGTTTTTGGTTTTGTTTTTGGCATAGCTTTTGTTTTTCACTGGGTTTTCCGCCGCAAAGCGCACGTTCATTTGCCGAAAATAGGGCGTGACTCGGTTGATAAAGTGGAAAATATTTACTGCGAATCGTTCGCTCATCTGTGCTAATTATACGGGGGATTGTCATCGGTGGATCATGTCTCGTGTCGAAACGGTTGTCACACCCCGGCTTCTATATCTGTCTATAACCTGGTGGTGTACCTGAGGTATCTGATGGAAGAGCTCCCCTCGCCCAGTGCAATCCATTACGAACTGCTCAGCTGGGAATTTGCATACGAGTATTTCGAGTGGAATTTGCACCCATGTGTGGGCTAAATGCATTCGTTAATCGCTGAACGGTGGGTGCCGATTGCAGGTGCAGGTAATTTAACAAATGCGTAACAGCTTCGAGGGCCTTCAACTGGAGCAATGCATCATGTAGTTCATAACATTGTATGATAATTTACGATAATTTACCCTTCGATCTTATGCAGCTTCTACGCTTGACTAACTTTGATTGTATGTAGTTTTAAAATAATTCGTAGGTATCAGACACCTTTCTAAACCAATTAATTATAATTCCGCACAATGTTGATGATTAAAGCACTGAGGCGTTTTAATTTTGATTTTGAAATGAGAAGAATTCCATTAGCTTTGCCTCAATAACTCTTGTATAAAAGTAGTTTACATGTATTATTTATTTTAAGGTTAATGACTGTAACAATTCCTCTTAAATGTCTTTGGATTACTCGAAGTAGATGTATTTTGTATCCCATTATTTATCCCACCTACTTCTGCCATTCAGCTGACAGTTTAAGTTGAATGCAATCAAAGTCAGACAAAGCAAGCCTTCTTTTATCTCGGCGATTCAAGAGGGCTTTATCTGCACCCTGACCTTGGGCAGGCGGCTGTGGGGTGTTGGCTAAGGGGAAGATGCGATCCAAGCCGGGGACCATCATCTGCATTGCTGTCAGCACTTTCTCAGCCACCTGCTTGGCGAACAAAGAGCGGACAGGCAAATCCCCTGGGATCTGGGGATTACGGCCACAGTATCCCCTCAAGAGTGCGTCAGCTGCCACTACAACTTCAAACAAAGCGACTGGCTCCGCTTCTAAGCCCTTCGGTAAACACTTTATCCACATCCACCTGCCTCCCTGGCGATCCAATCCCTTTGGGAAATGCTTGAGCGGCGACAACTAATGGTGCTTTGTGGTGCCAGCGGAATGTGCATTTCGCTCTTGCCTTCGCTTTGCCTTCTGAGTTGCAGTAAGTGGCACAGGACCTGCTTCGTCCTGTCGTTCCACATCCTTGCCACTGCATGCCTTTCTATTCCACCTCCATCTCCACTTCCACCTCCACTTCCACTCCCTTCCTGCATGCTCCCATTTCGAGCTGTACACATAATTACTCCGCTTGCGCATTCTGACGAGGCTGATGACAGTTGTTGCCTCGTCTAACTGGGACACCACTTCCTTCCATCGGGAGACGGGCTCCCTTTCTGCTTGGTTTGGCTTGTGCCCAGCTTTTGTTGTGCTCATGGACTAATTTCGTTTGGCTCTGATGGCTGCAGCACGGCGAGAAAACACTACGAAAATTGGTTGTCGTTAACCATTATCTGCGGCATATCAGCATGACATTTCAAGTATCGTTGTGTTTCCACAACTTTTCTTTTATGATCTAGATAAGCAAAATAAACAATACAATTTTGGGAAGTTTAGCTTTCATTGACTAACTATTTCGCTTTCAAAAGTACCCAACGAACAAGTTGTTATTTATAACTATTTTATTCAGACCTATTTAAATGGAAATTAAAGCTTATTATTAATAGATTTTTGTTGAGTGACTTCTTCCTGTGCACAAATGAACCCATCCAAGTTATGGGAATTCCTTTGGAGGCCCATCAATTATGCCAAATGGAGCATATGCACATCCACTGTTGGCTCAATTTTTCAATTAACTTTCGTAGCTCCAGTCAGCCTTACCTTTGGCCATTTCCCGAGCCTCGGCCATGGACAAAAGGTTATTGCCTCGGCCAGCGATTCGAGCTGATCAATTCGGGCAGACATGCAATCTCCTGTCCTGCTGTTGCTGCAAAAACGGAAAAGTCGGAATTAACACGGAATAAATCCTGGTCACCCCCTCGCTCTGAAATTGCAAATTATGGGCCGAGTTATCATCGTTGGTGCCGGTTGTTTGGCTTTGATTTCCCTGGCACGCAAATGGCATAAAACAGCAGCACCCCGAACAGGACCCACAGGACTCGCAGGAAGGCAGGATTGCCAGGACACGGACGACTTTCAGTTGAAAGTTGTTTAATTTCTGTTTTGCGGGGAAAAGCGCATAGAAAAGGCAAAAGTGCGGAGGGATGGGGAAAAACTTTGATGCAGGTCCTGGACACGCTATCGTCCTCGTCCTTGTTGCCATTCATATTTCATCCATGCGGTTTCTCCGCTTCGCCCGTCGTCTATTTACCCCCGTTTCTTTTTTCTTCTTGGAGCTCAGTTAGTAAATTGAGCATCAACGTGAGCTCCGGCTGAATTACCTGTCCCTGGAGCTCCTTTTGGGTTCACCTGGGGTCACCCGTGCCGGTGATGGATGGTCGGGTTGCCGGCTATTTAGACTGCTGATTTAAAGTTCCTGCCGCAAAAAGAAAACACCATCCACTCCTGCTGATATGCTAATTAATTGGATTTATTCTTTTCTGGTTTAATGGCTGTGAGCGGAGTATTTCGAGCACTTTAACACGTTTTAAAACGCATTTCACTCGAATGTGTGAATCCAAAGTGGAGATAAGGGTTCAAGAGGAAACGAAATTTTAAATCAAACTAATTGAAAGTTGAATCACATTTACAGGCACTTGTCCGCACTTAAACAATATCTCAGGTGAAGTCCTATATGGTAAATGGCTTTTAAATTCCTCTATTAATGAAATGTGCCTGCAGTTATGTGGCTTCAACTTTGATATTTGTGTGAAATCTGATAAACTTGTTCTCTCTTTTCCATTTAATTAACAATATTGAAAGCCTGCATTCAGATCTGCTTAATGAAATTCCACGTACTGTTCTCGATAGATGCTGACCTCATTTTTTAAATACTCGTACATTCGTATTTAGATATAATGTATACTTCGATTCCCCCTGCCTCCGATGCATCCCATCATTCAGTCCGACCCATTTCCCATTTGAGGCCGAACTTAAGCCTCGGTTCAATCGCAAATTGCAGTTTGCCGGTAATGAGGTCCAAACTTCTGGCATACGAGCCGAGTTTAATGGCTTCAACTTAAAGTTCTCGGCAAAGTTCTCATCAAGAGTGTCGCCAGCAGGAGTTCCGATTGGAAAAGTTTGCCCAGCTGCCCGGGCTGGTTATTTAAATGGGAACTTGTGAATGCCAGCAGAGGAATATATAAACAATGGACAACACAAATATGTAAAACAAGTTAGAATTCTGCACGAATTGAGCTGCTGGCTGACCACAACAAAAGCTGTCAGCAATTGCGGCTGCAATTGGGCAAATCCCCGAACAACGAGGAGGTGTTTGGGTCTTTTGCTATGGAATTTAATATGCTGTCGACACGGGTAAAAAGAGAATTCTTAGTGCAGAGATCTCCGAGTGACACGAATAGGGCTGCACGCCCCTTTAGCCTCCTTAACCCCCTTTAAGTTCACTGAGAAAAATGTAAAATAGAGAATAGTTTAGGATATGGGTCTTTTAGCTTTAAGTTACTTCAACAGAATGTAACGAATGAGTGCATAAAGTTTTCTGATATTTCCTTTACAAGATATAGTATTTTGAATACATTTAGATGTCCAGGCAGATAGTTTAGAAACCATAATTTGTGCTCGCTTATAATTTTTGCTATGTGTGTATAATCGGTGGGTGGCCACTTGGCAAACGCTCATGCGAGGAGCGGCAGGATGTCAACGCTCGGGGCGAGTGGCAGAGGAGCACCCAAACTGCAGCAGCCACTGGCAATGCGGAATTCCCTTCCTCGTCCCTCCATTCGGTCCCCGGTGCCAATCTCGCCTGCGTACTCCTTCTCCTCCTGGTCAAACTGAAATTATTCAGCCAGGTCTTGTTGCATACTTTTCAGCGCAAATGTTTGCAGAGCATTCGCTTCGTGGCCCAAGAATTTGTGAGTGTGCTAGTGCGAGGACGTTGGTTTGGTGGGTGGCTGGGTGAATGGGTGGGTGGTTGGTAAGTGTGTGCGTGTGGGTGCATATTTATATATGTCCTAACTGCTGTTGTTGCTCTATTTCCGTGTGACCAAGTGGTGCAGGATAAACGCGGGAGCCCCGGGGATGATGAGTCATCCTTAATCTCCAAATATACTGTCTTACATGCTTACACTTAAAGGAAAGCTATTCTATAATGGTAGTAGAAGTAGTAATATAATAGAACATGCATCTGAAAAAAAGTTGTCGTTTTCAACTCTTTTAAAATTACCCAAACTTCCCTGCCAAGAAAATAATTTTAAGTCTAATGGGATTTAAAAGCACCTTTGCCGCTTCACTTGATAATTCCAACAATTAATTTTTGCGGCACGTTTTGCGTACGTGTTTCGAAGTCTTAAGATGGCAAAGTTTGTCTCCCAGTGCACCCATTCCCATTCCCACTCCCATCCCCTCATCAACTTCATCATCTCAGCTCCAGTTCCATTCAGAGCTTGCAGTTTGGAAATTGAATTTCAGTTGGGGCCAGAGGGGCCCCACCGCATTTTTGCCGTCTTGTAGTAACACTATCATTTAGTTGACAGAGGGCAGCAGGAAAAAGGAAGCGGCATTTAAATGAGAGCGCTTGTTTAAATTGGCCAGCTCTGGATGGCGAAAGGACATGGCAGGCAGGACAGGATGGGATGGGACATACTCGTACACATGTCGCCATTGTGAGACGGGAATGGAAACCAGATCCACGCAGAAAACTTCTCTGATTATTTTCGTATGATGACTCAGAGATGTCTACTTGCCTTTTTTCCAAGGACATTCTTTTTTTTTCGCTTCCGCTCGTGAAAGATGGAAAATCAATTGCGAAAACTTGGGGAACGAGAAGCGTGATGCGACAGCAACTTCTGAAATTGTCGACACCCTTCTGCGTGGAATTATGCTTGAAGGATATGACGAGGATGCTCCACACCGGAAGAAACCGGGAGCTGCGGGGCATCCTTGTCGATTAATTGGACTGGCAAAGCGGTTTATGCGATGGCAAAAACTTTTAGCGCGTAGGCGGATTATTAAACTCGCATTGTTTCAGTAACTAGCTGCGTCTGTCTCCCTGGATTGCTCACTTCCTCATCCGGCGATTGCCGCCAGCAGGGATGCTCCAACACCAACGCCAGCAGCCACCAGGCACTAGACACACCAGACAATGTTATCACACTTTAAAAAAATCTAAAATCAGATGTGGGTGCTGCAAATCAAACACAGACATTCCATAAAATGATTCATAACCTTGTGATTCATACACTTTTAATAGTTGTCTGTATAGATTATGTTTGCTTGTTGTTTTTACCATTGGCATTAATCCATTAACTTTATGATGCAGAGATCGTTAGTGACAGTTTCCGAAATCAGGTCTTGTATTGCTGATGACAGTTTAATTCCTCAGTGCATCGACAACGAGCTTGTCGAATCCAGACGCCCAACACAATGGAATATGTAAAAAGGGCCTGAGCATGGGAATGAATAGGTTCCCTCTGCGGTGGCCGTTGGATGCTCCATGCCAGGCATGCTCCTGCTCCCAATCTCCCCCCACCCCACCACTGACCCACTTAGAAGCTGCTGCAGAACTATTAGCATTTACGATTATCCCCGACATAATGCATATATGCCTTAATTAAATTGCAGACACATCGCCACACAACAGAGCAGCCGGAATGGAGCTGGAGCCGCGTGTGGCCATCCTGCAGGACCTGCGTCTGCAGACCTTCGACTCCATTCGCTTCGCCTCCTATCGCACCGCCTCCAAGCTGCGCTACATACAGAAGTCCACCAACCTCCACCTGGTGGACATATGGAACGTGATCGAGGCGTTCCGCGAGAACGGCCTCAACACACTGGAGCCGCAGAGCGAGGTGAGCGTGGCCAGGCTGGAGACCCTGGTCTCCTCGCTCTACCACAATCTCAACAAGCGCCTGCCGACCGCCCAGCAGGTGCCCGTGGACTCGAAGGCGGGTCTGCTGCTCAACTGGCTGCTGGCTGCCTACACAAGGTAGGGATACGATATATCTATCTTAGAAATCAATTCCCTTCTAACTGGTAATCTCCTTAACCTATTTTCAGTGATAACTCGGGCAAGATTCGTGTGTTCTCCATCAAAGTGGCTTTGGCCACCATGTGTTCCGGGAAATTGGTGGACAAACTCAGATGTGAGTAGTACAGTAGCTTACGAACTTCTTAAGATATGATTAATTCTTCCTTCTTATCCCTTTGGTAGACATATTCTCGCAGATCTCGGACGGCGCTGGCCAGCTGGTGGCGTGGAAACTGGGCGAGTTCCTGCGCGAGGTGCTGGCCCTGCCGGCGGCCGTGTACGAGTCGCCCACATTCCATTACAAGGAGGGGCTCGAGGAGGAGATCTTCCCGGCCGAGAACAAGGTGACGGTGAACGACTTCATGGCCACGCTGATGTCCGAGCCGGGGCCGTCCTGCCTCGTCTGGCTGCCGCTGGTGCACCGGCTGGCCACCGTGGAGACCATTGTGCACCCGACTGTCTGCTCTGTTTGCCACAAGGAAAACTTCACCGGGTTCCGTTACCGCTGTCAGCGGTGTCACGCCTACCAGTTGTGCCAGGAGTGCTTCTGGCACGGCAAGACATCGCTGAACCACCAGAACGACCACGAGGTCAAGGAGTACTCAAGCTACAAGTCGCCCAGCAAACAGATCGGTCACTCGCTGCGCAAGAGCTTCCGCTGTGTGCCGGAGAAGACGGTGCAGGTGCTACCCCGCTTCCCCGACCAGCCGGAGAAGACGCTCAACCTGTCGCACATCGTGCCGCCCTCGCCGCTGCCCTCGCACAATGGCTTCTCGGACCCCTCCGGCCTCGTACATGGCCACCACGTTCCGGGCGCTCAGGGCCAGCACGGCCTCTTCGATCGCTCCAGCACGCTCGACTCGCGGGCCACCGGCCGCAGTCTGGACAGCGCCGGCGGCACCACCATGTCCCGCGTGGCCGCCGCCTCCGCCAACGACGAGGAGCACCGCCTGATTGCCCGCTACGCCGCCAGGTTGGCCCAGGAAAACCGAGCGGTGGGTGTACCAAACGATCACTAATTCCTCAGCAGCTCTTTTAAATTGTTTTCTGTCCGTAGCCATCCAACTTGCCCGAAGGAGCCAACCCCATTGGCACGGACAACTCGCGAGCCCAGCGCGAGCTGATCGCCCAGCTGGAGTCGAAGAACAAGGAGATCATGCGGGAGATTGCCCGGCTGAGGCGTCAGCAGGAGACGGAGCAGATGGCCCCGGAGAACCCGGCGCTGATCAACGAGCTGCGCGCCTTGAGGCAGCGGAAAGGAGAGCTGGAGGGTCATCTGGGTGCCCTGCAGGACTCGCGACGCCAGCTGATGGAGCAGCTGGAGGGTCTGATGCGCATGCTGAAGAACCAGCAGACCGCCTCGCCGCGTTCCACGCCGAACTCGAGTCCCCGCTCCGGAAAGTCGCCACCGATGCCCGGTGGAGCCGGCATCCTGGGCACCTCGCCCATGAGTGCGTTGCACGCCCAGCAGATGCAGCAGCATCCGATGGCAGGAGGCGGCGGCGGGGGAGGAGGAGGAGGAGGTGGAGGCGGCATCAGGGCCACCCAGCAGCAACTCCTCCAGCAACACCAGCAGCAGCAGCAGGCGCATGGCCACGGTCCGTTCAGCCAGAGCCAACTGGATCAGCTCAACCAGATCAGCAGCGACATGCGGAGCGCCTTCGCCGCCAACGGAAGTGCAAGTGAGTAGGGACTCTGGGGGGATGGCCCAAGGGATACTTTTCGGTTAGGTTCGCATCAAGTCCAAATTTTGATACCCCCTGTGTGGAATTGGTTACGCGCGAGAGAGCTTAGGCCTGGGTTCAGACAGATATTAATCGTTTACTCCGCGGCAACACCGCCACTGGCAAAACACACACCCGAAACCAAACTCGAAACCCAATATCACCTGACCACCTGACCAACAACGTATACCTATCAAAATCACACGCTATCCACATGCCAAAAACACACTCGTTTCTTGATCGCTTCGCCTTCGCAGCGCCACCGCCAATGCGCACCACCACTGCCACTGCCAATGTCAGTGCCATTCCCAGCCTCAATCCGATTTCGCTTTCGAGTCAGATCCAGATCCAGAATCAGAATTCGATCCCGAATACGAATACGAATCCGGGTTCCGACGCGGAGCTCAATGAGGCCGCCGACCATCTCACCTCGGCCATTTCGCACATGGTCAGCGACCTGAACGCAGGTAAATCGTTGGATTCGAACCCACAAACATACCCAACCAACGCTTTCGCTTCCGACTCTGCAATTGCATCCGCATCTGCTGCTCCTGCTTCCTCAAAAAAAAAAGAAAACCAAAATAATGATAAAGAAGTATTATGGATGCTCGTGAATGGTGGTCTGCACTGCACCAGCACGTAGTTCTTGTAGTAGCACCGCTTATAGAGCCACCAACCATCAACCACAATCCCTGCTCCAACCCGGAATGTTCTCACTCTGTGCTTATCCGTGTTTTTCTTTCGGTGTGCGTATTGTCTTGGGTCTCTGCTCCGCTTTTCCAGGACGGGGAAGGGCTCATCAGGGTCACCAGGGGCCCCAGTCGACGAGCTCCCTGCCGCAGGCTCGCTTCATCATGCCACTGGGTAAGTTGTCCCGGTCTGCATCGATCCGATTCGATCCGATAGGATACGATCCTGATCCCCCTGCTGGTTCCCACTTCTCTAAAGCGACCACTTTTCCGTTTTCGTTTTCTTCGTTTCTTCGTTTTTCTCGATTTTTATTAGATTATTTCCCCAATAGACGGCATAAGAAAAAATGCTGCAAATATTGAGCTCTCCTCCCAGTTTGGTTAGTTAGCCCTTTATAATTTTCGCTCATTTCTTCTGTATGTCGAATCGGGGAACCCTGCCCATCCCGCCCAATATGTAAAACCAAAAATAAAACCCGCAAAATTAAGATTTCCGACACATCGAGGGCGGCGAGTCCGAGGACTCGAGTCAGTGCGAGTGCAACGATTGCGAGTGCGGGGAGTATGAGGAGGTCTTCCGCACCGACGAGGACCTCGAGTGCGAGGGGGCCGCAGCTCCCTACGGGGACTCGGGATATCCGAATCCCTACCCCACTGGCCCTCCCGACGAGGACCCCTTCGATTACACCTTCGGGCAGGGCGAGGAGCTCTCGCAGGTGAACCGCATCCTGGGATACCGAAACCACCCGGAACTGTTCATCGACGATGACCAGGCCGGCTTCCCGGCGCTGCACGAGATCGGTGAGACAATCGATGAACTGCAGCTGATCATGCACGCTTATATCATGAAGTATAGTCTCAATATATGAGGTGTTCGTCGTAGGTTACCAAATATATACAAATATATACTCTCCGATCAGGTAAAATATACGAAATCTACTGCCTCTAAGAACATCCTAGCTCGCTCGACTCACGAACCTCCACTCCACTGCAGGTAGATCTCAAGTAGGGTCTCTTCTACATAGTTATTTCTATAGTTCTACTATATACTATAGCTCATCATCATCGCTGCACTCTGAATCGTCTCTCTATCTCAATCTCAATCTCAGTCAGTCCATCCTAGTTAGTTTCTAGATTTGATTCACGTTGGCTGCTTGACTCAAAGGATTCGAATAAAATTGTCTGATACTTACTAGTTCGCTAAGAGTTACTACATATGTTTACCGCAAACTTGATCAATTTCAGATTTCGACGAATCTCAATCGTATAACCAAGAGTGGAACGAAAAGGTAAAGGATTTCGCCACGAAATCCTGCTCACTGTTGATCTAGATGTTGTTCTTTGCCGTTGTCTATCCTTTCGTTTATCTTTCTTCTCTGTACATGCACTCGATAAATAAACAATCTATATATCTATAATTATATCCTGTAGCTAGTGTAGAGATTTCCTCTTTTTGATTGCCTTTGCATGCCAGAGACTTGAGTACGATTGAATATAAAATAACGTTATATTTACTTGATTTTAATGAGATTTTTATCTGTTTTCGCAGGCAAATGCGAATAGCCAATGGCAGGAACAGTTTGCACAATGGAGTCTTAATTCGCAAAAGAACTAAATGGAAACCGCAGGACTGGAAATCTTCGGAGGCAGCTGAACAGATGAAGAAGAACTCTCGCTTAGCTTTTTACCTTACCTTACCTTAACTCATATGTTGAATTAGAGCAATTTATTTATTGATTATTTTATTGAGCCGTAGCCTACACTACCTTAATCATTATAATTTACACTTTGAGGATTGGTATCTACACAGTATAGTATGTCAACATATACCTGCTTGTATATGATTATTTTATTGAAGCAAAGAATATGAATATAGCTGATAAACAAGACTTGCAGTTGCACTGCTCTTCGAAGTCGCAAATCCATTGAATCTCGTTGAAACTTTAATGATCATACTGCTAAAGGGCAATAAGAGGTATGGCGTTTTAATTTTAGGTTTCCAAGATTTCGTAATGGGCTTTTAGATTTTTAAAGCGCCCGCGCCAGCGTTTATTTATTATCATGAAACTTAACAAATTGAAAATCAAATCACGTAATGCGTAATACAAATACGATATAGACATTTACATATTATGTACTTAATAACTAGCAACTTGTTGAGAACCTAAAATCAAATTCTAAATGCTAAACATTATACACATTATACACTTTGAGATACGATAAAGCCAACAACTATTTGAGCCACAACAAAACCCAATGTTAAACACTAAAACGAAAAATAAAACACGATTTATATATTATCCATTCATAATATGCATTCATAAAAAAAGTTATACCATATAATCTTAACTGCATAGAGCACGAGATAGAGAAAATCCAACATTTATAGAACTTATACATAACTACTGAATAATATTACAAAAGAGAAAACTAAATAAAAGGGCATTTTAAACAATCATAATAAACAAGTTTCAATCAAAATTTTAATCAGTTAACCAGCAGATTTTGAAAGTAAGGTGAGTATGTTTGTGTTCGAGTCGCCACTAACATCTGAACATCCCAGTTTCACACCGATAGGCGAAGGCTTATTTAGGTTCTTTTTAGTTCACATCTCTAGGCAAGACGCGCTTTCCTGATGGGTGGTGTACTCGCTAAGACTGGAGTATGTACTTACTAACTGTGGAAGGTGCCGCCACTAACAGAGGCTTGGCTATGTTAACTAACATATGTTAACATTTATGTTAAGATCCTAGTTTTATACCAATGATAAAGGGTTTGAGAGCATGCTTTGAGGGATTTTCGGCAATTGTTAGTGTAAATCTATTTCGTCGACTGGTAACACTTAAAAACCGGAACTCATGATTTCAAAAGGCAAAAATTCAAAACCTAGACTTCAATCGTTTCGCGCCTTTCGAGCTGTGAAGTTGACTCCCGCCGCGATTTTCTCGTCTTGGCCAAAAACTCGTGACTGATCGAGAGAGAGCAAGTCTGAAACCAGCTTAAAGTGAGAAGACAAGTGTTGGTGACTGCAGCCAGCATCCGCGTTAGCCGTGCAGTAGAAAGAAACGGCCATATCTGTCTTTGGTTTGGAGACGTCGTCGCGCGCTCTGAATCTCTTTTGAGAATCATAAACTTTGAGCGCAGCTCTTGAGAAATACTGTGTATCGCGCGTTTGTAGGGTGTGGTGCTAAAAGTCAATTTATAAGATGTGGCGCTCGAATATCTTAAATTGCGTGTGGGGCACCCTGCTCCTGGTCGGTTTTTTTCACCAGACAGTGGGCCAGCGAACGCCCACCATATCCTACATCACGCAGGAGCAGATTAAGGATATTGGCGGAACCGTTGAGTTAGATTGTTCGGTTCAGTACGCCAAAGAGTACAACGTGCTGTTCCTAAAGACAGACAGTGATCCCGTGTTTTTATCTACGGGAACCACGCTGGTCATCAAGGACTCGCGCTTCTCGATGAGGTACGATCCGAACTCCTCCACCTACAAGCTGCAGATTAAAGACATCCAGGAGACGGATGCGGGCACCTACACTTGCCAAGTGGTGATATCCACAGTGCACAAAGTCAGCGCCGATGTGAAGCTCTCCGTGAGGAGACCTCCGGTCATTTCGGACAACTCCACGCAATCGGTTGTGGCCGGCGAAGGAAGCGAAGTCCAGATGGAATGCTACGCTAGTGGCTATCCCACGCCCACCATCACCTGGCGACGCGAAAACAATGCCATTCTGCCAACGGGTGAGTTTCTTTTAGTTTTCGTAAGTTATTAACTTGGGTTACGGTGGGTAAGTCAGCTTGCGTTGTTTGGGGCGCTGTTTTCTGGCTCTAATTTTTTTCGCTCCCGCTCTCAATGGGCATTGCGCTCTGTCCGTCCCGCTTTGGCTTTGGCTTTTAAGTGGGCTCCAATGTGAGTGACCGTGACTCACTCAGGCGTCACCTCAGTTTTGTTTACTCGGCTTGTTGTTCTACTAAAAGAGGGCTAGTTGCTAGCTGTTGGCTTACCACCCTCAACCTGTTCGAGGGCTAAGTTTTGCAACACAAGATTGATTTTTTAGCTCTTCTTTTCAGAGGGTTTTCCTTCTGTTCTCTAGCCATTTGTTCCTACCCTTTGTTTGCTCTTTAGCCTTTTTGAGTTCCCCAAAAAAAAGGTCTAACCAAATAACGATAATGTATTACTAAAGTTTTATTTGAGAATTGGGAATTTTGTAAGCCCTTTCAAAGTAAAAATTAAGTTACATAAGAAAACGTTGTTGATTTAGTCAATTATGTATTATATATCTATCATATTTTGTAGCTTAAGGTATATGTGATTATCTGTCGCTTTTATATTGAGAAGAACAGGTGCAAATATTTCTAATTTGGAATAAATAAATATGCTTATCACGTATACCCACACAATAGCAGAACTCAGAGAATAACAACGAAATTCCTCTCTCACAGAATTAGTGCTCAAACTTTAAGAAAACCCAGGCTATACAAGTGCAAATTTGTATTTTTTCTCGCGAATATTCCAAGATCGTAAAACAAGCTGCTTAAGTTTTGCAAGACAATGGTTTTTTCTTTTACCTCTACCTTTTCCACCCACTTCAGGTTCATTTTCTTGGGAAATTTCGGGCCGGACAAGTGCAAATGTTATCTAGAAACTGTTTGCGTTTCTTGTCCTCCCCGAATTTCTCGAAAAGGAAGAAAAGCTAATAAAACACTAAAATAATTTGGTGGCCAGGTAGATGGTACAATAGAACCTTCTCACAAGGTTAATCCCCTACAGGTGCTGGGCTGCCGTTCTATAACGATCTCGATCTCTACCTGAATTCTGACCCTCGGGCGGACATAATGGATTTCTTTTAACAAGATTGCAGCGTCATTTTGAGCAGCAGCCGAAAAGCAATTAGTGTAACTAATCCGATAGTTACTTATTACCTAGAAACGACTCGCGGACACACCCTGCCGGGCCTCACTGTATCTGAGAGCTAGCTTAATTCTCGGGGTTCTGTATCTGTGAGCTGGCTTGTGCAATCTTTAATTGCCGCGACATTGAGTGGACCTTCTATGGTCTGAAAGCCAGGCGTGCCCTTTCACAAGCTATAAAACCCAACCGCAACGAGTTGGATACGCTCCATGGCAGTCCAGAAATGGCTTAACTTTTTTTCGCCATAAATCAGAAGGGCCAGAGGGCTTGGGGTTTGAGGTGCAGTATTTGCCAGGAGTTTCACACTTTTCCACGCTCTAATTTAAAGCGCTTAGGCAAACAAAACTGTTCGTCCAGCGCTTTGAAATGCGCCAACGAGCCGAGTCAAATTTTCCGGTGGGTTTATCGGGGGGTTTTGCATGCATAGGTGTACCCGGGAAAAGAAAGGGGGAGGGGGAGGTGGAGGTGGAGGGGGTGTGGTCGTGCACTGACGAGGAGGAGCTCTCCTGCAGCCTTTGTGCCGCATTTCACGTTTCACATTTCCATTCCCATTCGAGTTTCTGAGGCATTCGACAACTTCAGCACGCGCAATTGCTTCCGCAACTTGAAAACGTTCCACGGACCGTTTGATGGTCTCCGGGTTCCCAGTTCCCGGTTCCCGAGCTACCGAGTCTCCGAGTACGGGCGTAAACAACCCGTGCAAAAAACGGTGCGGCAGAGGGCTGTTTCTTACACATCAGACACGGTCTGGGCTTTTGGGTGGGATAAAAAACAACGAACGAAATGAAAAATACAAAAATGAAACAGAGAGGGAACGGGCAAACAGCAAACATACGCAAACAAAGGATCCTGAGAGCATGGCAAATGGGCTGCGCCCCCTGAAAAACCTCCCAAGCCCACACCCCTGGTTAAACCCCTTGCCCATGCCCATGCCACTGCCCTTCCCCTTCCCGTAAATAATTCTTATTTTGATAGCCGGCAAAATACAATCGAAGTATACAAAATATATATAAATTACAAGCTAAAAAGGTAACCCAAACAAAGGTCGGTGGTTCCCGGGGCGAGCACAATGTAAGAGATGCAAACAAACAAGCCGCGAGCGGTTCGCCCCTGCCCCCTCCATCTAAACAACCCCTCATCCTGGGCCTAACCCTAACCCTAGCCAGAAACTCCCGGGTCTGCCGTCCCGCCCAGGGACCAAGTGAGGAACCCCTAATCAACCGTTTCCGCTCGCCAGTTCTCCAGTTCTCCAGCTCTCCAGTTCTCCGGTTTTCAGGGTGTTGAGGCCAGGGTCCGTGCCAATTTGTGCGTTGCCATGCAAATCGATTGGTTATTCTGTAATTTTTTTATTGAACGGCCAAACAAAGTGGGTAGTAGATAGCCATTGAGTAAACACAGACATGTGCAGCGTTTGCACCTGGCACCTGGCGGCACCTGGAGCCAAAAAACGCCGCATTCGCTGGCGCAGCAAAATCTGCTGCCACAATAAACCTCACCTTGGCCCAGCGAATTAAAAGCAGGCTCTTTGCGCAAAGAAAGCAAAATGTAAATTCAATTTTTGCTGATTTTTCAAACGGCGAACGGCGAACGACAGCTGTCGACATTTGGGTTATTGTTCGGCAGCCGGAAGCGGGGCATCTTTCAGATACTTAGCTGTTCGAGGGATCGAGGATCATGCTAAATTAACTTTAATTGTTCAATTATGTGCGAGCGAGTGCAAGAGTGCTGCTCCGAATCTCGCACAGATCACTTCGGGGTGTCTGCACTCGGTCTATAAGTCCGGAACTCCCATTGCCATCCCATCCACGCGTTCCCTCCGCTCAACTCTTGATTAACTTTCATGCAAATTGTGTTTGCTGGCAAATTGCGAATTAGACTCAAGTGAGCATGATCAAGTATTCCAATTTCGTCATCAGGCGCAAGTGCAAGGGTGCAAATCTTAATGTTAATGTTATTTATGCTTAAACATTTCGATGCGCAATTGATGCTCTACTCGAGTTCTCAACAGGCCGTGCACGAAATTAGTTCCCCCCGGTATTTGATGCATAATGGAAATGAAATATATAATGAAATTCCTCGGATGCCGGGGGCAGCAGCTGTTGGGTCTGGGCTCTAAAATATTTGCAAGCAATTAGGTTTGGCACACTCGCAATTAGAGAGGAGGAGTGGCGATCGAGTGGAGTGGGCCAGTCGAATCCTTTGATGGTGGATATGTTTTTATTTGTCCTGCTGCTGCTGCTGCCGTTTCCTCTTCCTGTTTGCCATCGGTTGCATTGTTTATGGCCGCTTCAGTTGGCAGTTGCAAAGTCAAAGGCAACAGAAGCAGCAGCAGCAGCCAAAGCAAAAGCAAAACGAGAACGGGAACACATAAACGCCGATGACGTACAAAAAGCGTTGTGGAAAACCTGTTTGTAAATGTTGGTTGCTGGGGCAACGACCACTTGGTCAACATGGGGCCAACTGGCGGTTTTCAGTCAGCCAACAGCCAACAGAATGCGGAGAATCAGCGGAGAGCCAGCCCTTTGTGGCAGTTATTCAGCTTGAAGTAATAACTTGCCAGTTAATAGCTGAATTGGTCGGCTAAATCGTCCCAGTTTGCGTCTCTGCATGCCATTTACCATTTACCATTTTCTGTACCCCTTTCACGTGCGGATCGGAAAATGGGGAAAACTTAGATACACTAGAAAAGGTTTCTTTATATGTATATTTAAATTCATTTAATGCTGAAATGCTAATCTCATACCCATAAAATCATTTTCGATCCTGTATAAGGTGAATACATAACGATTCGAGACCATTTTGTTTTCGCTGTAAGGAATCCGTTTCACTTTGAATACGTTTTCGGTGTTGCAATTCAGTTATTTGTTTAGCACTCTTAGCTGAATGTTTCACCTTCAGACCGGCTTTTTAATCCTTATCACACTCACATTCTCACACAAAAGGACACGCGGCTGTTGCAACCCCCCTCGACCCAACTTCAATCTTATTGTTTGTCCTGGGCTTAGCCAATATTTATTTAGGCACTCGGCTCACAAGGGATTTACGTCGGTCAGCCGTCTTTCACTCGCTTATCCAGTTCTCTTTTTTGGCATAATTGCTATTTTAATAGTTTTCTTTACAATTCCTTGATTTATGATTTCCCAACCGAACAAGTACAGTCTGCACTTTGTCTGCAATTGAGTTTCCCCGGCGCGGAGAACTGGAGTGGAGTGGAGTGTAATCCAATAAATGGCATGCCAGGCGGCATAACTCTCGGCCAGCTATAATGTACTACTCGAGGAGGAAAATCACTTTTGAAAAGTCAACAACACAGCGTCTGTGGCTTTGTCCGTCGGAGTGGGTTGTGGGCTCGTGGGGGCGGAGTGGGTGGCGGTGCCGTGGGTGGTTTACTGTCCGCACTCCGGAGGGTGGATCCATGTCACTCTGTGCGGTTTCAAGGCGAAGGCCCACCAAAGTGGGTGCATTCACATGTCTCAAGAGCTTGTTATATGCTCGATATGTATGTGCAGCGGTTACAGCAACATCGTCGCATCAGCCAGAACAAGTGAGGCCCCTTTTCCCTTTCCCCTTTTAGCTTCTCCTCGTGTTGATGTGTTCCTTGATGATGAGTTCGGGTGACAAAACAGGAAGAGGCGACAAATTTGCACAGGCATGCAATTTTTCCACGAGAGTGGATGGAAGTGGGAACTGGGGCTTCTGCCGCTGCACTTACCAGGTGCAATTCTTGGGCAATCAATGAAAGATGCTGTCAGCGGGGCTGAAAGGAAGCGTTCGCGCTCGTCTTGGGTTTAATCAACTCAAACCACTTGACTTCTGGGCCAAGAAAGCA